TCAGAGCAACATTTGGTTAGTTAAGGACAGTCATGACATGTGTCTGAGGTGATACTCCATGGGAATACAGGTAACAAACACTGGCCAAAGCACAGGGAGTAGTAAGGACAATTCACTTTCACATGAATTATCAGAGATTAGAAACAGCAGTCTGGTCTGCTTGGCTGTGCAACCTGCAGCTGCCACCAAGGCTGCTATTAAATGTGGACCCTTGAAGACTCTGCAGAGTAATACTGCATACAGCAACAAAGGTGCAGGCTTTCTCCTCTCTGGCTCCCTGTAGCTCTTGGCTGCTCACTTCAAATGTTCCTCTTAAGTAGCTTGATGCTAACTTCCATCCAAAAGCTTTTTCTTAAATTAATGCATGTGTGTGCTGAATGTGAGATTGGTGTCAAATTCTTGAGTTATTATATTAAAATTCATAATTCCGTTCAATTGTGCTCTAACATTTTATTAACTTGAAATTACCTTGATTGGTGGTGCTGTAGCTGTGATGTTTTTTATTCTAAACAACATAAAGTTTATAGGGAGAGATGGTCTTTTTGACTGGACCTGAGAAAAATCTTGCCTGCATGAAAATTTGACTATTAGTGAAAGCCTCTCCCTACTAAGCACCAGAAATTTTATTTCATGGATTTTTGAAGAGGCCTTGATTATTTCAGAATTCTGCCAATGTGTGCTCTGGAATGGCTGCAACTTCTCAGCCTTACTGGCTTCTATGTAGATTTCTATTTGACAACTCAGACTTCAAGTTTTTAGAAATAAAATGTCACTGTGCTGCATACTGTTCTTTAGGAAAATTATTCTTGTGTCACATTGCTGAATGAACTGGATGCTGCCCATGCTAATCAGAATGTATTTATGCAAGAGCAGCAGCTGCCAAAGGAAGGCACTATAACTGCATTCCCCTGCAGTGGTTATAGGGACTCTCCAGTCTTGTTAAGCTTTTGCTAAATATCCAGATCTTTTAAAAAGTGAAACTCAGTCAAAAAGGTTAGTGACTGAAGTCTCCTAGCTACTGGCCCAGCTTCAGTCAGGATGAAGATCTAATGCTTTGTATGCTGTTCATATTTCCTATTTAAAGAGTTCTTTTTTTCTTGTGCAGGAGTTTGAATAAGCCTATATGGAAGCCAGCTCTGCAGACTATTTCCAGAGCAGCAAACAGTCCTTACTAGTAAAGACTGAATAATTATTTTTTTCTTTAATCATGTTATAGTCCTATTCCATAGAACACTGATTTATTTAATTTACATGCCAGCATATACATACCATGGAAAGAAACCAATAGGTGACACCCACTTCTGCAGAACACAACTGCAGTTCTGTAAGTATTTCCTCTATGTATTCTTTGTAAATGAAATGAGTCAGCTAAGCAGAACAGCATTGCTCTTTTCACAGCCTGCAGGCCCCATGGCAGGGATGTGTGGCAAGTGACAGGAACTGAGTAAGTCTGCACGCCAGTGGGAGCAATTAAATAATTTCTCATGCTAAGGCTGGTACAAGCTGAGGTTTTCCCCCAACTCTCTGAGGAGATGCTGCTTTTCCTCTCCACACGCTGAGTGTAGCTGGCAGCTCCTGGCAGCTGCAGGAAGGCTCTTGCCATAATCCTCTACAGATTCCTTCAAGCATAAGCTCACATGCAATGTGCCTTGCTAATGCTTTGGTTGATGGTATTTGCCACAAAATTAGGTCACCATATCTTAGGGTGATTCCTCTGTCACTCTGAGTGCAGGTTTTGGCTTGACACCATGGGAGAGGCCAGACTTTTGTTGTTGTAAGTAGTGGGGTTCTGATGTCTGTTGCTCACATTTACCTGCCCTGTCTAAGTCACATCTAAAATACCACTTATTCAAAGCCACCTCCTAATTAAAACCTTGGCAGGTTGCACCTAGAGTTTTCCAGTTTCAGCATATGACTTTGCTGGCTCCAGGTCTTATGAAATTCCTGGTCGAACACAATTTAGTATCCACCTGCCAGACTGCTCTGTCCCAAAGCATAAATTACAAGAAGCTGAAGCTCATGTTAGGGATGTAAATACAACTGACTTCCAACCCATTAATTCCAACTCACTGATCCATTAATTTCAAATAATTAATTAAATTCAGTGATGATGAGATAGTCTAAAAAAAAAAAAAACCTTGAGGGATGAAAATATTTTTCTAGACTTCAGTTAGCATGTCCATCCACATTGCATCTTTTATGGAATACAAAACAAACACCAGGAACAACTGAACTTTATATTTTTGTGTTTGTGTCGAATTGTTCTGTGTGCAATGTAAGAAAATAAGTCTACATTATGACAGGTCTCTTAAAGGACAAACCTGATACTGTATGTGCTAAAAGCTATCCTTCAGTGAAGTTTCATATGAATGCCAGGGAAAGGAAAACAGTCTCAGAGGCCTCACCTGCAGAGTAATTATTGCAAAGGATTGTTTTCACATCTTCCATCAGTGATGCTGAGCTCCCATGTGCTGCTTCCTTTTTCTGAATGAGGATATGAAATGCTCAGTCATATAGTTTTGCAGTTTACTCTGTCTGTGGGCAGGCATTGTTGCTGGAGATGCCAGAACAGAGCAGGTGTTGGCCTGCTCCAGTCACATCCTCTGAGTTCTGAATCCTCTGAATGCTCTGAGTTTCTGGGCTGACCAGAGACAAGGTCTTTTTTGTGGATCTGTTTTACAGATGTTTCTGGGCCATTCAGACATTTGTGGGCCATTATGATCCGTGTATTTTTCAGTTCCACATTTTCTGATATTTCTTGCAGTCAGCTGTGGAGCTCCCAGCTAGCTCTATTTCTAAAGTAAGTGCTTACAAAATATTAAAAATAAAATTAAAGGGAAAAGACTTCATGATTATTTGGATTGCAAATCCTAGAAAAAAATTAAAAATTTGTTTGAAATCCATTTCATAACTTCTCAGTACTAGGAAAGAAAAATAAAATTGAAGAACCTGTTCTATGCACATTGGCCAGTGGACTGGAAAGAGGGATTTTTTTAAAACTCTTTTGGGTAGAATGAAAGGCTGTAAAAGATCAGACTTCCTGGCCAAGGGAAAGAAGGATTTTTCTGCTTCTGTAATATCAGCCTTTTACCAAAATTAGGGAGAGAAGCAGAAAATTGCTTCCATTTTAAGTAGTACTATCAGTGAGCACAAAAAGGTCTGAGCTCAACAGAAAGTTTCAAGTTGCTACTTCTTTGGAAATCTCTTTTAACAGAGATCTGGGGTCAAATTCTTGTCTAAGTTCTCTTGGCACCATACCAAAACAACCCTGCCAGTGTAATTGAGGGAGCCCTGACTCCTGCTTTCATCTGGACTGTGCTGTCTAGGTGTAGTCTGACCTTTTTTTTCACCCACGCTGTGACCATCTCCTGTGCGTGTCAGCCTGAGGAATAATGTCCTTGAAGACTGCTTTGAAGTGAGTTGCAGATTCTTTTTTAATCTGTGCAAACAAAACAAAACAAAAAAACAAACATTCATCAAGCCTGCTCTCAAAAAATCTGCTTTTGTTTAATCCAGTGTCATTTAGAGCCTGGCAACCACCAACTGTGTGCCTTTTCCAGCTGTGTGCTGAGCTTCCTCTGCTGCCCTTAGAGGATGATCACTGTGGGGTCATCTCCAGAACAAGTCTGTTGAGGCCTCAGACATTTTCCCTGCAGCTGCAGAATGTGTCTGTGCTGAGCTGCACCAGGTCTTGGGGAAGGGCTTTGCACATAATTCAGCATAACTATGCATTTTACTGAAAGATAAGGATTTTCTGGTTTAGGAAAACAAATCCATCTCTTGATGCAGGTTGCCAGTGCTTTTGCCCTTCTTATAACACTGTTTCTTGAAGGCAAATCTTTTAAAATGGACCTTTTAGTCTCTCCTGAAGATTACACTCTTGTAGGGGTCTTGCCTTGATCTGTAGATTTAATGGCTTAATAAGCTTTAGACACTCCTATTATGCAGTAACAAATAGAAATACAATACTTTTATCAATATTTGGCGCAATTATTTTTTTTTATGTGAAACTAAATATTGATGCTGTCAAGTGACTGCAGCTTAAGGGCATAAATTACAAATATTCTCCTGTGAGCCTTGCTCAAATCATGTATTCATATACAGTAACCATCTAATGTCTTTCTATTCCTGTAAGCTATATGATTTGATTGCCAGATTACATGGTTCTCTATTGTACTTAGATGTCAGTGTTTTTATTGTTATTACCAATATTATGTTTTATTCTTACTGTAAGTGGTAACAAAAAATTAACTGCTTCCTTACACTATAAAAATAATACAGTCCCATTTACAGAATGTCTCCAAACAGAAAATATATTTGGGGAAAAAAAAACTGAATAAATAATTCACAACATGATGGGTGAATAGGAAAAAAGGCCTTTTGATGTATTTTGTTACTCAGGACAAAACCAGATTTTTAAAATAAAGTAACTGCCTATTTTAATGGAGAACAAAAGCTCTTCTAAAGAAGAATGATTGAAGTCAGTGTATTTTTACCCATTCTGCACTTCTGTAGGTAAGAGGACTTGTGAAAGTAATGAACCCATCCCTTTGATTTTCCCGATTGTCTTGTTCCAGCTTCCTGTTTCTTCATTAGCTTATTTCTTGGTCAACCCACCAACCCAAAACAAACCATAACATTTCAAGAATACCAGACTGCAGCAAAGGGAACTAGCCAGTCGGCAATATAAACAGACAGTAAATAAATTCGTTAAAGCCTTGGAATTCAAGTCTCCCATCTTAAAACTGCCCATGGTTTCAGTGCGTAATGCTCCGGATTTCCCCAGAAGAGCATCCCTGGGAAAATCTGTGCGTGCATTTTCCTGTTTTCTCACGAAACCGGAGCTTCGTCAACTCACAGGTGAGCACCGCGGCCCCTTCCCGCCGAGCAGGTGGGAGGCAGCGGGCCGGGGCAGAGCACAGCGAACAGAGCACCGAGTCACTGCTCGCGCTGCCTTTGGCACGGGAAGGGGCCGGTCCCGAACTGACACCGGTAAAATGACGGCCCCTCGGGCTCTGGGCTGATGCAGCCGAGGGGCGGTGGCTCGGGGGGCTGGCGTACGGCGCAGCCGCCGAGGCGGCGGGGCGGGGGAACCGGCCCGGGCACTGCCCGCGCTCTGCGCCCACACGGCCCCGCCCGCACGGGCCGCACGTCCCGCACGGCACCTCCCGCTCCGCGCGGGCAGCTCCGCCGCTCGGGGCCGGGCCGGGCCGGGCGCTTCCCGCCCTCCGCGGCTGCGCGCCCTCAGGCGCCGCTCAGCATGGCCGGGGCGGCGCTGGGCCCGCCGGTGAAGGTGCAGGCGGCGCCGGGCCCGCCAGGCCCGCCGGTGAAGGTGCTGGCGGCGCAGCTGCGGCGGGCGGAGCGCGGCGCGGGCGGGAGCTGGGAGCTGCGGCGGGCGGCGGCGGGCCGGGCCCCGCTGCCCCTGAGGGCCGTGTGGATGCAGGGCACCGTGCTGGAGGTGCAGCGCGGCGCCGAAGGCGGCTCGGCCCGGCTGCAGGACGGCAGCGGCGCCTTCACCGTGCTGGGCGTGGAGCAGGTGCCGCAGGGCCGGCCGTGCCTCAGCGCAGGTACCGCGGGGCGGGGGAACCCCGCGGGGCGGGGGGCGCTGACCGGCCCGGCACGCAGGACGCCCTGAACAAGGAGAGAGATTCTTCTCCTGTTTCTCTCTTCTCTTTCTTTCTTGCTTTATTTTCCTTCTTTTCCGTTCACCAGAACTGCCAGTTCAGTTGGAGAAGTGTTGGTCTGCAGAATTGCAGAAATTGTGGTACACAACAGGCACACTGCTTAAACTTCTGACCTGTCCTCAGTCCATTCACAAAGCAGGACAAATTTGTGTTTGTTTGGCTCTTACGGTATGTGGAAATGTAGTTAAATAGGCCGTAAAAGTGGCTGTACAGATAATTAAGCCTTTTTCTGAAATTTAGTTCTAAGCAATCTTCGTTCCTTGAGTTTTCGTACAAGTACCAGCATCTTCAATTTGCGCTGTTTACTTGGCTTTAAGTAATTTGGTTTATGAATTTAAATGACAATACAAAGGTTAATTGAATTAAATGCTTACTTGTTTTTTAGGGAAGTATGTAATGGTGATGGGTGTGGTGCGGTCCTGCAGTCCGGAGCCCATTCTTCGAGCAATAAAGATGACGGATCTCTCTGAAAACCCCATCCATAAGAACATGTGGAACCTTGAAGTGGAGGATTTGCACAGAGTCATCCCCTAATACTTTTATTTTCTGCCTAAAATAACTAGAAATTTGTTTTCTTTAACTTTTTGGTGCAGAACATTGGACTATTCTGTGTAACCACTCCTGGAGTAAACCAAAGTGAGACATTGGGCTCAGTTAAGCATAGGGACCAGTGCTTCTCTGATAATAATCACAGTTCATGTCTCCCAGTTGGTTTTATACCAGCATATTTGAGAAGTGCCTATTTGATGTTTTAATTAAGATGTCCACACTATTAAAAAGGCTGTATGTTTGTTTCTGTGTGTGTTAGCTGCTGTTTGGGGAAGCGTGTGTTAAGGCGTTTGTTCTACAGCAGGGCTGCACAGGACTCGTGTTACCAGGTGAACTCAGTACCTGGCCTCAAGGCAAAATGTGTTTCAATCCATTTAGGCTGTGCTTGGAAATAATTGCTTTCACCTGTATTTTCTATTTTAGTAATTACCATGTCTGTAAACGACTTGTAAGACAGGTGTCTCTTGGTAACAATTAGCAGTGTCTTGTACTTAAAATACCTCTCTAGTTTCTGAAATACCGAAAGTGGTAATGAGCCCTCTGTTCCAGTGAAGTTAATGAAAAGATGTGATGCAGGATTCCTTGGAATAGGTTCTCCAGGTGCAAGATGTAAATACTTTTTGCCTCCAGAAACAAACATTCTGTCCCTCAGTGCATTTTTCTTTTGAAGGTTTTTTGCTCCCAGTGTATGCTATTTTTAACTGTTTAAATAATTCTGAATTCTATTCTATTATTATCTTTTCTGAAAAAAACAAACTATGAAATCACATCAAGAAACCTATAAAAAGGAGAAATGTTACTTTATTTTATTTATTATCTTTATTTTCCGTCTTGTCTAAAGAGAATTTGGGTCCTGATGAATGCATTGCAGTATCTGTGTGGAATGGCTTTTTGATTGGGGACTGTGTTGTCCAGCAATAGAGTTATGTTAATTAGGAATGCATATTGGTAGAGAAGAGAATCTGTGATTCAAGATGAGAATCAAGCGGTGGTAATTAAATTTTTTAATTGTGGGAATAGGTTTTCAAAGCATGTGGAAACTAACTAGCATCCTTTAAAGATTTGAGATCTTTGCAGACTAAGGACTGGATTTCAGAGTACAATTCCAGTCCTGAGTATGGTGTTCCAAACCAGACCACATCACAAGCACTTGGATAGTGGAAGTCCTGTGCTCTTGAGAGCCTGCTGATGAAATGCCAAGACATACAAAGATAAAGACTTTTGGTGGTCTGGGTTTATTTATTGTTCATAATTCTGAAAAAAATCTGCTTGTGGAGTGCTGTGGCCTTCAGAAATAATCCATGTGACCACCATATCAGCAACTGGTTCATATTAAAAATTATTTTTCTAGGAGTTCAAAGCAAAAGACACTTGTAGCCAGGGTGAGTGTTGTACTTCACCTCATGAGAGGCTGATGGCTGTTTAAGGCTGGGCTGACAGGCCTTGCTTCTGGATTTTCACAGTTAAGCATTGTACAGCTCTACTGGGTACTGGGAATTCTCCCTTTTCCTCACTTGGTGTCTCAAATTCTGCAGTTAGAACATGGGTTTGTGGTGTTTGTTGCTGTTGCACAGGAGAGTATGTAACTAAGGAGTTACACGGTAAGGGAAATTGTTTAGGCCTGTGTTGAGGAGGAGATCAAAGCTGAGCTCTTGTTACATCTGTTTTGGGCTTAACTTGGTGTAATAAACAGAAATTCTGTGAACTTCATAGATCTTGAGGGTTCTTTATAAAGAACATGTTGGAAGTGAGTTGTAAGCACTAAAACTATGCTGGGAAGCATGACTGAACCTGTGTGTGCTTGCAAGGACAGCTGGTGTGGGCTGGTGTGTTCAACGTGCTCTCACAGCAGGAGTTACAGAGGCAGAAATTCCTGCATGTTGTGTGGTGGGGAGATCCATGAGATGTGCAGTACATATTATGTATTTGCCATATGACAATTTACTGCATGACCTGCATCTGAGGCATAAACAGTTTGGATTACTTCAGTCAAGGTGTTCAATAATGTGCAGCATTGCCAGTAGTTATCTACTGAAAGTTTAGTCCTGATAAAGCCAGGGCTAGTGCAGAGATAAAAGCCAGTTTTGAAATACTGAAGCTGAGGGATTGATCCGATAAATGCTTCGGTCAAACCCTTCCAAGGTGATTCTTCTCCAGAGGTTCACATTCATGAGAAATCACAAAGGCCTCTCAGTTGACCTGAGGGCTGTTTTGTGTGGAGCTGGCACACTGCCCTGCAGGGAGACTGCTGTCCCTCCCTCCAGGTACACCTGGAAAGGGCTTCCCCACGTCCCCCTGTCACTCTGGTGTTGTGTTTGCTGATAGGAGCTGCCTCTGTTAGGCAGGAGGGTGATGTGTGGGATCAATTTTTTAATTCCCCAGGTGAGACATTAACATGCAGTAAAGGAGGCATAGTTAAAAACAGTCTGTCTGGATGGTGGTCTGGATGGTCTTACTGGTTCGTGAAGGGGTTTACACAGTTCAGTTGAAGAGCCCCATGGCCTGTGACACTGCTTTGTTTGTGGGCAGGTATTTGATGAGCAGGTGTGACAGAGCACTTGCCTTTGCATTAACAGCAGAGTCAGGCAGGGAGCAAAGGCACAGCTGCCAGTGCAGAAGCATGAAGATGAGGCTTTATTCATGACAGCTATCAATAAGTGCTAAACTTATGAACATGACCTGGAACCCTTCATTTAAGTGTGGGTTCATTTGGAATTTTTTTCCTTTTTTTTTTCCTCACCCCTGATGGTGGCTCTGTTGGCCCTGCTCAGTGTAAGTGGTGTCTCGTGTATGCCCTCCTGTGCGCAGGCAGGGTGTCCACCCTGGGTCAGTGGGGTGTCCAGGCCGGCCCATGGGGTCAATGGGGTGTCCAGACCGGCCCATGGGGTCAGTGGGGTGTCAGACCAGTCCATGGGGTCAGTGGGGTGTCCAGGCCGGCCCATGGGGTCAGTGGGGTGTCCAGGCCGGCCCATGGGGTCAGTGGGGTGTCAGACCAGCCCATGAGGTAAGTGGGGTGTCAGACCAGCCCATGGGATCAGTGGGGTGTCAGACCAGCCCATGGGGTCAGTGGGGTGTCCAGGCCGGCCCTGTGGGGTCAGTGGGGTGTCAGACCAGCCCTGTGGGGTCAGTGGGGTTTCCAGCTGGTCTGTGGCTGTAGGGTTAGAGCAGGACTGGGTCTGCTCCTGCTGAGCTTCAGGGCTGGAGGTGTGTCCAGGGCCTGTACAAGTTCCTGGCTCTAAAGAGTATCTCGACAGCAGCTGTGCATGTGGAGAACCTAGGAACAGCTCAGAGATACAAACAACTGGACTGAGCAAAATGGCTGCAGTTAAAAATGTTTATTGGTAGTTAAATGGCTTCTTTAGTACAAGTGATAAGTTATATGCAGCTTTTAGAGGAGACCTGGTGTCTGCATCCAGCTATGTTGCTGTATACAATTAGCATTTAAGTTAAATTCCTGTATTTCTGTATTGCTGACTGAGCTCTTCTCAGTATTTTCCTCTACTTGCTGATATTTTTCTTTGTTTCTGAAATTGTCACCACAGGATTATTTTTCAGAGGTACTTGGTGTGCTTAGCTGGGGAGTGAAGTGACACTCAGTGACAGGGGAGAAAATTATGTGGTTTTTAATCAGTAACTGGTGTAAATATTCTGTAACTTCCAGAAATATTTCATAGAATTTTGGCTTTTTACAAGGGTGCAGGTGTAACATTATTACACAGGAAGACTTGATTTCTAGCATCTGAGGTGTGTGGGAATCCTAAAAATTGCAGGATTTTTTCCTGACTAATGTAGGAATAATGTTTTAATTAGTATCAAGCTAGAGAATAAGTGTTCAGAAAGCAAGTGCAGCTGCAAGCACAGCATACACAAGATAAGAGGCAGCTGTTTGCTTTTTCTGTGAGCCAGTCAAACCCAGCCAGTGCCAACTCTCCATAGAGGTCAGTGCAACTTTGTTGTTACAAATAATCAATAAAAATGTACTCCAGCTTAAAAATAATGCAGTCAAACGTTTATTAGCATGGTGTCATAGTAGGAAATATCTTTATTTCAATGTTTGCATATTATGCAAACATTGCATTTGCAGCATTACCTTTTACCAAGGAATAGCTGCATTCCAAGCACTGTGTGGAGGAAGGTAATGCAAATTTTAAATCAAGTGACCTACAATACAGAAAGTGATTTAACAGGTGAGACACTCACACAACAGTAGCTGTAACACCCTAACGTTACTTCATGGGTAGGGTAGATCTTGGTCACCTTCTCTCAACACAGCAACTGACTGCTGACAGGGGTTTCTAAAGACACAAAGGGAAAATGTGCAACTGGTGCACAGAAACTAAGGAGGCTGTTTCTCATTTAACAGTGTGTACATTAAAAAGGGAAAAATCAGCACAAATACGAGAAAATTATTAGCTGCTTTCCATTATTTACCCATCTTATTTCTGTCTTCGCCTTCTTGTGTGTTGGAGCACTTCCCAGATGACTTTCTCCAGAACTGCTGAACAGTGGAGTTTCATTTCTGAAGAAAAAAGAAGTCGGCATCTCTGCTGACTCTAAGCTGATGATGCTGCTTTCACAAAGTAGTCCACTTGTACTAATCTGAGCTGGAAGAGAGCTTTTCTCAGCTTTTCAGTGTATTTGTGCTATGGTTCAAGACTTGTGGAGAGGTAATTTTGCCCCTGAATGGGAGAATTTTTTTTAGAGTAACTGCTACTTTCCTGTCCAATTTCTTTTGGTTGATTATAGTTTCTTGACAATATACTGAAATAATTCCTCTTGCCCTCAGGGGTTCTGGGTGGAAAGCTTTCCTTTTATACTATATATACTTCACAGTTAACACTAAAGCATCCACACTTCTACTGTTCTTTCCCTGTTCTTGCCTCTAGCTTGCCTACCTAAAATAACTGTTTCCTTTTGGGTACTGGAAGGGTTCTTCCATCTTCAGGGCTGGTATCTGCCATTCAGAACTGGCTCAAGCTGAAACAAAGAAGAGATGAACTCCAGGTAAGTGCTAAGTAAGTACAAGTCACATGTAATGCAACCTGTCATTACAGTGAAATACAAAAAAATCTCTGAAGGGAAAATAGCATCAGATATATTTATGACATCAAAACACTGGGGAAAGTACTTCAGCATTTTAGATATGGTTTTATCTTAGATCACTAAACTGAAATAAAGATGTAAGATTCTCTCATGTTTGATAGATTCACATTTAGGAGGAAAAGGGCAGCATTATTTCTAAAGTTTATGAGGTCTGGATTCAGCTATTCAGTGGAAGATCCTTGACAAGCATGAATTTCTAAGAAATAGTGCAGAGGTAGTTTCTGCTGACAGCCACTTTCTGTTTTGCTGTCATGACTGTTGCTGGTTATCAGTTACTGTGTGTGATTAACCCAATGATTACACTCTTTCACTGTGTCAAACCTGATTCTGCCTTAGTTTGGTCTGTTCAACTTCCTTCTCTTTAGACTATTTACATATTTAGAGACTTAACTCATGTCTTTCCTCAACCCTTCCATTTTTTCCCCAGGACTCTTCTCAGCTGGTTCACAATTTCAGTAAAACATGGTGTCCAAAACTGGATATATGAAATAAGCTAAATAGAGAAGAAGTATTCTGTGTCTTCAATATGTTGATTCATGTGTACATCCCCAATGTATTTTGCTTCTTTGTTAGCATGTTCTAGTTAACTGAGCTTGTGGTCCACCTTCATTCCAATACTTTCCCTCAGAAATGGGATAATGTAAATTAGCAGCACTATCTGACTGCAATCATTCAGCTACCAAGTTCTTCTAAAACTTTGTTTTCCACTGAATATTTTGTTGACTCAGATTTAACAAAATTTGTCTCTGTATTTCATATTTATATGTTGAAGATTTATGTAACTACTCTAGCTAAAACCACTCGCTGCCTCCAAGATGCTACCCAGAAATGTCCTGATCATCCACTGCTTAGGAGCTGAGTGAAGGGAACAGCTCGGGCAGATACTGACACGCAATGTTGTTTCAGTGTGTGGGAGGGTGATGTGATGCACTTACAGACACAGCGAGTGTTCTTTTTCTAGGTTTTTATTTTATGGCCAACAAACCCATCTGCAAATACTACTCCCTTCCTTAATGGGTAAGAAATCAAGTAATAATTGTAAATTTTTCAAGGCATACACAAATGGGCTTGTAGTTGTTTGCCAAATCAGTTCTTTGAGATAATAGCGAGTTTACAAATGCAAATAAATAATGTTCCAATACATATATTAAAAGCCCCACACTCTTTTCATTACTAAACCTTAGCAAAGCATGGAGCATAAAAGGAATAAACCCTAGTGCTTCATTTCAAGCAAAAGCATAATGAGCTCTTCTGTGTGATTCTGCCATGTGTTTGGTGTAATTGTTTCCATTGCAATCTTGTAAAAATACAGTGAGTTACTACTTGGGCAAGAGTATCAATAATGGAACTCCAGTTAGCAGCACATGGGGCTCCAGTCACTTTTGGATTACACAAATTGGCACAATAACTACAGAAGTGGGAAAGGATTGTAATTATAAAAAATTCAAACGAGTGCTACTGCTCTATTCAGGCTTTTCATCTTCCTTGTCTGTATTCCAGGAATCCACTTAACAATGCAATCTGAATGACAGCTGCATTAAAACACAAGTATTGGTAATCTGGATATTCTAGGCTGAAAAGATAGATAAACTTCATTATTAGATACTGAAAAATACAAAAATAAGTCTCTGAGTATTTTGTGTCTGTATATGTATTGTTAATATGAATCCAAATGCAGTATTAAGACCAAAAAAAAGATGGAACCAGAAATAGTATCCAAGAGGAGGAACTCCTGGGGACATTACACAGTATTCTGCAGGTATCCTTCTGCCTCTGTTACACAGCACGTTAGGACAAAATAAGAAAGGAAGTAGAGAGTGGGCAGTGGGTGGGCTCTAGTGAGCTCACGAGTGGACAGCAGGAAGGGGAGGTAGCCAAGAGGCAAGAAGAGCATTTCTGGGAATAGGATCAGTTTTGCTCATGGCCACAGTCAGATTCCTTAGTTTTATTTTCTCATGTGTTCTTGCATTACAAACATGTAAGTACTGGAGCAAAGCAGTCAGAATATTCAGGGTGGTAAAAGAAATGAAACTTACCACTGTGGAGGGATTTCCACTGGGACAAAATTCCGGTTGCACAAATGAACAAAAGCTGCTGCTAATCTGCAGGCAGCCTCCAAGGCTGGGGAGTCACAGGTGTCCTGTGTACACATGGTGTAGAATGGCTCAGGCTCCACCTGGGCACAAAGGGAGGCGTTAGGGGCAACCTGCAGGTAAATCCAGAGGTTTGGGTTGTGTCCCCTCCCCCCTGCCTGGTTAGGATCATTCATAATCCTTTATTCCCTTCATAACAGTGGTGAGGGGAGTGAGTGATTTCTGTTTCCAAATCCTACACCTGTATCCTAAAGAACAGTTATGCCACTACTCTGTCGATTCAAAAACCTCCATTTATATTTAGGGTGATAAAACCACCTTTTTTTCTGTCTGGATTGCTGTTTTGCTTACTTCTACAGTTCTCTGCAATTAAACTTCTGTATCCTTGCAATGGTTATGTGACCTTCAAAGTATGACACATAATTAAGACAGTGCTTCTGGCTGAAGTTCTACTTACAACTTTGAAGCAGTTCCTAAGAAGTGAATGTGGTTCTTCAAAGAACATTTTACAGATGTTTTGCTTAGCTGTAATTGGGCATGGCTTCTCTTTCTTCTGTACGAGACTGCACTTATTCACCTGGGAAAACAAAATTACTTAAATTGGTGTATTTTGGGGTTTTTTTGCATACATCAGAGTAGGATGGGTTCTTCAGATTTCCAGTGTGCACTGGTTTGAAGGATGATATGGACAGCTCAGTACCCTGTTCTAATGTTTATTGTTCATTAATATTGAGAGGCACCTCACAGATTAGATATTGGTTCCTTTTACTATTGATTCTGTTATTCACAGAAGGATTTTGGTGTGTAGTTGCTGACATAGCAGGTAGTTGGCTAGTTCTCTTTTATATAGATCTGACAGGTCAAAGTTGTGCTTTTACTAGATCTTTCTCATGGAGAAAAAAAAACTTCATACCCTTGCTGGATTATCCATAGGTAAAGGTGGCTTTAAAAAAAAAGAACAACATAACCACATCACCAAGAAGTTCTTCAAGCAAGTGTAAAATGTAGTTATTTTACTTACTAAGGAAAATGAGCTGGCAGTTTACTTTGTGCCAACCCTCATCCTGCAGGAGTCAGACACTCAGTCCCTTCCTGTTGTGCAGCCTTGGCCTTGTGATGGTGGAGCTCTGCTGACGTCCTTTGCAAGGTCAGTGCATGACTAAGGCTGTGATAAAGCTCTGGGAACAAGCTGCAGTCAGAGTTCACAGTTCAGTGGGAGCCCTTCCAATCAATAGTGCAAGTGCAGCCATTCTGCCCATAAAGAAGGGCACCCTGGACTCCCCTGCTTCTGTATGACACTAAGTTTCTTATATAATGCTTTTAATTGATTCTTTTGTTCAATGTCTCTCTGGAGTTTTTCATTTTTATAAGTATATTAGAAGTTAATATTTGTAGCAATTAAGAAAATTGTGCCTATGATCAGTCATTTTGGGATCCTGCCCCATTATTAACATAAACATAGGCTGCAACCTCATTAATTATATCTCTGCAACAGCAAGAAGTACAAGATACTTGAAGCAATTCTCTCTTTTACATTAAAGTACTGACATAAACCTGGAAATGAGATTTCTGGTCCCAGACCTCAGACATCTTCTGTGAGACAGGATAAATTGAAGAGTCACAAAATCTTTGTGGTAATAAGATGCGGTTCCTTTTCTTTTTGGTAGTATATTCTTAGATTTAGAGGATCCTGTCAACATGGCTTGAGAGCATGTTAAGGTTACTTTTCTTGCTTGGTTGCATTCACAAATGGTTCTGTACAACTGTGAGTTTGTGTATTCAGATTATTTGCAGCTGATACAGAGTACATGAATTAAGCAGAGCTATAATGTTACTGGTATAAAACTGTTACAACATTTATTTATGATAGTTATAGGAGTCTTTTTGTGCAAGTCAGTAACTGACAGCAGCAGTTAACCTTCCAAGAAGGTCTGAATACTTAGTGGTGTAGGGATGGAGAACAAATTCGCTAGTTACAAGTTTCTGGACTTTTGTTTGTTGATAAGATGTAAAGCATAAAGAACAAATAAAATTAAGAGGCTCAACATACCTAGAACTAACAGCTCTAAAGAAAACTTCAGACTGCAACCTGAGCGATGAGCATACAGATTTGGCCCAGACCTAGTAGCACCTGTCCCTGCATTCCAGGAAAAGGTGCTCTAAGGAGGAAAGCATCAAAGAGACTTAGTTCCAATATCAGTGTATTCTAAAATCAGCAACAGCCACCGCTATGTTTTACCTTACCACCTTGTTCAATGCCATTTAATAGGGAATTCTTGAACAGTTTTTAGCAAATATGTGCAGCCTTTTCCCTGGTTGGACATAGCAAAACAATCCAGTGTGCTGCTGTTTCCACTATTGAGCTTTAGTTCTTCTAAGCCAACCCAGTGTGTCAGACAGTGCCCTCTGTCAGCACCTGCACACAGGAGCCCCTCAGCTCATTACCTGCCAGCTCTGGGTGAACTCTTGCACGTTGTCAGTGAAAGAACCATTAGGCACCATCCATTCGTTTCCAGCTTCGTTATCATTGGTACCAAAAAGCCCAGCTGAAACACCTGGGAGGAAATTGAAATGGAGTAAAATAGGGATTGTCAGGAGTAGGTGCAGGAATATTGCAGCAACTGTCTCTGGGCTCTGTCCAGAGATTATTCTGTCCAGCAGAGTTCAGCTCTGTTGTGGAAGAGGGGAAGCTGCCCAGCCTTCATTGCCATCTCACATCTCAGCTGGTCATGGGCTTCTGAGCACATCATGGCATCAGATCCATTCTCTGCTAATCTTTGGGGGTGACTTTTAGAACAGTGTGGGGTACGTGGATGGTACATGAATGCATTCCAAGTATACAAAAAACTCTGAGGTTTTGGGCCTCCCTCTAGAGTTGTCTTGCAGGTCTGAGAAGCTAAGCCTGCTTTAGAGCAGAATCTCAACCAGATTTTGGGTCTGGGCTGACTGTAGTATCTCTGCCTCTGATTTCTGTCTGCTTTATAGCATTGAATCAATAGGAACCCATAACTTCCTCTTCTCCCTGGAATGCTGCATTCCATGCTCTATTTGGCAGTTACTGGGAATGTCTAGGGCCATTTCCAGGGTCTCTACAAATGAAGAGGGGAAAAAAAACTGAAAGCACAGATGCTGGTATTACCAGTAATTCAGAGAGATAGCAAAAATTACTAACAGATGACAACAGCTGTATGACTGGCACTCACCATGGTGCCACCCAGCCAGAGTGACAGTACAGACATCATACTGAAAGTCACAAGAGACAGAAACTCCTTTCTGATCAGATACTTCTATTTTGTTGGTTCCTTGCCTTGAATTCATGGTACTGTTTTCAAGGGATTGATCCAGGACTTGGCAGTTCTCTTCCGTAAAGGAGAAGTTATACATCTTGGATAGCTGTTTTAAAATCAAAATGCAGTTTCAAACCTGTCCTAGTGAAAGTTCAATCACAGGAAAGCACAGTGGATTTGCAGGTGCAATGAGGCCAATTTAGCTCAGAATTAAGGGAGTAAGAACAGGGTTGTGTTAAACTTCTGAAAAAGCACAAAATCTCCCTCTCAGTGCCGTTCTCTTAGACCATGTCAGAAGATAGTTGAAAAGTTTCTGTCATATACAGAGAACAAAGGCAACCCTTGAGTTAAACTGGTTTTGTTTTGGAGAAGTATTTTCTTTTTAAGAACCTGTTACTTACTTTAAAGCCATTGCCTGAGAGTACTTCTGATCTATGTTTTGAGCATTAATAGTTTTAAAACTTTTATTTGTAAGTTGAAGAAAATTTTTGCCAAAAATAAAAAATGTTTGACTTGATCTTCCTACCTTTAGTCGTGGGTAGATAGTGATCACAGTCTGATTAATCTCCACATACAGTGATCTTGAGTTCCTGGTTTCCTCATTTAGTATTACAGTGAAAGCACTGTGAACAAAATCCTTGGCAAGAAGTACACTGCACTTAGATGCCAAATCATACATTTTTCCATCAAAAGTCACAAGATGCTTGGTCCCCACTAACATAGCATGATCTGGAGAATGGTATTTCAGAAGAAACATCAGTGAGTTTTCCACAGAGCAGTAAATGCTGCACATACTGCAACACACAGAGCTCCTTGCTGTCATACTCTTAAATAATTTCTCAACTTATTATTACAGTGACATTACTACACTTACATTTTAATTAGTTACACTGTAGTTGCTGTGCAACAAGACTTCTCAGAAACAAAATAATTTAATTATTTAATTTTTGTTATAAATTTACCTGAGTGCTATAAAACTTTGATACACTTGAACTGGGATTTAGAGCTCATCTTGATTTGTCATTTTACTCCTTGACAGTCATATTCATAAACACACACACATTATACATTCTTATGCAGAAAACACAAGAATATTAATTCTCAAAAATAGTCTCCAAAAATGACCCTTCCAAATCAGTTCATCAAACAGCTGCAATCCAGGAAACCCTGCTGATAGATGACTCAGATTATTGGGCACTAGGAGCTACTTTCACAGCCCTTTGTCTACTGAGAGGAAACCATTAAAAAGGGTTTTCTGGAAAAGCCATTCTCTCTAAGGGACAGTTGGGATGGTTAGTGCATTCCTTTAGCATTTAGCAATACTTTTACAGGCAGTACTGTTGCTGAAGTTTTGGTAGGGCTGAGCTTGCTCATCCTAGAGGCAGCAGAGGTGAAGTCACCAGTTTCCAAGCCTGTGTGCCAGGACAGAGAGCCAGCAGGTGAGACTTGCAGTGAACCATAGTATTAGCTCACAAGAGCATATGGATAAGGCAGATAAATACCACCTGCTGTTTCTTGTCTCAAGAGTAGGAAGTGTAAAATGTTACAAAATTTGCATGAGTATTAAGTAGAGCAGTGTTACTGCATGTCAGCTTTGCCCAGAGTGTTGATCTTACACCATCACTGTCTTACAAGAGAGACTATATATAAGTTAATGAGAAAACTATTAATTAGCAACCATCTCTATGTAAACTCCTATTCCAGATACAATTTTTAAAATCCAGTACTAAGTGGAAACAGACCCAGGTACAAAACAAAGCAGCACTTTGAAAGGGCTTACATTCAAAGGGGCTCTCCATCATCCTCCGTTTGATTCTGTAGTACTCTGCAAGTATGTTGAGATTGTAGAGGTCTTGCAGAGGCCTCATTAGTTTTTCTCCAATGAGGTAAGTGGTAACATTTGCCAGCTGCAGGGACAGGTCTGCTTTAGGTGGTACTGGCAGCTTTCCTGCCACCGAGCAGTTCCTGTAAAATACAAAGAGAACACACCCCTTATCTGCTGAACTGATGAAATGCTGTTGGTTTATTATTAGAAACACTGAAGTGAAATATTCATAAGAACTGTAGTCTGGTTAGAACAGCAAAACACAATCCTACTCTGGCCAAGAGCTGCACTTTCCCAGGTCACCTCAGGCCAGTTATCAGTCACTGATACCCTGTTTGCTGCCCAGGAGCTCCTTTCAAACAGTCGGTCTGGCAGCCGACAGAAATGAACATTAGGATGTGATGTGACCAAGCAAAGAGTGGTTGGGCGGCTGTCCAGAACCCTCAGCTGCGCACTGACAGGAAGAGTAACTATACACATATCCTTTTAGAACACTGCCCAGAGCAGAGATCCTGCAAAAACACCATTTACCTGGGTGAAAAACTGTACAGGTTCAGCAAGGGCTTCCGGATCTTGCTCACAGCTCTGGAAAACCTGGCCTCTGCCCACCTGAGCACCTGCTGTGTAGCCTGTTGGAGAGTCACAGATTATAAAAGCAATTTCAGTCTGGCTTCAGGGCAGGGTCAGTACTTGCAAATGAGTTTTAAATCAAGAAATGCAAAATACCACTTCAGTGTCTCTTGCATTTGTCTCCTGCCTGACAGTGTCTTGTCACATAGAGGTTAATAATATCCAGAGGACAGACTCTAGTCACAACAGAAATGGAAATCTAGTCTTCCTAAATAACATGACTTAAAGTGTAGCAATGTTTTACTAAGTTGATGTGCTTCTGTAGCTTAGAATTTTATTTATTAATATTTATAATTATTTTATTTATAAATATATATAATATATTATATATATTTATATATTATATATTATAGATCTAAATTATATATATTTATTATATATATTATATATATTATATATATTATATATTTATACATTATAAATAATTTTATTTCTTAATATTTATAAATATTAATATTTATAATCATTTAGAAATATTAATAAAATTATATTATATTTAATAATATAAGTTAGCCTCATGATATATTTTTTATGCTTTTCATTTCAAGTAGAAGAGCCCAGATGTATTTGTACACTGTTTATTGGAATCGCAATTTCTCCTCTCTTTGCAAGAAAAGTAAAAGCTACATGAATGACAGATTACTGCTGCTGTGATTCCAACCAGAACTAGTAAAACAACCTTTCCTCTAGCTGTAACTCTTTCAAAGCAGGACAAATATTGCAAGAACAGTAAATCAGCTGTGCACAAGCTTATTATGTGGAAAGACAACTATTTCCATCAACAAAAATTGTTAATTATTTTTGTGTATCCATAGTTCAAAGCTGAGACTTAAATTTGTAGGCCTTGAATTAGAAATGGAGAACTGACTTATACCAACCATATCCAAGCCTGCTTTCACAACCTTTAATGCCATCTGAATTGGTTCCATTAGCCACACATCTTTTACAATCTTGGGTAAGAAAGCCTGGATTTTCTTCATGTGCTCTTCTGTCTTCTCTTTCCAGACTTCATCCAGTGGCTTCAAGGTTACATCATAGTAGGCGTCTTTCAAAGTTGCTAATGGCTCTGAAGCAAACACATTCATGAGACAAAACATAGCTGGTTTGGTACAAGCAGCTCTTTGCTTGTTTGTTTCCACCCAACTTCCAGCATAAGTGAAGGGGGAGCACAGAAAAGTGGAAGAGGCAGCTGTGTTTGCATGGCAGTCAGGCACATTGCACAGCTGTGAACTGAAAGAGCCGTTCAGCTCTGACCCTGACCCCTTATAAATACATTGCTGCTGTCCAAAAGGAGTGTAAGGGATGCTCTGCAATGTGAACCCATCAGAGCTGTACTGCACAGGCTGCTCTTGCTGAGCAACAGGACAGTTTGGTCACAGCTGATTTCAAACAAATTCAACTTTTGAGAGGGAATAGCCTAGAGCTAAGTGGTCCCGAGTGAGGTTTTGCCCCTGTGAGAACTGAAGGTTTTCACAGCTAATTCCAGCTGACCACATTTCTCAGCTGTTTCAGTATGGGCCATAGTCCAGCTGAACAGTGAATTGGTGGCTACTGGATAGGCTTGGAAAAAACAGATCAAGTGAAATCCAATAAGTACAAGCATTAAAAACTCAAGGAGGGATGTGAACAGCCCTTTGGGAGGAAAGGCTTGCCAGAGAACTGTTAGCAGAAATACTTCAGCTCAGGAATTAAGGACTCTCTTCTCATCCAATTGAACCCAACCTCTTGTGATGGAGAAAAGGCCTCGCCACTGATTTCATTAGAAAAGTGCTCACAGAGAGCCTTCTTAGAGCTTATTGCATCAAGGCTCCCAGTCTATACACTAAGAGCCAAGGTCAGCACTTCTTGCTAGATCAAAATAGAAACCTTTGTGTTGTTCAGTATGTTTTATAGTTTACAGTGAAGTTTGGTTTGCCCTGCACTGACATTGTCCCTCTTCTTGTTTTGCACCATTTTGCTTACTTTGTAATTCATTCTGCATTTGCTGGACAACATCTTGAATTTTCTCCAAGTAAAGTGGGATCCTGCTTCTCAGAATGTGCTCAATTCCACTCTGCTTCCACACCTGGGTGACAGCTGTAACCCCACTTTGCAGGAATCCTGCTGCCCTTTGCAAGGCTATTGAAGGCCAGCCAGCTGCTTCAGACAGGAAACCAACATGCTGCACCTACAGTGGTTCCAAAAAAGAAGCAATTTCAAAACACACAGTGATCTCAAGCAAAGCTTTGACTTCACTGAGAAGCAATTCTGACTCCACAGTGTTGGTGCAGAGACACGATCTCCACCATTAAACAAGTTTCTTGTCTCTTATACAGGTCAGCACAGGAGTAATCACTGCAATGTTTGAGCATAACAAAACAGCAGCAGTCAGTATAATGATGTTTAACTAACACTGCATGAACACTTCATGATGTTTTCACAGATCATGTGATACTTACTGATCTCCTGAATCTCCACAGGTATCCATCAAACTTCTTTATCTTCTCAGTCAGTATGGCTTTCAAAAGGCTCCCAATTTCATTAAGTTTGTTCTGTGAGAAGATTGTTAAAACCTTGAATTCATTACTTAAAATTGCTTGTGTTGAATCCAAATAATTCAAAGTTTGTACTAGTTTAAAGGCTGGCAAACACCCACAGTGGCCTCACATTTCTTAGTGGAAACTGCTTCTGCATTATTCAATGGATTGACAAGGGAACAGAAAAGTCAAACTATAAAAAGCCTTCCCCAGTTAGAGAGTATGTGAAACCCTACTAAAAGTGAAAGCACTTTCAGGATTCTAATAATTAGTTTTATAACCAATAGGCTGATCAGTTACTGCTGCTCTCATTTTATTTACTTGCCCTCCTCAGAGGATCCACCCTTTAGAAGAGGCTCCTGTATTCTCTATCTCTAGGCATGGCTGAATTTCTTAATTCTCACCATGGTAACTTCTCACATCAACATGAAAAAAACTAAAATATGGCATAATTTTTCCTGGTTATTCACCAAACTCGCCTACATGGAAGGTGCTCCATCAAAATCACAAAATCAAATAATAATCTAGGAGAGTAACGCTGCAGTTAACAGCCACTCAAGGGTCTCACCTCAGCCTTAAGAACTGGATCCCCACATCCATGCGCCAGAAAACTCAAACTTCCATTAGCAGCTGCTAGAGTTACTTGTCCCACGTTTTCCTGCCTTTTACCATTGATGCTGAGATAGGTGTTAATGGCAGCCATGTGTTTCCCATCAGAACAAGCACTGACTTCCATTCCTTCTTCCAAATCCCCTTCAGGAATGAAAAGAGAGCCTTTATTTACAGGAACACCATAGACAGAAATTGTTTCAAAGCCAGCTTTTAATTACTTAGGTGATCAATCAGAGCTTGAGTGTGCTAGGTGTGGAGGAAAAAACAAAACAAAAGAGATAAAAAAGAGACAATTAGATCAGTGTCAGGATTTGATCTCTTTTGTGTGGCTTGTTAATGAATTACATATACAGATTTCCTACTGCAAAGGAAGAAATGGATTGATCTAAATCTAAATCTCTCGGTCATACTGGTTTACAGGCCTTTTTTTCTACTTCAGTCCTCATTGTCCCTTGTTGCAGATGTTTCAAAATTGCTCAGCCCTTAAATGAAAGCCTGTCAGTTCCACCCACCACACACGAGTTGTTTCTACAGAAGCACTGATGAGCATAAACAAGTGGTTGGCAAGGTGCACATAGAATCTGGGTTGAGAGAGCTGAGTTGAATAATTTCTACAAACTTCTGACTTCAGTGATTCATAAACAAATGGCCCTAATCTCAAAAACACCACAGCACATACAGGTGAGGACATGAACCTGGGAGAAACTCCCATGCAGAAGTGTGGAATAGCAAATCCACAAGTGAAACAAGGGCTGGGATTGTCAGCAGCATGAGTTTGAGACAACTGGGATACCACCAAATCGATTTGGTTTCCACCCAACTCTAACTGTAGCTGAAATGTGGATAAGCCCCACCTCTTGCAGCTCATTTCACCTCACTTTACTCATCTAGAATTTAGGCATAACTTGAAACAATGGCCTTTTTTCCCTCTTGATGCCTGTCAGAGCTGACTGCTGTGAGACAATCCCCTGCAGGCAGTGATTGCACACATCCCAGTTCATACAGCTGTTCCAGCATCAGTCTCTGGAGGTGCCTCTCTCATTTCCTTTATTGAATTTGGAATGCAATGATTATCTTAAACAAGATAATCATTGCATTCCAAACAAGGCACAAAACTTTAAGATGGTTAAATCAAGAGGAAATTAATCCTATCTTTTGTTACCATCTATTGTAACAATACAAAAATGTGTCCCAAACTGAGCTTTGTAAGAAATTTTAAACTTCAGCTTTTCTTTATCTGAAAGACCATAGCTTGAATGAAATGAGCTAGCTCAGTGCTAGAGACACAACTTTCTTCCTGTCTCTTCATAGCAATGACCCTGGGAGTTGCAGACTAGCTCCAGTTGGAAAGGACCCATAAGGATCAAGTCCAGCTCCCTGGTCTTTGCAGGATGACCTAAAACTAAGTCCCACGGCTGAGAGCATGGTCAGTGAGACACCTACCTTGCAGATACCCCATGTAGTACTGAAAACACTCCTTTCCTTTGGAAGCAGCTACTTTTACTTTCTCTTTCTGATCAATAATCCCCTCCACCAGGATTTGGCTCTGGACAGTTGAGGAAGCGGCAGTTCCTGTCAGGCCTAGCCAAATATCTTCAAAGGCTCTTAACTGCAGCCATAAAGGAAAAACATTTATTCAAAGTCACCACACAGAATTAATTCAGAGATGGTGCTCAAATATCAGTGCTTCCCACAAAAGGATAAGTGGTGAGGGAAATGTTTCCCAATGCTTGAGTGTAACTATGCAGGAGTTACACTAAGAGAGGCACAAACATCAGAGTGATGGGCCCAGGAGCTGAATGACTGGATAGCACGAGACTTGTGGACAAAATTTTGATGGAAGAAATGAATGAAACATAATGTCCCAGTCAGTTCTCTGAGAAGCTGCTGATTTGTGCCATTTATTCCAGAACACAGAATGAAGCAAGCTCATGCAGAGCAGCTGATACTCATTTCATCTCCCTCCTCTCTAAAGAGAGAGGAATGGAAAAATAATTTAGTATTTGTTATTGATTAAATCATCATCATAATTTTGTTAAGGGATGATCAATCCTCTCAGTTAGTACCTGACTACCCACATCCCTACTAATGAAGAGCTTGGATGGTGCCAACCCTGTTAGTTTTTTGCCTCACTTTGTGGCCTCCATCTGCCTCTCCACTATTTTAATTTCACAGGAAATTAAAAGCAAATGCAAAACAGGGGGGAGGGAGAGAAAAAGGAAGAGATTTGTCTCAGAATGAGCATCATATGAGCTGTTTGGTGCCTTTGTTAGTTCTTTTCTTTTTTTTTGGTTTTGGTGGTTTGTTTTTTGGGGGGTTTTTGGGGATTTTTTTGGGGGTTTTTTGTTGTTTTTTGGGTTTGGTTTTTTTTTTTGTTTGTTTGTTTTGTTTTTTGGTTTTTTTTTTGTTTTTTTTTTTTTTTTTTTTTCCAGTTCTTTTTTCTGGCAAATTATGCTTTGTGTAAGCACTGTATTTTGTTTCACTCTTTCTTCTGACGAACTGAAAACCCCATACCTCACACAACACGGCAGTCATGCTGAAGGGGAGTTAGAACAGCACACAGCCTCTTAAAATTGATACACTCCACTAGAAACACACTTGCTTTATTTGTGACAGCTCTACACAGAACTAATGTTGGTGCCTTCCTTTGTCTGGCAGTCACGCTGCATGGACACTGCCTAACTGCTCCTTTGGAGACAGCACTACAGAAGCCTGGAGGGTTTTATGTTGCCTGCTGTTCTATAGTCACTGCCTGTGCCTGATCCATTTGGGAAATAGGTGGCAGCAGGCCTTTGAAAACCAAACCCCAGTGCCAGTAAAATAAAATAAAAACTCACTTCAATTTCCAGAGAATAGTTCTTCACATCAGGAGTGCTCTGATTCTTTATGGATATTCCAATCAACCCCTCATCTCTCCCATGATCAGCAAGGTGGAATCTGCCCTCTGACTGCAAAATGATGTCATCTTTGTTGAGCTGGTGCTTTCCAGATAAAACAATTACCTAAGTATGCACAAAAAAGGTGTTCAAGCTTCCAAATTCTTCCAAACAAATGGGCTCTGCTTTGAATAGTAAGACGTTGTACAGTGGCAGCATTCTCATGAAATTACACCACAAACAGAACTTGTAGTTTCAGAAACCAGCACATCTTCCTGCTCCTCACAGCACTATCTTCATTACATCTTCAGTTTCTGTGCTCTAACAAAGCATGTTCAGTGATTACACCCTAGACCAGAGGAACATCTGCAGAGAACTATATTTTGTTAAAATGTCTAATGTTTTTTGCTCCTACACTTCTCAGCTACTCTAGCCAAACGTTTTGATAAACGTGGGGATACATGGGAGGTCAGGTGAATACTGTCCTGGTTTCAACTAGGATAGAATTAATTTCTTCTCAATAGCTGGTACATTTTGGGATTTGGAATGGGAATGGGGCTCGTTACACACTGATGTTTTGGTTTTGCTCCGTTGTTTATCCTAAATCAAGGACTTTTTTTGTGTGTGTGTCTCCTGCTCTGCCAGTGAGGAGGTGAACAAAAGCCCACCTGGGACAGATGCCCCAGCATGGCCAAAGGGATTTTTCATACCACAGAATATCATGTCCAGTACATAAACTGGGGGGAGTTACCTAGAAGGGGCAAATCTGGGTTTGGGAAGGGGGGGGTCTGGCATTAGGCAGGGGGTGATGAGCAATCGTATTGTGCATCACTTAGTTTCATTTTTTTCCTTTTTACTATTAGTAGTAGTAGTAACTATTATTGTATTTTATTTTGTTTTGAATTACTAAACTGTTCTTATCTCAACATACACGTTTTACTTTTGATTGCCCTCCCCATTCCAGGAGGAGAGGGTAGGGAGAGAGGGGGTTGAATGAGTGGCTGTGGTGCTTAATTTCCAGCTGGGCTTAAACTTTTAAAGGGAATGATCCAAAAATACAGAGGTGCCTCCTTTTGGAGTGACATGCATATACATCCTTTGCATTATAAATAGGTTCTATCCCACCTTGGCCTGGGAAAAAGTTTTCCTGTTGCTAACAGAGCATAAGCTGCTCTGACATAAATAAGGAAACCAAGATGTGTTTCAGCCACTGGAAACTGGAGAGAGACAGTTATTACAGGTTCCAAGTTCTGTGTTTGTGAGTGTCTACAGGCAACTCTGAGGACCAGCATGCACCTAAGGAAGACCATGGGTGGGCCTTCAGTTTATGTGTGTAATAGATAAATAAGGTTACATTACGGTTCAAAAATCCGCCAGAGCAGCAGAGCAATCATATAAACCAGCAAACGTTTACCCACAGGGGAACAAAAGCACGTTTACTTGTCTCTAGTCTCCTTTTTGATCACTTATGAGCCTGTTTTGGTATTCTCCAGAAACATGAAATTAAGATACCTCTGAAAGAGGAACAGGAAAGAAAGAACATGGAGGAAGTGAGAATGTTTACAACCATAAAAGGACTAGAGAATACACTGTAGTAGCAAACAGGACCTTTTTGCTTCAGTCCATCAAATGACACTGTTTATTTATTTAAGCTACAGAAGTATGGTAAATCTTCTGAAGAGTTGCAGCTGAGGAAAACTAAGTCTCCAAATGAGTAATTACATTTAAACTGAAGTAGGTTCAGTGTGTTTATGTCAGACTTACATTTGGAAGGTCACAGAACGCAAAGCTTGTATAGTAATCCAGGCAAGAGTAGTAGTTTGTTTCTATTTTACCCAGAATCTGCTGTTTGGCACATGGGGTCAGGAAAATATTTTCCAGAACAGCTTCTAACTGAAACTTATCAGGATACAAGAGTTGATTTCTCTGCAATGAACCAAGAAAACAAAAGATGACAGCAAGATCTTAGACACTCCTTGGAGCCCACTCATCCCATCCCTGGGCTGGCTTTTGTTATTTCAGTAGCTTCAGAATTTTGAAGTAACATTTCCAAAACATAACATTTCCATTTGACAATGTTTTGGCTTATCAGCCTTGTTACCGGTCCCCATCCTACAAGTTTTGTAAATTTAGGGCACAGGTGAGGCCTCCAGTTTGTAAGAACCCTTTCTTTCTTAGCTATGCTCCATTTAGCTTTCTTCCTGTGTAGAGACAAATGTAAATGGTAAAGTGAAATAATGGTGTTTCACAAAAAAACAGTGCTCTGTAGAAGCTTTCTTAAAATCCACTCAATATTACATCTAAAACCAAAATAATTCATCTACTGAGAACAGCTTCCATAAAAATGGCAAGTCAACAGATACAACTGCCTTCTCTTACCTCATATGTGAAATTGTGTTTGAATTTTTTGTCATCCCAGTTCAGATCTAGGTATTCATTAAACAACGCTGGTCTTTGCTCTAGAGACCCACATGCATGCAGGTGTTCCATGCTTAATATTCTCTGAAACTGGAAAAGTGGAAAAAATTGACACATATAAATAATTTTTTAAAAAGTGTTCAGTATATCCTCAGGCAGTAGGTTTCCTGGGCAAAACCCCACCCTGTGAGAACCCCTGGATGGTCTGTACCCATGAAACCCTGCTTCAGTCTCTCCCAAGAAACCTAAGGGGCTGACAGCTCTGCCCTGAGGGAAAGCTGCAGCCCAAGTACAACCATGTCTGGCAACATGAACCTGAATTTTTCAAAACATTTATTTTTCTTTCTCTGAGACATAAAAAGGTTGACTTCAAGGCTTTCATATGGTAACAAGTACAGAAAAAAAATCATTCAGTGAGGATCAAACACAGAAATTCAGCTACACTCATCCCTTCCAAGGGATACAAGACACATACCTGGCCTGCAGAGAGTGTCACACAGCCACCCCAGGCAGTGATGTCCATCTTGGATTTATCCTCCAGCCCCAGCCGGAGGTGAGCAGGCTGCCCAGCATTCCCTGAGACCTGCAGCTGAAAGCAGAGAAGGATTGTCCAGCAGCAAGACTAGAACCAGCAGAATGATCCCCATCCAGCGGAGTAAAACAGAGCCACTGTGAAAGCTGCCACAGATCCATGTTCCAACTCTGTGGAACTCAGTGGTCTGGAAACTCCAGGCCTGAGACAAACCCAGGGAAGCTTCACTTCTACAACCAAGGCCATGGAAGGCTTTTGTCACCTTCTCTGGAAGCTCCCTGGGGTCTGTCATGCAAAGCAACTAAAGGCACAACTGCAATAATGACCCTACAAGAGAATTTATTCCTCTGAATATGATTCTGGAACCATAGTGAGTATTGTGCAAACCCACCCCCCCCCCCCCCCCCAAGCCCCAAAGGGCTTCAGATGAACAAACACAGCACAGCTGGCACAGTTGATTGCTGAAAGTCTTCAGCCTCAGCAGCTGCAGTGTTCTGACCCACACAGAGCACTGTCAGACAGAAATTATACTGTAGTATTTGATCTGGAGGGATTATTTATGGAGTTCCTCCTCCTTTTTTCCCCTTTTTATATATGCTTTGCAAGTGCATTTCAAAACTATAGTTTAAAGCCTTTCTAGTCTTGCACACTTTCACATTTGTGTTGCAATTTCCTATACAATCTAAAAATTTACATTTTCTTCACGGGGGTATCAAAGGGTTTATGGTTTGGTTTTATCGTGGGATTGGGTTTTTTTTTGTTTGCTTTTCTTGTGTGTGCAGACTAGGAATTTGTTCATTGCTTTAAGGACAAAATTTGCCTCATTTTCATTGCTTGGCAGGTTCCTGGGCACTTCTGGGTTCCTCCCATCCAAAATGGGTCAATACTAAAAGTTCAAGGCTGTTGGCTAGGAAGCAGTGCTGGTGATTTGGACAAAAGGAGATAACAGCACTTGGTGCTCTTTACATTTTTCAGGATGATTTCTGGTTCTGCAGTTCTCAGGGACAAAAGGCACACTCACAGTAAATGCAGTATCACAGCTGTGTGTTTTGCAGCCCAGCCTCATGATCTCACCTGCTGGTTGTACTTTCTGCCCCTTCTTTCTGACAGGGAATGCACCTCCAGTTGCTTCAGAGTGTAATTAAATGGGTGGGCAACAGTGGCTCTGTAGCTTGTCCGGTGTCTTCCAATCTTCAGAGAAGATGACACTGATATCTGATCCATATCAACAGATGGAAAAGGAACTTGTGAAATAAAACACCTCTGACATACTGACCTCAAACCTGCACCCAGATTTCCCTGTACCTTGTCCTCAAATGAATTATGTGCACAATAAAGTCCTTTCTGAAGAAGTGAGACAAATTAATGGTAAAATTAGGATAATTTTTGCTGCTTGAATTCCCTGCATAGCACAGCTCAAAGCAGAACTACTCTCTGTATTTTACTAAAGTAATGAACAATGCTTAAGTTTGTTGAAGCTTAATTTTGATCACATCTTTAGGGACTGCAGGCTGCACTGCCACAGAATCATTGGATATGGTTTGCAAAGTTAAAGCACAAGAAAAAGCATTTACTTCATCAGGAGCTAAATTCTGCTATGTTATTGAAAGCAAAATATTTTTGTGGTAATTTAGATAGTGGCGGGATTTTAATAGTTGTGGTAATTTAAGAAGTAGTAAGAAAATACATTCTATACAACTGCTAAAGTAAATTTTGGAATTTGTTAACTTTTAACTGCTCTTTGCAGGCACATTTATGTTTATGTGTGGTAGCATACTTTATACATTGTCTTCTATCTTTCCATTATTTAGAAAATAATGTAATATTCAACCAAGGTGCTGCATTTCAGATGCACATGTAAAGATAGCACAGATAGCAGCAAGTCAAGAAAGTGTCCCCACTTAACCACATCTGGAACTCAACCTACCCTATGTTCTCCTAGTTCTGTCTTTTTCATTCTTTCCACTTTTTAAAAATAGTGATGACTTACTTTATGAAAACAGAGACTGGTTTCAACTGTTCCACATTTGTCAGTCTTGCTAATGAGGAGGAGAGTAAAAGAATGAAATACAAAAGAGCTTTGACTGAATCAATAAAGCTGAAAATGCTAAGCAAGTATGTGTCCTTTTCTGTGTGGGTAAATCCAGTATTATACCCATGCAACAAGTTCTTCATCCTTCTCAATCTCAACTAATGCTCACACTTGCTCACTTGTTTTAGATTTCATTTCTTTGTCCATAAGCTGCTTTAAGCATGATATTTGTGCTATTCTTCCCACCTACTATCAGAGGCCCTTACCCAGTGTGCTTTGAGGCTTATGCATTTCATTACCTTTGGTTAAGCAGCAAGGTGTGGGGTTACTGCAAACAAAGAAATACTATGGCCTGAAAACACTTCCTACAAGAATATCAGCTGCTCAGCTTTCACAGTCAGAACTTTTTATGCATCCAAGAAGGGGGATAGTTTGCCTTATAGTCAAGTTCCCTGGCTTGCTTAGTCCCCTTTTTAAATAAAAAAATCAAGCAAACAAACAAACAAAAACTCTTGATACCCTCCTGACATTTATTTGCTCTGGGCCACTGTACCTTGTCCTTCTCGTTCCAAATGACGGTAAGAACATCCTGGTGACTGCGTGCTGAATGTTTCACATATAAGTTGGCCCAGGCATGCCGTGGAAAAGGGATGGAGAGAGGATGGAGAAGTTCCACTACAAGGAAAACAAACAGGATTTGCCACCAGGAATCATGACCATTCCCAGGACATTTTTCCACAGGCAGCAGGACAACGCTCACACACACACCCCTACCCAGCAGCCACAAAGAATTCAGTGTGCTGATGCCTGCTCAACAGGAGGAAATGTGAGAACAGGAACCCTCTCTCTATTTATCACCAGAACAATAACCAAAAGATTGACAGCTACACCCAGAGTAACTTCAGCAATAACAACCAGGGAAATAATGTGTGTGAAACTGAGATGGCGTTACACTGGAAGAGGAATAGCTTACAACACTTAAACAGGTAAGTGCAGTTATCTTCTCTATTTTCAGATCATATAGCCCCAGCATAAGGGTTTAACACCTCAAGGTAGCAGCCAGTGTGACCAGCGCTCCCTTCAGCACCCGGTACTTAAGTTTTATGTTCCATATTCACAAAGCAGAAAGAGTATTCTGAAGTGGACATTTCTAACAGTCAGACCTATAATGAATTTAAAACAAATAAGACCTTAGAAGCCCTAAATTGAAACTAGGATTGAAACCCTTTGGACATGCATTTTGAAATCAGATTTATCTAGTTTATTTTATAGTCTGCTTTGAACACTTGTAAAAGACTTGAGAAACCTACCCTGAATGCCATGACCTCCAGGCAGCTTTGGCAAGAGTCCAGTGTAAGTGCCTGTTAGCTTTATCTCTCTGCCATCCCACAGGGCAATGTGCCTCAGCAGATGAGTTCTGTTGCCTTTTTGGTAAATTGTCATCAACACAAGTTGCCTTGGAAAAAATTTTAACTAAAAATAAAAAAGGGCAAACATTAAACCCCAAATTCTCTGAGAAGGTAAAACCTAAGTGTAATTTTGGTACCCCAAAGTCCTGTGGGGTCTGTAGGAATGTGTTTTTAAAGGTCTAGCACAATGTTACTCTAAGCCCACTGCTTTCATACAAGCAACTGTTCGTTTCTACTTATCTTCATTTCTACAGAAAGTTATCTTTATCTCACAGAATAAACCTTACAACATCAAGAGTCCCACTATTACAGGATAAATCCAGCATATAGCACAAACAACAATAGGTATTCGTGACCTCTTTTCTTATTTAGAGAAAGAAATGTGTGGTACCTGCATTATAAAAACTGGTTCCGTTTGTAGCACATTATTTTTCTTATTTTCTATATATCCTACATGAGTGCTCCATCTATAGGAGCAAACAAATATAAACTCAAACTAATCCACAATCAAATGTTTGCTCATGCTACTGGAGAAATCAAGAGCAAAACACCTCACACAGCAGGAGCTGCATTTGGCCTTCACTGCTTGGCAGCCACCCCAAGTGCCCTCCTGTCACAGCCTTTGCTATCAGTGGATGGTACCAACCTGGGCCATGGTCTGTGACACTTCAATGGCATTAGTGTAGCTGCTTCCAGTCAAAGTTAGCTTTGCTGAAACATTGAAATCCCTTTTTTCCATCCTGAGGTAGAGTTTGCCTTTTGCTTCACTCATATCATAATTTACCTTTTCAAGTTCCCATTAAATTAAAAAAAAAAAAAAAAAAAGAAAATAAAAGACTGTGATTGTTAACATTTTTAAAAACAGGAACATCCTCAACAATAACAAAAATGTTAGAGATACTAGTACTAGAAATAAAGCAGCTTGACTCCTAACATATTAGACAAGTCTACTTTGCAGTGATGTATGCGATGGATTACTTGCAGATAATTACCTTAGAAGACAGTTGTGCTGCACAGGGGAAGTACTGTAGAAAGAAGGGATGAGTCTGGAGTGCTTTTATATTCAACTCTTCACTAAAGGGAAGAAATGTTCTCTTGTTCAACAATATTTCAGAAAGTCGACTCTTGCAGGCAGCACAAGTTAATATGAGTTAGCTCCAAGTCTGCCACAGCCTTTAGAGTTAAAATTGCATTACCTGCCACTGAACACTTACCCAGCTCCCAGTTTTTGATGCATTCACACAAAATGATCACCTCTGAGCTCAATAAAAAATCTACGTATGCATCCCAGGGACAGAATGTAGCCCACTGGACCAGAAACCATTTTGCCATAGCAAATGCATCAGCTTTTTAAAAATGAGAAAGATATTTTGGAATCTGACTTTGCAAGCACTGTCATGGTTTATAAACTTATAATTTACAATTATTAGAGATCTTAACAGAACTTACAAGACTTTTCAGTGCAAAGGTCTTTTGCTAGAAACTTAAGAAATAGCTGAAGTACCCCAAGGTTAAAAATATCACACCTCTAAACAGCCTTAAAAGCCTACAGTTTTGTGCAGATACAGCCACACTGACACCAACTTAGAAGACCAAGTTGCCATAATTTTACAAGTTTCAACCATGCCAAAACAATTTAATAAGATTTAAATATTTATGTCAAGTTAAGTTATATTTTGAAGTATTTGTCTCATCCAGGCTTAGAGTTTTACAGACTCTTTCACTGTGTGCTACTTGGATTCTGAGTGGGCAGGCAGAGACAGGTGTGGGGGGAAGAATCTGTCTGCAGCCCTTCAAAAACTCCCCGAGGTTTACAGAGTGTTTGGTGTGACTACTCACTTCATCCAAGTTTTGTTATCCATTTCACCAGTGATTTGGTGATTTATACAGTAACTGTATTCTATGGAAATCACAGTGGCCTAATGGCATTTTTATAGTGCTCAGAATGATCCTTTTACCCTTGCTGGTCTTTTTTCCTACTGATGGAAAAGGAGAAGTTTTTGTTTTGTTCATAGGTCAGCCTCAGAGCACCTTCAGTTTCATTTTCAGTCATGACTTCTTGAACTGTCATCTGTGGAGGGGGAAAATAAAAAAATGACATGCCATAACTTCTACCCAGTATTTCACCTCAATTGAGCACAATCTCTTGACTCACTTAAAACCATCACCTTGACTGAAGTTTATCTTCCAGACAGGCCTTCTGGATGCTTCCTAGATGTAAACCAAGAGCCTCATGAGAGGTTTTCCTTTTTTCTGCATGTTTTTCCATAGCTACTCATTTGTATTATTGGAAAATATTAGTGTTACTTTCAATGTACCTTTATCTGGTTTAAGTCTAAAGCTGCTGGTTCTTGTTTATGTCTTCCACAATTTCATGTTTCATATACCAGAAAGAAATTGTGATCTTTTTTTATTTTTTTTAAAGAAACAGATGAGGTTCCACCTATTTTTTGCTCCAGGGCATTCCTCCCACAGCTTCTGCATCATCTACAGCCTTATCCTGAAAATGCTAAAGAATCTCTCTGGGAAAGATGAGGGCCATTTCCCACACTTCAGTAGCAACACTGGCATTTGCCAAAGTCTGTGGGAACAGTAATTTCTGGTTATACTCATATGTTATAAATTAATAAGGCACCTCAAGAATTACTATCACTGCTTTTCTTTTTTTTAGTCAAACATTTAAAGCATAAAAGACATTTCACTAAATATTAATAGGGAAGAAGCAGTGAAAATATCTAATACCTTACTATAAAAGGTTGGCAGTAAATATTCCCTTGAAACACTAATACTTAATATGCAGGTTTAATATTGATCTAATGTTTATGTTCAGGAAAGTTGACCTTTAGTCTTGCATCCTAGCTACACATGTCCTGTTATTTAAAGAGAAGGTGGTGGATCACTTGGAAATGTTTTTTCTGTGTACTACCCTTAAAAAGGGAAGGGGACATTTCAACTAATGCTTCTTTCTCCCAAGGAATAAACAGGTATAGGCTTGGTTGATCCTATTAAGTAGTTTGGAATATAAATCTACTTCTGTTTATTCAACACTGAAGCATTTTACGTATTTGTGCTACAAGTAGTTTAACCAAGGCAAGGAATTCTCTAGGTATGGAGGACAGCTGTTTTCTACCAAAAGTTCTTTCTACTTTTGTGAGCCCTATCAGCTGCAAAGTGATAATAAATACATGCCTTTCTGAAATTATTAACCCTGAAACTGGGGATTTCAGATACCTGACCAGGTTCCTTAGAAACAGACCACTAGCTCTGTACTTAAGCTAAATGAGGATTCAGATAAACTGGACCAAGTCAGCTCTCAGCTGCACTTGTATATAAACCTGGAGTCATTTTACTAAGGCCACTGGAAGTGCTCTGGATTAATGCAAATGTAACTCAAGTGACAGCTTTCATCAAAGCACAGCAAAAGTTTTGTGGTGCATTACCTTAAGAAAGAAGGGAAGTCCCAGGTGATGGAGAAGTGATATTGAATGCTTCACCTCTGCCACGAACACAAATACACCAAAGAGTTCAAAGTCTGTGTCAACATCCACAGTCACAGTTATATCTTTCTCATCGTATTGGATTTCACAGACAGTCTTGGCTTTGTTTTCTATACAGAAGGGACAAAATAGCACCAATTTGAGCAGCTAATTTTTGAGTAATTTCAGTACTGCCTGTATAAAATCAACCCAGACAGCTTTTAGCTTAATACATTCCTCAAGACAAAGTAATCATTCAGGATTACAAGAATCTTTGGCCTGTGGTTGGAGGGCAGAGTTTTTCTGGATGTCCTTGAACTTTGTCTTTACAAAGTCTCGTGGTAACAGAGCTTGTGTGCACACATCCAGTGTTAAGTGGCAAGTTAGTTCCTGTCAGGAATGCGTTTGTGCAGCTAGAGCTGACTAATCCATAAAACCAGCTGCATCCCTGGCCTGCAGCAGCCTCTTCCAGGGAACAGCTCTGAGCTGTTCTGACCTCCAGTGACTCATTTGGTTCTAGCTACAGCAGCTCAACAATGCCCAAAGAGCATGACCTGAATACCTTTCCCCACTGTCCTACCAGCTTTTCATTTTTGAATAGGAGACTGCTAAAAGATCAAAATGAGATAAGAGATGTGAAACTCCACAAATTCTTTAAGACAAAACCCACATAAATGGTGGGTTTGTGGTGGAAATCACATGGTGACTATGGCTGTCCTGAGAATGACCTCTTGTCCTGTTGCTTTTTTCTGAATGGGTGAAAGGAGATGATGCCACTCACATTAGTATTGATTCAGTGCCTGCTAACCTCAGTAATTCCTGCCCTTTGGTGCTCTCACAATTGTTGAGTTTTCTTCAACATGAGTATATTCCCCTAGGGGCACTTAAGGTACCTGATCACAATGTAAGAGAGAAATGCAGATAGGATTTATGCCACGGCAAGCTTTAATGGTAGACTTGCTTCATCAACTAATCACAGACGCAGTTTCAGAATGACAATTTTACTTACAAACAAGATAAAGCCTCTTTTTAGGTACTTCTTTTTAGGTACTACCAGCAAATCTTAGCTTGTAGCTGTTGAAGGAACAGCTGAAACTTCCTCATAGAGCTATTAGAGAATAAAATCCCTGCCAGGAATGGCAGGTACCCACCTGATTTCTGTAAACTGAAAATCAAGTTGATTGCCTTAGGGTAGCCAGATGCCTGGAGGACCTCGCTGCTGTGCACGCTCTGGCAGAAGAGATCCACTTGGTGGCCAACATAATATGAGTTTATTATGTATGTGATTGATGTTTCTCCAGCTGCAATGTGCACATATCTCTCTTGAGTAGTGTTTCTCCCTTGAAAAACCATATCTATCTAAAAATGACATGTAAATATAAGTTCTCAAAACAATATTTAAATAATATTTAGTTTTAAGACAGGAGAAAATGGAAGTGAAAGAAAGTTCTGTCTAGTCTATACTAATGTCAAAATCTATCCATTAACAACATATCTCTTGGCCTTTCATTAATCATCTTTGACTTTCAAGTATGAAGCTTATTCAACTAAATGAATGTCAAGCCCTGCCAGCCTCAGTGATCTATGACAAATTTTCATTAGGTTATTTTTTATCCCACAAACACAACTTCCTTCTTATAAAGGCTACTTAATATATACCTACTGACAATATTTACCAGATAGTAGGTACTCCAATACTTCTCTGAAAATAGCACACAAATACTTCTTTCAGTATAAAATTCCCATTCAAGAGCAAAGGGGCAGTAGTCCAGTTCCTGGTGCAATGTGCTCAAGCTGTCCTGTAGAGTTACAATATCAACAGCACCCACTCTACTACCACAGGTCAGAATGGAAGAATCTCGTTCAGAAAGAAGCCAATGAGAAACTTTCTATTTCAGTAGTTCAGGTTTTAGGCATCCAGAGTTTTTTAAATATCAGAAAGTCTCAGCTTCCCTCCTGTACTTTACAAAATGGGAGTTTTCATTCAAGCCATGAGCTTGAATTACATCCTTATACAGGACAATAATTATAATTAAAAGCAAACAAACAAAACAACAAAACCCCATAACTACCTGTAAAGATGATGGGACTCTGGCTTGTAGCAGCCATGGCAAAGAGTGATGGAAATTCCCTGTTATGTTGGTACTTGTTTCAAACTCCTGAATTTGTCCTTCAAGAACTGTTAGGTGAGCACCATAAAGCACTTTCAAACTAAAGCTCCTGGTGACTTTGAGGTTCAAGATAGCCTGCGTGCAACAAAACTAAATTGTCAAAAGACAGAATTGTAAAAGTTAAAGCTCCTGCTAGTCAAGGTTCTTTCTTTGGTTGAGACAGTATAATCTCAAAGATGTGTCAAAAACACATCTTGTATCATTTTATAACACAACACAACATAGTTATAAATGTCCCTTTTATTTTAGAGCTCAAACATTTAACATGTATTCTCAAGTATGGCCATACTTTAATGCTGTTCAGTTACATGATTAATAAGTCTTGTGTTACTCAGATAAAAAAATATGCCAGGTAAGCACAGTTCAGAAGGAAAATACCATTTGGAAAGGACCCTTTGAAATCCCAGCAGTGCTCCCCTCTGCCCTGTGTGTCCAGGGGACACTGCAGCTCTGCCGGACACACAAATGCAGTGCCCTCCTCACTCCACAGCGGGAGCGACCGCCAGCCCCAGGCCTGTGGAAAGTTCTGGTCTAAACTATTCTCCCGTGAGAACAAACTGAGCTTCGGAACTCCCCTCAAGAGCAAAGGGAGCACTTAGACTCCTCTTCACCAAAACAGCAAATGTGTAAAGTCCCATCTACACCCACTGCTCTTTGCCATCTCACTTCCCCAGCTGCTGTCCCCCTCGTGCCATGGCTCCAGGTTGATAACTTACCTGCAACTCAATCCTGTCTTTTATTTGCAAAGTCTTTAATGTGTCTATGTTATGAATAAGTTTGTAGTTAAGAGACACAACATCCAACTTCTTGACAAAGTTCAGTTCTTCTGTAATCTGTTCAAGTAAATATGACAAAATTAACTGTGGCACATCTCTGAAATGGAGGCTTCTCTGAATAACTGTAATCATTGGACTAATTACACACTAGAATAAAATTATGAAAGCTATGAAAACTTTATGGTGAAGAATTATCTAATTTTTTTAGAAGTCACAGCTTTGTACTGTAAAACGGAATATGCTGTACCAAGTGAAGATTCTTGATAAGGAAGATTTGATATAGTTTACAAACGAGAGTCAAGGATCATTGCTGATGTCAAATTTGTTGCAAGGAGCAATTGCACAGAAGGGCTGGCTGAAAGATACTGCTTTAATTTAATTAAGGCCTTTAGAACTAACACAGCCCTGACAAAGTATTGCATTTGGATTGCCTGCAGAAACAATATTTACCAAATCAATTAGCTCACTTCAACTCCTATTTCACATATAACTGATATGGAGAAGACACTTACTTGCTTGTTGTTCACACAGAAATTAATAAATCCTTTATAGAAGTCACTGTTTTTTTCTGATGCCACATCAAGTAACATCCTCATAGGAATGCCAATGTCAGCAGCTCCTTGGATGTTATGGGTTAGCACCACATCCAGCTCTTGCCTTTCCTGTTAACAGTTCACAGCACAGAGAGCAAAGCACGTGTAGAACCCAGAGATCGCTGCAATACAGAGCTCAAACCAGAAATCTGTCTGTCCTACATTTAACATGAATTAAAGTCCCACTAGCTATGTTGTTTCCCTATGGCACAGAAACATGCAGAGATCGCCAGTTATGGCAGGAAAGTGAAGCACCTTCAGGAAACAGGTACTTGTGCTGTTCTCTGCTCTCTTGCTCTGATGACAAGAGAATCTAAACTTGTAATTGTCAACAGAAAAACAAGAGATTCACAGCCTTCACTATGTTGCTGTCTCAATGCATAAACAAACAACAGTGTCTCAATTAATCATTGCTTATTATTTTGCAGGGTAAATCACAGTGATGTCAGGAACATCCAACAGTAGAATACAAACAACACACATTCACACATAAAGAGCATAACAAGGAAATTATTCAGGAAGTGCCAGAGCCTATATCCTATTATCCTATACATCAGTTACTGCACATTGAAGGTGCCAGATTTTCAAAGATTTTATTATTTAATTTTTATTCTGGCATTTATTACTTAAGCTTGACTATTTGTTCCAAATAACATAGGTTAGAATACATTACTCAGTATTTTGTTCACACACTCCAACAGTCTGCAGGGTACTCACGTCAGTGACTTTTAGTATAAAGAGTCCTCGGAATTTACTTTCATCAACAGTGATCAGTGTCTGTGAATCTAGGTTCATCTTATCCATCAAAAGATAGCCTGAGCCATCAATTTTTATTGGTGCTCCAAGATCCTGTAAAAGAAAGAAAAAAATTTTAAAATCACCACTTTTGCACTTAACCACAAATACATTTTCCCTCTGAAACTTAATTTCTTATAGTAACTTTAATCACCTAGCTGTGAAATCAAGTATATCAGGCAGCATAGGCACAGGATGTTTCAGAAATCTTGAGAGCTTTTTAATACATTTTATAAATGCTGTCTTTTTTGTTTTGAATATGTCTGATTATTTTTGATAAATGAGTCAGCATAAATAGAACACTGGACAATGTGGCAGCTCTTCCTGCCTAAATGGAAAGTTAATTTATATTCTGTGTTTGACATTGTCCCAGTGGCCCAAAGCATCCATAAATTCAGTGAAACCAGACAGTATACATAAATTTATTATGGCAGTTCTGGTTTTGGAAAAGGGCAAGTGAATCTCATCTTTGTATATTCAGATTTGCCCTGACTTGCATATTGAATTCACAGATCATAATGTGATAACATGTCTCTCAAACTTTCCATACACTGAATTTTCTGACCTGAAGATTATCTATTTACTTCATATATTTTTAAACTGTTTCAGTTTGTTTCTCAAACTGCTGAGAAACTGTAACTGCTTATAAAGCTAAAGACAAATTTGAATAATCATTATTTCTGAACAGAAAAACCCTGCAGAATTTTCAACCATGATTTAGAAAACACATTGGAGCTAGTACAAGCAAGTCCATTATCTGCAGGTACTGATTAAGAGAAAATTTGGAGTATGCCATATGAAAATACAGGGAATGACTGGCTCCAGAAGATGCAGCATTTAAAGAGAATGCTTTTCTTATTTCTCTGCAACCTCTTTGAAATACTTAGATTATTGTCTTTTGACTTTAGCAGGTACAAAGGTCCTGGCTTAGATGTATAAATTAAACATTAAAGGAGAAAATTATTTCCCATACCTGAATTGTTTGGCATTTGTTTTCTATAAGCATTTTCCACTGCAGGTTCTTTTCAGGGTCAAAGTCCCCATTCATCCGAAGCTCACAGGCACCCAGTTTCATTCCAGCTCCAAGAAGATACTTTAAGTGTTTCCGTGCACTGATGGACAGCTTATTTTCCCTCGGGATTTCCTTCAGCTGGGGGAGGTCATGCCTGAATTGAATCTCCAGAGCCATCTTTGGCTTGCACTCTGCTCTCACTTCAAGATGGGCAGTTTTGCCTTCTGTTTCCAGGACAGAGAGCAACTCTGCCTGGCACTTGTCTTTCTGAATGGATCCTGTGAGCCGTGACTGAGTTGGGAAACTGAGATCCTATCAAGATTTAAACAAAAAATCCTTTGGAATATTACAAACACTCTAAGACAAGTGTGTATTATATGATACAATACCAGAGACAAAACCTACTATCTCCAAGTTAACATTTTTCTTCCTCTCAACAAGAAAGGTGATTTTTCCGGAAGAGGACCTGATGCAAGATTTAAGGGCTGTCCTGAAGAATTCACAACTTCTGCATCTTTATGAAGTTTAATATTTACAAAAAATATAAAATACCTGTTTCTTCAGATTGGCAAAGTTTACTAAATATTCTATACTTCATCCAGACCACACCAATCTCAGTTTTCAAACAAATTAATGTACAAAAATCATAGGCCTAATAGATATCCTTGCATCTGATTGTAGAAGGTTTGGTTTTTTTAATAATTAAACTTCCTGCTTGTCTTGTGCAACATCCCAAATGAAAGGTTTCTTCCCATTCTGTCAAAGAATTTCTAAAAACACTGAAAATTCTACTATTTTTAATACTTTAAGGGGTTTTAATTCCCTTTTCACAACAACTTCCCTGTCATTTTTATGTTGCCACTTTGTAGTTGAGGAAGTTACTCAGTTTGAGGATTTGAAAGCAAAATATAAATTCCTATGAACATCTAGGAAAAAACCCCTGATTTTGCAATAGTCATTCTTTCCAATGTAGTCAGTGAGACTAACTGGAAAAAAACAAGGAAGTTCTCTTTTGATGTAATTCTCACAGACCAGGGAATATATTTCTGACAGAGTTCAGGCTAATATTGCTGTTCAGCCTTAGAGGGCACTGTCGGCCTGAGAAGGCAACAGTCAGCAAAGGCTGAACTGATCTCAGTCTCAGAGAGCACCTGGGAACAGGATGTGTCAGACACTGCCTTTGCCAAATGCTGTGAGACAGGTGTGCCTTTAGAGTGCCTTCCCAACACTTCAGCACTGTCATTTTAGCTAAAACCCACATGCCCTTCATTTCATCCCCAAACTCTCTTTAAAAGCTTCCCAGAGCTACCTGCAGAAGCTGACATTCTGTTTCTGTTTCCAGTGTCCAGTCAGCTTTATTCTGAACACAGAGATCCCCTCTAGCCTTCAGTCTGCATCTGCCAGCCTGCAGCAGGAGAATGACTTCTGTGGTGGAGTCTGTGGCTGCAGAGAACAGGACTGAGTTTTCAAAAGGCAACCCAAGCTGGCTGAGCCAGGGAAATGAATGCCTGAGCATCCCTTGGAGCGTATATTCATGCTGACAGGAGGTGTCTATCTGCACATCGACTGCTCTGCCATCACACTGCAGGTTCATTAACAAGCCCACATTGCAGATGTTCTGTTGAAATGAGCCCCCCAAGACTGCAGCACGAGGCAATCCCATCCTCTGCAACAGAAAAGATTATACAGTTTAGAACACACAAAGCAAAGCAACTGTCTTCCTCATTTGTTCCTTATTCATGAGAAAGCATTTCTTCTTTCTGAAACAATCTGCATTTGGAAAGGACCATACAAGACATCTTATTAACAATCTGCATTTGGAAAGGACCATACAAGACATCTTATTTCATAGAGAAATCAGAAATTTCTCTGTGAAAAAGCAGAAAAAAAATGGGGGGAGTGGGGGGAAAGAAGAATAAATCCTTGAATAATTTTTTCACAACTAATGTAGAAGAAAAAAAATCTTAACTTCCACAATTCCAAACTGAAAGGACATGCTTTTCACTAGATTTTAGGACAAAAGTTTATTTTAATTAATAAACTATTATTAAACAACATTTTTATGGCAATAGCAGTAACACCTACCATTGTATTACTCCAAATTATCACTTCCTCCTGCAAGTGCTCTGACTCATTGCTCTGTCAGAACTTTAATGACCAAATTTGGCCTATTCATAAATGTGTCAGGAGACAGTTTTCTGTGACTCAGTGATCTGAAATGCGAAGACTGGAAGGGCATGCAGAAAACAATCTGGGCTTACCTCTAGACTGACACACTTGTTTCTAAAAGCAAGTACCCATCCTGTCTCATTGCCTGCCAGGCTCACTTCCCCATCAGCTTCCAAAGTGCAAGGCCCAACGACAATACCAAGGATGCCCTTGTACTTGTCACTTCTCATGGCTAACACCTTCAGCTGGTTCTCTCTGGCAATTCCCAGAGACTGAAGTAAAGGCAAAGAATGCTGGAAGTTGATTTCTAAATGAGGATGGGTGTTACTGGTGGCGTAGAGTTGCAGGCAGGCAAATATATCATGAAGAGAAACATGTCCAAAGAGGATGACAGTAAAGTTGCTGGTAAATATTGACCCATTCAGTGAAACTCTCGCTGGAGTCTGAAAAATTACAGAAAACTCAAGTTTGCTTTCCTGTCAGGTCACATACTGTTTTTAAAAGCACATATTAGTAGAAGATAACTGTTCCCTACACAATTTTGTATTCATCCCACATAATTATAAATGCTGAAACAAATGGAGAGATGGACTCAAATCTTTGTTTTGGAGTTCCACAATAGAAATAACAGGAAGAAAACCCAAACCAATAATTAATTAAAATATTTGAAAGCACACACAAAACTTCCAGCAAGCTGAAATTCAATTTCTACATGTCCAACAATGCCAGTACTCAGACTCCCTCCACAGTAGTTAAGACACTATGCTGTTTAGAGCAAAGTTTATAAATGAAGTGGGTACCTCAAAATGACGAAATGCAATTGCACCATTGCAATGGCCAGAAAGTTGTTTGTTAGCAGATTCTCCACTGCAAGCAACCTGTTGATGTTGTCAACAAAACACTTTCAGAGAATGAAGAAAACCAGGGAAGACTAAAATTCAAAGGAGCAAGTTACAGGGCTGCTTTAAGGATCAAATGGATGAAGGCACCAAAACATAGATTTAAGGTTAGAGCTCCATTTCAAAAAGATAAACAGTTTAGTGTTTACTGCACTAAATACATCACAATATATGGCAGGATTTCTGCAAACCTCTAGTACATGTGGAACAATGTCCATTAGTCCTTCCACATCATGGCGAAGTAAAAGAGAAACTTCCATAGCAGTGCCAGTGATTTTCTTCTCTATTTCAATCTTGAGCTGCTCTGTCTCCACTGTGGTTGTTATCCCTGCAGCAATCTTTTTGGAGAAATTCTATGCACAAAAGAAATCAAATCATGGAAACAAACAAACAACAGCATCTCAGCAACAACTGGGAATGGCAGAGTGTGTTGCACTGTGCTTAAACATCACAGCTTGTGTCAGGGTGGCAGCACTGTTAAAATAAAAGTGCAAATTCATCAAGGCATTTCAAATAGACATTATAGTACTATGCCAGACCTTCTAAATGCAGTGTATCAATAATTCCTTCTGGCTCCGAAACATATTGAGAGCATTCAAGTACGCTGAAGGATTTGAGCTCTAAGGCACAAACAATTAAAGCACTGGAACTACTAAAAAGCAAGGCAAAGGAACTGTTTAGAATTCTTTCTCTGCACACCTCTGTGTCTCACCCTACCACAGCGGTTGAAGCCACCCAAATGTAAGCATGTGAGTGACTTGAGTTTTGCAGTGGATGTCTGAAATAGCAAAGTATTTGAAACCTTCTTTTATGAAAAGATAATCTGTGATGCAAAAGAGCTGTAAAATTCACGGATCTATAGCAGAAATGCAGATAGAGAGAACAGCAGCCAAGCAACATCATACCAGGAATATGGTCCATAATGCTTCTGTGGGTAGGAATTTCCAAAGGGAAAGCCATGCTAAACACTGTTCTGCTCTTTAGCAGCCATCCAGAGGATGACACCAGGACCAGTTAAATCCAATATTAGATGCAAGCCTTAGGCCTTCTGGTCCACTTCCCATTTATAGGGGAAAGATAAAATTGGACAAGACATATGTTCATACACAGCAAAGCACTTCACTTAAATGAGTACTGAATGTAGCATCTCATTTAGTCTAGATTCAGCTCCAAGAGCTTAGATGACAGGTTCACAGTATGACAAGGAGCCAGACAAGAACTTTCCTTCACTCAGTAATTTAGTACATCTCAAAAAGCAGCTTCTAAAATAGATATATACAGTACACAGGAAAAGCCTAGAGTTATTATATATACACAAATTGTCCTACCAGAAATCAAACTTTCACAGGCAGAATTCTTCTTACCTCATAATAGCCAGCAGCTTCTAAAACAAAAGGGAACCCATGTTTCTTTATCTTTGAGATGTTGTGCTTTAAGCTCACAAATAGCTGGAATGTTGGAGGCTCTGTGGCCAGTCTGTGCCCCTCGAACACAGCAACAATCCTCTCACTGCCACTCTGCAGGGCTATGGCAATGGTGTGATTTCCTGTGCCATGCTCACGTGTGGCACTAAGAATGCTATCCAAAGGCAATCCTATTGACAGGGAAGGAAGTAAAATCAACACAGCACTTCTGGATTATCGTTACAGGCTACAAAAATGCATTGCAGATCAAAAGCAGCCTTCTGTAATTTTTCATAAGAAAAGACACACCTTTATAAAGTGTGATCACTTCACTGATATTTATAGAAAGACATTACCTACCAGGTGAAAATCATATTGAAAAGGGACTGCTAAATTAAAATGTGGCATGCATTTTGGAAATCAAGAACTTTCCTTTTCTTAATAAAGGATATTTACCAATTGGTATTGTTTCCAACTCCAGTAGTTAGCTGTTTACAAGATTCAGAAAAGATTTATTCTGTCCAAAGGAATCCATGCAAAATTACTGATTACTCCAGTTCAATGAAAATCCATGCCTTTGCTTAGGAAACAACACTTGCCATAAACTGTACTTAGAGGAACTGGTCAGCTTAGATGCTGTGCAAGAACACAGTTGTACAAGAGAGAAATAATTTACTCTGAAGTATTTCAAAACTCTTTGAACTATTTCTGTGTCCATTTTATGTTATTTTCTCAACAATATTAAAAAGAATGCTGCTAGGTCTAGAACACATTTTGTTCTGGTGCAAGCAAACACAACTCATCTGTTTCCAATGTTCAGCAGTCATTTAGATAAATTCACCTTGTTAGACCATACCATCAAATCAGATTTTCTTCCTACCTGCATTTTTTAAAAAGTCGACATTATGTGTGAAAGTCCCACTGACTCTGCCGTGCCCATTGTCCATGATATTTAAAAAATCTACAGAAAGAGCCTTCTCATCCACCTGGAAGCTAACTAGCCCCACTTTCTTCTCTTTACTCAGTTCCAGGTGTCCTTTCAGTCTTGCCTCCCCTGGGATTGCCTGACTGCCATTCTGGACGATGGCAACAGTGATATTGTGCACAGTGGTATTCCCAAACACATTCCTGTTCCTGACATGCAGTCCATACAGTCTTTTGTTGACCATCACATTGATGTTACCTGTAACAGGCAGAAATTATTACTGTGGAGAGAGATTCTTGGGACAGAAATAGCCACAGTTTTAGAAGTAATGTATAAATTAACCATTACTTTAATACCAGGAGGAAGTAGAAACATTTCTATTTATTACACTAGATAATTTTGCCTAATCTAGAGAGCAAAGCAGTTCAGTGTTGAGGGTATCTCTACTAGTGAGTGTCTCTTAGGCCCTGTACTATACTGCACTCCCTCTGAAGTAAAATTTACAGATGGATTGTGAGTTACTACTTGTGTAATTGCAGGCTAAACAATCCCTCCAGAGCTCTGCAGTGACCTACTCCACCCATGGAGCCATTCAAAGGACTAGGAGTCTCAAGTCAGCCCCCACATTTCAGAAGAGGAAAGAGGCCACCCACAGTTTCCTTTAATCTATGAAAACATGAAAAATTGTTAGTTCACTGAAAAATACTCTCAACCCAATGACCCATGGTTCATTTTGCATGCAAAGTACTCTGCTCTGCATTATACAGAATCACAGAATGGTTCAGGCTAGAAGAGACCTTAAAGCCCATCTTGCTCCAACCTCTCTGCCATGGGCAGGGACACCTTCCCCTGTCCCAAGTTGTTCAAAGCCCTGTCCAGCCTGGCCTTGAACATTTCTAGGGATGGGGCATCCACAGCTTCTCAGGGCAACCTGTTGCATTGTCTGATCACCCTCACAAGAATTTCTTCCCAATATCCAATCTACACCTGCCTTCTGTCAGTTTGAAGACATTCCTCCTTGTCCAAAGTGCTTCTCCAGCTCTCTTGGAGCCCCTTTAGGTACTGGAAGGGCTCTAAGGTCTCCCTGGAGACTTTTCTTCTCCAGGCTGACAACCCCAACTCTCCCAGCCTGGGTCCAGAGCAGAGGGGCTCCAGCCCTCTGATCATCTCTGTGGTCTGCTCTGGACTCGCTCCAGCAGGTGCACATTGCTCTTCTGTTGGGGGCCCCAGGGCTGAATACACTGTGCAGCTCAGGAAGGATTACATTAAAATAAAGCAGCATCCTTGGATAGCTGCAGGTTAGAACAAAACACAAAGAAACAGAGTACCATCGTGAATGTTGTTTTTGCACTTCAGTAATCCATCCAGAGAAAGGAGATGAGGTATGGCCTTTAATCCAGTAAAAGTGTGTTGGACTCTTCCATTTAGGGACAAAACAAAACCAACTTTCTGCTCCCTGGCTCCCATGAAATCCATGTGAAGCCTATTTTCATTAAGCTTCACATCAGAAGACAACAGAAATCTAAAAAGACAGACATAAATTTTGTTAGTAAGATATTTTTATGGTTGATTCAGGATTGTCAAGACACCCCTCCTCACTCAAAGCATAATCAATGAGAGCAGGGTGCTCAGGAGTGTATGTGGTCAGGTTTGGAGTATCTCCAAGCATGGAGACCCCACAGACTTTCTGGACACTTGTTCCAGTGTTGTGAATCAGGCAATCAGATGCCTTGCAGTCAGCACACGCTATTTACCAGATGTTTATAAATTCCTCAGTAAAGCTGCACAGAGATTGGCAGACTAACTTTTCTTTAAATTTCTTGCATGCTTTTGTTCTGGTTCCTAAAAGAGCTGGAGAGACTTTGAGTTGGAAACTAAACCTTCTCTGTCACAATATGAAATATCTTTGGTGCTGATTTAAAAGCAAAATTTGAGAATTCAGTTTAAAAAATAATTATTAGTGTCACCATTATGTGAGTTTGGTAAATGAAGTAGCAATACTTCTTTGCTTCTTGGCTCTGAATTGAACCGCGTTGGAAAAACACGGCACAGCTTTTTAGGGAAACCTGCTGGAGCAACAAAATTTTCTGCGTTGTTAAGTATAAGACTGAGAACAATTTTCACATGGCCTTCAACAAACTATCCATTGAACTATCTGACTTCTAGCCTGAAGTATACTAACAAAATACCTAAAAGTGAGGCAATCACTCCAGTTTTCATAGTGTTAGATATACCTCCTAGAAATTGGAACCCTGTTGAAAGACTGATGACAAGTAAAACCTCAGTGAAAATCCACTCCATGGGAAGAACAAAACTACATAGTTCAGGGAGGTAAGGTTTATTCCCTCAGTCAGCAGCTGAAGTCTGTACAGACTGCATCCTTTTAGCTGTTCTCCAGAAACATTTTACAGTTTATTTTTGTTTGTATTCTCCCTGTAAAACAAACCCTAAAAAAATTGTCAATCCAAACATTTTAAGTGTTCTGTTTCTTTCCTGTGAACTGCAATAAATTGTTCGCTTATGGCTTACCCTGGTATTTAAACAAATTAATGCACTTTTGGAAGCCTAGAACTGCAAGCATACTGCAGAACCACGTGAAATACTCTTCTTGGAATAGTTTATGTTATTTTTAGTGTTACTAGTAAATCTAATGTGCTTCATCTAAATTGTTGTAACTTCTGATTTCTTTAAGTCTTATTTCCTCATTCTCCTTATCCCATCCAATTGGCAAACGCTGGGACCTCTGCAGAATTCTTCATTGTGTACTTTTGTATTTGTGAAATTTGAAAAATCAGCTGAAACTTGGAGGGCTAAATTTCTATTTCCCACCTCTGGCACCTCAGAGCTTTCTCCGATACTTTAAAACCTTTATTAGAAACACTGGGAAGTGCCCTTTTCCAGTGGCATAACTTGTACTATATCTTCACTCAAAGTTCTCCATAAGAAAGTCCTTCGAAAGCAGCTAGAAGACATTAACACAACTTATTTCAACTTATGAAACATAAGGATCAAAAGTATTTCAATAACAGGGATAACACATGAACTGGCATTTACTCAGTGGTCTTGCTGCAGCCATAGGAAAATAGTTACATTTAAATTTGTATCCCGGAATACTCTTCAGTTCCTCAATTAACCAACATTCTGATTTCTCTACCTTGATGGAAATATTTTGCCCATGAGCTGGAACTGTACTGATTCTGGATTTGTCAGGACAGTCTGATGGAGAAAAGCCCTCAGTTCAACAATTCTGGCATTCCTCCTCTTTTCGTTGTTCATATCAACCTCCAGCATCAGCATTTCCTTTCCATTGGAATGAAGGTGAAGGGAGCCATTGACATTGTTTTCACCATAACTCTTCAGGGCTGCCTGGGCCTGCACACAGAGAAAAAGGAGAGGAGGACATTAAGGACCTCAGATTATAATACACAATACTGAAACATCAGTTTGAGCAATGAGACTCAGACAACAAGTTGGGACTGGACAAAAGCGGAGAGGGGAGTAAAGGGAGAAAGGAGTTTTTAGTTCCCATCTTTGTTTCTCATAATTTAACTAATTTTATTTGGCGATAAATTAAATTAATATTGCCCAAATTGAGTCTGTTTTGTCTGTGAAAGTAATGGGTAAGTAATCTCCCTGTCTTTATCCCAGCCCTGTCACAACAAAATGTGAGCAACATTGAATTTTAAGTACAATTAAAGTAGACTTTAAGAGTTTTCTGAATTTCAGCCAAAATACAAGCCAACTATTCCAACCCCATGTAACTATCTAGCCAGAACAAACTTTAAAAAAAAGTTAACTGTTTCCCTAACAATTTACACCTCTCCAGTATAGTAATTGCAAAATAGTAAACTGCAAAATCTTCAAGCAACAAGACTGTAATGACCAGGACTGACCTGTGAAGACGTGTTCTTGTTAATGATGACTTTTACACTCACACCGCAGTCAAAGTGTTCCAGTTTAGTCTGCCTGGAGAACAGCTCCCCACTTAGGCCCATTGCGTGTGGAAACTCAAACTATTTGACAAAGTAAAGTATCAGAATAAAACATTGCATTCCCCCCAGTTGCCTCATGTGATTTAATGTCTGAACTTCTAGCATGAGGTGGGTGATGCATATATGCAAATGTGTCTATCAAATTTTACCAGTTTTATCCCAAGATACTGAAAAATATACTGAAAGCAGTAAAAAAAAAAGCATGAAAGAAAAGGTCAACATGTCCCTTACAAAGTATTGACACAAATTATTGATACATAACTGAACCTGCTGAGATACCTACTGTTATTTGTCAGAGCCAGGACTTGATTAGATTAGAATGTTTACTGGCATCAAGCAATTATAATTCTAAAGACAACGCAGTAAAACAGTCAGCAAAACATAAAAAATACCAAAAATTAAACCCATCACTACCTGGAACGAGTGTGTCACATCCATGTGTAAAAGATGTCTAAAATCTGCCTCACTGGATTTGTCCTGATACCTCCCTAGAAAACTGAGAACATCTTCCTTATTCACCTTTAAGACAGTCTCAAGCTCATGCTTCACCTGTGTGTTAAGAAAGGGAGTAAGCAAAGTGCACTGAGTATTAACCCTGTGTATAATGAAAGATCAGAGAAGTCATCCCCACACATCACGAAAAATAAAAGAGTTTCTATCTATTATGTTTTGGCCCAGAATGAAAAATTAGGAAGAAGAATGAGAAAAATGAGGAAGAAAATGAGGAAAATAGAAGAAAAGAAAATGAGAAAAAATAGGTACATTTGGTAAGAGGGATGAATAGACACAGCCAGATAAGGGTGAATACATTCCATCCCAGTACTTGTTTTATTAATAATACTCATGCATAATAACATTCAAAAAAAAACCATATTAAGTATTCTTATCATAGATTACTACACAACATATTATTATACAAAATTAAGGAGGTACCAAGGACCTAATCACCCTCTGAACATTTTGGTTGCAGCAGCTATGTGGCAACAAACGAAAGACCTATAGCAAGTGAGGTCTGAAAAGACAATTAAGTGTAAATAAAAAGGGTGATGAATGTCTCCTAACTGAACCTAATGGGAAATTTACTCACATTTTGATGACTTAGAGTTAAAATGCACATTTCAACATCTTTGGGAAATGTCCTGTAGTTATAAGGATGAGTTAAACCAGCGCAAATCTAAAAAGAAGTTTGAGGGAAAATGCAAGGAACATAAGTAATATGCAGTAAACCACTCATTTGCAGGTTGTTCTGGTATATCAGACTAAAGAAAGTGCTTGGATAACTCACATAGGGGTTTTCAGGTTGGTAACCAAGTATAAGAGTCTGAACAGTTTCCTCCACCCCATTTATCAAAACTTTTGTTTCCATTAAATAGTGCTTTTGCTTTTTGTCAACAGTAAATGTCTCCTGCAGAAGAAAGCTCTGAAGAAAAGGTACTTTAAAAGGATGCCTGGAAATAAAGAAGAAATAAACATAGTGTAAAAGATCTTAATAGACAACTACAACAAGAAATCATGCAGAGTTCAACCTGAAATCAAAAATTATCAGTTACCACCAGGGTGTCAGGTACAGAAGCAAAACACATGGGATTGGACATTTAAGAAACTATAGAGCATAATGACAACTTCATACAAACTTCACACACTAACCTGAATTTTGATAGAGTTTCCATCCTGAATATGGTAAATGCCTGGAAGGGCATGGGAGAAGGTGCTGCTCTAAAGTTCTGACATGCATAACCAGCACATACACCTTCTATACCTGCATGGCCAAGACTTCATTTCAAATAGGGAGTGTCCAATAGCTCCTGGCAGTTTTGAAAATCTCACCTATCCACATTTTATGTTTTGTGTAGAAACAGTATCTACATGCCAAGAATCCTGTGCAACAGATGTTCATCACTACACAGCTCCAGGAGTAGTTTAGTACTTCAGTGTAATGTTTTATGGACTTTATTAAATATTTCTGCACATTTACTTAGTCAGACCTCTTGGAAGCATGCATGAACCTTTATAAGCAGACACTGGACAGACTTTAGACATGTTAGAATATCTGGTACAGCTCTTCATTTACATATTTTTCTACTGAAAAGACACCTTCCAGTGTTTTAGTTATCTCTAAGCTGCACAGTGGCTCCTAAGGCAGCACTCCTGTGCATGCCTGTTGATCCTGCTGTGCCTTAAGAAAGATGAGATTCGCCTAGAAGTGATCCAGATGTCACTAATCTGAGCATTCATTTTTATTGATGCCTTCAGGCGGGCTTTAGTAATGGATAATGAAGAGAGAAATTTCAGGGACAGTCAATATGTAGGAGCAGTGTACTTATTCTCACCAGAAAATGGAAATGTATTCCAAAATCTAAACAAGACCATTTGTTACATGTTTTAAGAGGATACCTCTGGCTTTAGAATGGCTATATAATGCCTAAGGACTAGGAAAAAGCACAGAGGATGGCACAGATAATCAGATCTGGATTTTGGAACTTCTCACTACATACAAGTTTGGACACACCATAAATCCTGCTATTTTCAGGAAATAAGGCTATATGCCTGGCTGATTTGCTAGTAAACATGTCACAGCACACATGGTCTGTTGCCTTTGACAGCTTTGTTCACCGTCATTTCAACAAAGAGGCCAAAACCTAATGGATGCAAATAACCAGCCCATGAAGCTGCAGTACTTGAGCAATTTCAGGGAACCAGATGGGACAAAGAACAGACTTCGTGCATGTGGCACTCTCACTTTGAAAAGCCCAGAGCATTTCCTAAGAGCACCAAGATGCACATTAAATTTAGGCCAAAACATTCTTAAAAGATAGAAATAAGACTACTAAACCTGAAATAGAGGATTGCACGTTTTTGATACAGCATCTTCTCCTTCCTCAGCTCTTTTATCTGACCTTCACAGTGCAGTATAACAGGCAGACTTTTATAATCTCTCCACACAATCTTCACAGAAAAGTTTGTCTTCTTAGGCTGCATTCAAATCATGAGACCAGAACAGGAAAGGACAATTTCATCAGTTTTACTGCATTTATATTCAGGAACCTCAATAAGGAAACCATGTTGTTCAACAGGCTGCAGCAAGGTTGTCACTTCACAGACAAACCATTCCTGCTGCCGTTTAAATCCAGATCTCCATTAATCTCTCAGAGGATTAAAAGTGCCATCAGTAGAAAACTGACTCTAGCAGAAGACAAATGCCCCTTAATGTATCACTTGAGTGTCATCTACTTGCAACATAAGCAAGCTCTGGTACATAAAAAACCAAACTGGATTTTCAAAGCATGGAAAAAGCATTTTCAAAGCTATGTTTAGAAAAACACTTTTTAAGACTTCCTGCAAGGTGTGAATGGACCAAAGTAACTGATCAAAGTACCTCTTTAGTGGAGAACCTGTTGATTACCCTTCCTGTGCCACAGACATCAAAGCAAAGCAAAAGTTATCTTAAGACTGGAAGTGATGTAGAGATTAAAATAGCATATAAACTTGGGCTGTTACCATGCTCACAGGCAAGAGATTCTGATTCTCCAGGACAGTATAATCATCTACACCTCTCATACATCCTCATCAAGCTGTGAGTAACCACATCTCCAGTTCTCTTTCTAGTTATGCTGTCTCTCTTCACCCTCTTCTCCCTGACTGTCTGGGCTCCCTAATAGATGAGAAATACTCCAAACTATGCCACACATGTTTATGTTTTCTTTTTGAACCTAGATTTATACTGCAGCCTGTCAAAACAGACAGAAATAGATGCAGTACTGGAAGGGTTTAAGTTTCAACACTAGCAATAACATCTTTCAGGAAGAGAGTTCTGAGTCAAAAAAATGCTTTTGTTTTTCTTTCTCACCGTTGGCAGATTTTGATAGCTGGCTGTGAAGTTAAATTCCTGTTTTGTACTCTTTATCTTAAAGCAGAGAAGTTTGGCTTTTTCGTTATTCTCCAAATGAATCTCATTCTTCACAAGCTGATTCCACAAAGAGATCATCTCACTATAGCTGTGCAGAACATTCCTCCCAAAATGATTAACTGTGGATGCCTGAAAAACAAAGACATTTAGGCTGAGCCAGGACAGACAACATTCCATTGTGCAATAGCACAGCACAGAGGTGACAGAATGATAATTTACAAGAACTATTAGAAACGTGTGCCATCTTCTCCATTATCAAAATATTCCAAATCACCATACAGAGTTCAAAGTTTATTTTATCTCCTCCAAAAAAGGGAGAGACAAAAAGCTAAATAGTTGATGAACACTTTTTTCTCACTCAAGAGTATTTCTTACATTCCTCCATGGCTGTGCCTGAAGCAGTAGTGACCTAAGGAAGAAAAGCTGATAAAGGAACATCTTAATCATAAACATAAGTCAAATTGCATAGTGACAGAAGTCTACCACATTGCCTAATGAATAGCAACTATATTAAATCAGTTTTAAACCTCTACTGCATAGCACAGAGCCCTGTCCCCAAAGCCATACATTCTGCAAAGCACCATGACACCAACCTGCAGGTATGTAGTAGCTGGTGTGTAAATGTGAACTTTTCCTTCCTTCTCATTGCCTTGATCTTTATAGAATAGTTCCAGTACAAGGTCTTTAATGGAGAGGGTTTTTCCAGCTGTCAGCTGGGATGTCAGTAAATAAGTAGAATACTGAGGCTGGTGCAGTTTGTGAGCTGTGTACAGATAGAGCCATGGGGTGTCTATATTGAACCCACCTGCAAGGGACATATATTAAAGCTGACAGAAACATGAGATTTAAAACTACCTAGATTCTAAGTCCACATAAAGCTGATAAGGTCCAGGTGTTCCAGAATAAAGCTAAAATGCTAGTATCAATATTTTCTCTTCCAATTGCTAAAATCTCTGGGTTGTATATAATGAAATTCATGACCTTCACTAGTGTAAATGGAACTGCTGGAAGAGGCCAGCCAGCCAGGCTGTGATAGGTTGAGACTTCAAAAACTCAGCTAGACAAAGCCACAACAGATGTGATCTAATGCTAGAAACAGATCTGACTGGAACAGGAATCTGGGCTGGACAACCTCCAGGGTCTCTCTCTTCCAACAAACAACTTTATCATTCTGTTGCACTCACACAAAACTGCTCAGAAAAACCTGGCAGCAGTTTCCAATGCCTGCTTTTCTAATCACAGACTGGAAATGGTTTCTGGTACTTTACCTTCCCACTTCTTCAGGCCATTTCTGGATGCATCCTTCCACTGCAGCCTAGCCACAAATGGTAGATGGTCATTATACTGCACCTCAAAGTTGGTGCTGCTCTGCAAATACACCTGAGAGGTGTGCAAGTGCTGCAGCTGGGTTCTATAATTCACCTGTTTTTCCAGGACTTGCATGGTAAACTGGAAAATAAGTGAAGCAAATTTAAATAAAAACAAGATCTCATTTTCAGGGCTGTATAATTTACTCACACACACAGAAGCAGGAAGGTCACAGCTTCTGCCTTTGCACATTTGTCATTCACTCTTAGAGATTCTCATGCATGCTCACCAGTTATAGACTGAGGTTTCTTTAATATGCATTTGTTACAGCTACACGAGATTCAAAAAGAAAAATGCTGTAATATTCTGAGTTGTGCCCTTCTTCCACATTGTGTCAGCAAAACAGCTTTCACAAATTTCTACAATCATTTTATATGAGTTAACAATGCAAAAACCTCACAGCAAATTACACCTCAACTTTTCCAGTATTTGCAAAATTTATCATCTAGCAAATGTCAGAGATCTCAGTGCCTCTGAGCTAAGACCTCACCTAGCCAAAATTATTAGGTCTGATTACTTGTCTTATATTATTAGTACATACCATATTTACAAAAAAAGGTTGTAATAAAAAAAAAATTATTTTTAGTCTGTGTTAAATATTTGAAGTGAAGGTCTTACTTTTCAACCATCACTATTACCTCCATGAAATAGCTGACTACAGATGAACTGGAACTGTTCTTAAAGACTTGGCTGATCAGCAGTTTCTTCTTGTTGTTTATTTCATCCCAATGTTTCCCATAGTTCACTTCAATCTGGGAGGAAATCCAAGATGCAGTTACTTCATGTTTCAGGTGAACCTAAAGAAGAGGAAATTGCCTTTTTGCTGTGAACATTTTTCTCATGTTGGGAGCCCTGAGCACAGGTGACACAGGGATGCCCAGCACACAGAGTGCCTGGCTCAGCACCCACCTGGTGGCTGTAGGTGGGAGCCTGCACACAGTGAAACTCATGGCCCAGCTCCAGTCTGTAGGAGCCCCGTGCGCCCGCCTCCACCTGAACTTTCTGCTGAGTACTGCACTCGTGGCAAGGGGTTTTAGCCTCTCCTGCTCAAGTTAAATCACAAAGTTATTTATTCAAGTAAATCAGAATAAATCTTTCAAAATGTTAATAGTATAAATCTGGCACTGGCTTCAAGACTTGTATTTTTCAAAACATCAACGTGAGATTTGTTTATTTTTACAGCTTGCTGATTTATCCTATAAATCCAAAAGAAAGCACAAAGTTCATCACTTAAACAGAATTTTACCTGGTTGAAGTAAAAGAACTACAAACTAATCATGATCAAGCTTTGCAGCTTTCCTGGCTTCACACAATATTTGATGATTTTCCATTACCACCTAGCTCCCAACATCATGACATTGCATGACATTTCAACTTAAAAAAAATAAAAATTTTGGACACTGAGAAGAAAATTAAAAGAATGAATTTGAAGTTCCAACGAATAAGTAGGATTACTTTTTAAAATGAAAAATCCAGCACTTCTGCAAGGAAGTATTTGCTGAATACTTCAGGTGCAATAGCTGTCAAACTGGGTTTAAACTGAAGTGTAACTATGTTCCAAGTATCTAACTGCACAATTACATAGCTATAGCCAGGCATCTTAAGGTAGTGTTTAAGTGTTCAGGTATGTTTTGATTGTTGTTTATAAAATACTGTGATCAGCATGACATTTTTAGCAAAATTATGGGGTTGTGCCTGTGTAAGTTTAAGAAATCTTTATTACTTATATTTCTATATACTCTCTGAAGGTGCAACAGAGTTAGTATAAACAATTCCCCTATAACATATATCATGATTAGCTACTGCAAGGATTCAATACTTTGATACAACTGCACTGATGTTCACCTGCTTTGTCCCACAAAATTAACTCAATTCCTATATTGCAATCGAGGGATCAAAGCCAGCTGCTTCCTAGAAACCATCCCTCATATTATTGAGTGCATGCATGCAATCATCTGAAAACACAAATTACTTAGGAGTAATTCTCACTGAAAAAGTGATTTTTAATCTAATGATGGATATGCTTGTGAAAAGCCCATTTTAAAAAAATGTTTTTATATGCAGACTCAAAGAGTAAAGTATATCCAACTGAAAAGAGAAACTTGTTCCACATTTTAGATCATAGTTTAAAAATTAACTGAAATCTTTCTACTGTGTTCTAAAGACAGAGGCAAATCTTGTAGGAAAAATGAGCAATACAGAATATTTTTTCCCTGTTTTTCAGTGTACCTAAGAGTCCATATTTTATCTGCAGACCATGAGACCACAATCCCTCATGCTGCTGGAGAAGAGCGATGGCATGAACTCCAAGAACACCTGGAAGGTGGGTCTCCCCTTCCAACGAGTATTGTCTCAGCTTATCATCAGCCTTTTTTTCCAGAAGTGCTACAGAAAGAAGAGAAATGATTATGCAGTGGAAGAACTTGAAGTTACTTCAGCTAGTTAAAGGAATACTAGAGTGAGAAATACCAAAAGGGCATTCAGTCTCTCCACCATTATGAACCACCTGTATAGTGAATAGATAAAAAGACACAGAGCTGGATGTTCAGTGTCTTTCTCCATCTCCACAGACAACCTGCAGACCACACTTCTGCTTCATGCTTATTGAAATGCATGCAGCCAAAGCTACTTCTCAAAGGAAATAAATTCAGACAGATCTTTTCATTAACTAAGCCCTAACGTGTGAACATGTGGCTGTTCACCTCTACGTAAACTGGTTTATTTCACTGCATTATTTTAATTTTAATGTATTGATGTTATACAAATATTAAGGTTCTATTTCTGATATTTTCTCTTGTATTTTCCTCTTAGCTTATTTATGAGAATAAAAGTCTTCAAGATTTTTAGAACAGCAGGTCCTAAGAGACATTCAGCTACAACTATGTGTCTCTGCATTGTTTTATACTAACAAAAGTGAAAAGCAGCTGTTATTTTTTGACATGTTTTTATTAAGTAATTCATTTTATCTTATTTCCTGTACCTTTTCCAACACTAATTCAAAACAGACTTCTATTTTTAAATTTCTTTTATTCTGAAATATATATATATGTATTAATTTATGCAGGACAGTAATTTTAAAAAGCTGTCTTTATGGGCTTGAAGAGAATTTTAGGAATAAGTGTCCAAAACCAGGCAACCCTAACAAATAACAGCTCCAGAACTTGCATTTATCTGGCAAATACTTACTGTCCTCTAACCTGAAAGAAATGCAGCATCCTTCAACAAATTATTCAGAGATACTGAAACAGCTATCTTCTTGCCAAGCTGTTTAGTGATGTTTCCTGACAAAATTATAGGACTGCTTTGCTTTATCAGCTTTACCTCCAGCTGGGTCATGTATCTCTGCTCTCCACTCAGCATCTGCAAATCTGCCATTCCCTAGAACAAGCAAACAAATCAAAAAACAAACCCGAAGCCACTCAACAACATAAGTTAAGTTTTAAGAAAGCAACAGTATAGACTTGGGTGTTTCAGAAATTAGATGAGAGGAAGAAGAAAAGATATGTTTTTCTATATATCTAACAACAAACCTTCCACACCCCACAAAGCCTAAGACTTGCCATTGACAAGTAATGAGGAGGAAGGATGGATTTGTTTTTCCAGTTACACAGAGGTCACAGTGGTGCAAGATGCTACTTCCTTCAGCTTCTGCTGGTTTTAGGACTGAAATCACTATGACTGTTACAATACCAGGCCAGAAATTAATAGGGTGTTACTGAAAATATTGGCAGCTTCGCAGGGATTTAGGTTGAAATTTAGCACTGAGTTTATCTCAAAAATATGTAATAAGGAGAACTGGTAATTTCTCTGATGGATTGCTCACAAAACTGTTCTTCAATACATGTATTTTCACTGCCTTTCTTTTCTGTGCTTTTATGGAAGTATTCATCCTAGAAGGAGACCTCATGAAATGCAAACATACCTTAATGTAATACACATCTCGGTCATCCACTATCAGTTCCAGGTGTCCAACTCGGGAATTTTTAGAAAACTCAATCCTCCCTTGGAGAAAAAGAAAAAAAAAGTGGAAAATTCTAAATACATCATATTGTAGAATACATCAACACTAAATATCACTTGAACAGCACTCCAAAGAAGCTGAAATATGTTGTCTATATTATTACCACTAATTTATCAGTTTGTATTTCCTCAATGGGTTTGTAGATTCTGAATTCTATGTTACACTGTGATTAAAATATTATTTTTTATTACCATGTATGACAATATCATAGTCAGTACTTCATTGGTTTAGCAACACATAACTTCATCTCATAACTAACAGAACATAGCAAATTGAAACAGTAAGGCAAGATATACGTAAAAGGCGTCAGAACAATCCACTATATTCTTCAGCCTTCAATTCATCAATCCTCATCACAGATTTCTTTTCTAACATAACATTATGACCAGGTATTGAACCTCTGACTGCAAAATATAGCCATAACCAAGATGCAAACCCCATTGGGAATGGGTGCTACCTAAAGCAGTAAACCGAGCAGTTATCACATAATAATGTAGTTTCAGCATTAGATTAGTGAGTGAAATCTACTGATATTTCTCAGTTAATTGTAATGAAGTCCTCCTAATTGATATAATGAAATTCTCCTAACTGATATTAGCTGATGATCAGGCTCCTAGTTGAAAAACCTACCATCAATCTCAATTTTTTTCTTAGGTTGTATAAATTGGATTCTGAATTTCTTCTGTGGGACACTAAAACTTAGGTCAACACCAACTTCTCTCTTCAAGTCTGATTTTGGAGTCCCAAGGAAGAAGTGAAAGACAGCTTCACTAGGGATCCATGAATTCTCCTGACAGAAAGAAAGGATAATCACATTATTCGTTGGCACACCATTTACAAAACAATCTCTCACACTGAGATAACAGATTGTTTGTGTGCATTGTTTCATAGATAAAAAGAGTATGTACCTCCTATCAGCATTTGTAATTTGTGTTCAACATATCCCATATATTGGGAATGGAATGAATAATAACATAGAACTTGGAATCCAGAGGGTTGAATATGCAGTACTAAGTTATACCACTCTGTCACCAGAATAGCAAACTGAAATAAAGCCAGAGTCCAGAGTGCCAGAGGTACCTGAGCTATGTAGTTATAGGCAGCTTCCACCACGTACTGCTGCAGGCCTCTGTCTTGCTTAGTTAATGTCACAGCCACTAGCAAAGGTCCAGTGAGGGGCAAAACCAAACCACTGGCTGGGTCAGGATAGGACATTTCAGAACACAGCTGCCAGCCAATAATCTCAGACACTAGTGGAAGACAACAGTTGAACATTCAATTAAAACAAAGAAAACACAAAAATTACTTCATTGCAGACCTTTGAGAAATAATATGTGAAAAAAGAACCTCTAGTGAATAAAATTATCTGTTACAGATATTTCAGAATGCCTTTCTAAGACAAACATAATAGCTGGACTCACCTTCTTCCCTAGTGCAAGATCTGGTTTCTGTGTGGCCTTGGAAGACATCTGTATCTTCTGTCTCATCCACTATTCTGAAATGGAGTTTAGAGCTACAACCAAGAATTTTGAACAAAAACTTAAAACCAATTATGCTAAAGTTACAGCAATATTTAAACAAAATTGTCAGTTATATTCAAGAAAGTTAACAATTACTGTTTTTGAAGATATCTGTGCTTAATCTTACCTGAAATTAATTATCTGCATAGATTCTTCTGGAGTGTTCAAGAAAACCTTGAGTTCTTTCCCTTCCTTCACCTGGATTCCCCCATCAAGACTAGTAGATGTCCTCATTCCTGTTAACCACTTTAGGCCAGCTTGTCCCAGAGTCCCCACAATTCCCATTTGGACAGAAAGCTGAACAAATGCACTGTTGAAAGATTCATGTACATACCCTTCTGTGAAATACATTTTCTTTGTAAAGCACTTAATTTAAACCTCTTCAATAAACACACAGATTTTGATGCTGTAACACAGTATATTCTATTATTAAAATCATGAACTATTTTGTTTCAGGAAATAACTGAAAAGATTGCATGTACACCAACACACACTTTCTAACAGGAATTATAGTTTTACTATATCTCCTAAGGAGGGGATTTGAATGCAGCTTTCAGCATGAAACATTAAGAAAGGGAAAACACTTAGAACTCAGTATCACAGGGCAAGTTTCTCTCTGTCTGTACAGCACTTAGTAAAGTTTAGTAACCTATTCAGTATGTACAAAAGCTAAAATAGCCAGGTAAGGAAACACGGCGTTAAATCCTCTATTTGATCCCAAGAAAAACCCACTTGTCACATGGAAAACATTCCAAAAAATCATCGGCATGCAAAAATTCAGGAGTTTGATTTAGAGATTAATTAATAGGCATTCACACAAAACTTTCACATCAGGAATTGCTACTTTACATCAGACACACGTGAAAGGGACACATTTGCAGCATTTAATACCTTGGCTTGATGTATCCATTTAGAAAGAAATCAGACTGTTGTTTGAAATCGGCATTCCCTTTGATTTTTATGTTGATTGCTGCTGAGGCATTGACTGCCAGTTGAACAGAAAAGCCTGAAATTGCTGGAAACTGCAGTTCTTCAGTTGCCAAGTTCATCCTTTTATTAAACTGGACCTCCTGCCCCTTGTGGTGAACAAAACCCAAACAAAACCCAGAATATTATTTTGCATAATTGAGTTAGCATTCAATAAATTTTCCAGGTATAACTTTTGACTGCATCTGTCTATTGTAAAAGTGTTTTTACATGAGCTGATCTGGGACATAAAGAAGAAAGCAGCCCAAAGCCTGCCTATGACCATGGCATGAGTCAGACACCAGTCCTACTCCAGTTAAAAAAATCATTTGTATTTAAGCATGGATGGATTTGAATGAGAGAAGCAAGAAGTAAGCACCATAAGACAGCAGAACAAATCTTTGCCTAATGTACTGAATGTTGTTTAAACCAAATATACACTGGTGTCTTTTAGAATTCAATTTAGAGAAACAACAAGTAATATTTTGTATCTTTAACATATCTATCAGAAGGCAGTTTCTCAAGATAATTACTTGCAAATAGAAAAAAGGTTCCTCTTACCTTCAGAAGTTTAACGGCCAACTCAGCCAGATTTAAGGAATAATGTTTCATTTGTTTTCTTAAATCTTCACAATCTAAGAAGCTAAGTTCATTTCCAAAGATTTTAATGCTTAGTTCACATTTCAGTGCCTCCTTTCTTACTGTTCTCTCAGTGAACTGACATAATAAATAAAAATAAATCAAAGGGAATGGTGTTAAAATTTCCTTTCAAACTCACAATAAACAATCCCTCAATGCAGGCTATGCTATTAGTAAAGAAACATTATGCTCTATTTTACAAGTTCTTTGGAGACCACTTAAGACCCTAGATTAGTAGGATTAGTAGCTGTTCTTTCCAGCTACACTTCAGCTCTATAGCAAACAAGCCATCTGCCACTATGAACACTGGTCATGTCCAGTCCTAAGATTACAGCCAAAGAAGTTTTACAATACATACCCACAAGCAGATGAAGCTTTGAAAAATACAATCTCAGAACAACATTAGGGATGCCTTGATTACTAAATAAACTGCTAGGAAGTAAAAATTTTACATTTTCTGTCCTTACAATTCTACGATACCACAGCAACACAATATGATCATGAGCTTACTCTCTAAGAAGAAACACTAAGAAGATGAGTCCAAGAAGAGAGCTAAAACAAACTAAATGAATCACAGTCCCTGATTTTTCCAGCTAATAAATCAACAACTGACATAAATTCTCAGAGCTTCCCTGCTGTGTACATAAAACATAGCTCTCTCCAAAAATGAGGAAATTCACAAAAGCACCAATGTAACCTCTGACATCAAAATGGGAAGTCAGATTGCAAACAACAGGACTCAGGAACTCAACATCAAGCAGCTGTTTACAGTGCCACAGCAGTTGATCAACAAAAGGACATCAGGATAAAGAAGCCAGAGCTCAAAATAATGAGAGGAAACCCAAAACACAGGCAACATAATCCCATGGCTGAGTGTTATTGTTTTGAGACAATAAAACAATCTGAAAAAAACATAAAGATCTGGCTCTTTGCTGCTCTGTATTTTCTGCAGCTGTTAAATTCTCTGCAAGTGAGCAGAATGAGTTACATGTGCTTTATGCAAAGGAGTCACAGCAATCCAGAGCACTTGTCCAGTGTGAGATGGGGCCCTGTGTTTGACTGGGAAATGTCATTAACTTTTCTAAGATCTACAGATTCAGTTACCTTCTTGACTAACTCATTCATCTTGCTGTATTTTCTACCAAGACAATTTTGGTTTGTTTTTCTCAGCTTTGGCTTGCCAGATTTGCTCACAAGATGATCAGTGGGGCTATATTGCTTCAAAGTTGGGTTCCTCTGCTTGATTTTCTCTGCTGTTTCCACTGGAGTTTCTGACTTGTGGCTTGCTTCATCAGTGTTTCCAAAAAAATAGTCACTGAAAGTAGAAGATTTCGGCCCAAAACCCTTCTCTATGAGAGTTTCAGCATTCTCCAATCGTACACCAACCTAGTGAAAAGCATGCAGCAGTGAAAAGCCTAACAGGGACACGTACAGGCCATGGCCATTTCTAAAGCAGAAAATCAAATATTCAACCAGATGTTACCAACACAAAAAAATTTGCCAAGGAAGATCACAGTCTACAAAGTTTAGCATTCTACCTCCTTCAGCATTCAATACTGGATAGTTCAGTATTAAATCTTCCCAAAACAATTAGATATGTAAAGTCCAAAATAAAAAATCCTTTTTCCTTCATCTACTGAGATCCATTTACATCATAATGAGCCAAAAGGGGATACTGCTATTTTGGCATGTTAAAAACAGTATCTTGGCTGGAAAACACTAACACATCCTTTTCATGCTCTGAAGTAAGATTCTGTTTGGAAGTTTGCTTAAAACAGAATTACTAACACACATAATTCCAGAGTATGCAGCACTGAAAAACAATTCTGTTCCCTTGCAAGCTTAAACTTGAGATCTGAAGGCTACATTAAATACTTTCTTTCTTTCATATGCATATTGTTACCTGGTGCAGCAGGTAAAGATGATGAGGTTGCAGGCAGGTCATTGAAATGTCTCAAGCACTGGAAGGTCAATGGCACTAGAATTGTGACTTCAGCTAAGTACAAATGAGTCTAGCTCTGTATTAAAGGAATGGTGTACCCAAGTCAATCCATTTTCCACCATCAAGAAAAGGAATCTTACTATCCTAAACAGGAGCTAGAGCAGTGTCTCAGGAAGCACTGACTGTTTCCTTTGAATCAACAAGAGCTAAGTAGAAGTCATTTTCCTAGTGCATGGCACTAGCACAGTGACAGTGCTTTTATTTCGACTAAGCCCATTACACAAAGGACTAAGGACTCACCAGTCTGAGGCAACTGTGCTAGAACAGTGAAAAGCACATTTTGCTAAAGGAACTGCAACAGGAAACCAGAAAATGCTTTGTACTTCAATATACCAAGTGTCACTTGAGGAGGGGGATAAAAAACCCCCACAAATAAAAAATCCATAAACTTGCCTCCAGGAGATTTATAGCCTGTCCCATGAAGTGAACAGTCAAATTTGTCATGACTGATCGTGGCAAAAAAGATGTAGGAGAAAAGACCACTGATGCTTCCATATTTGCACCTGCACCAGCTGCAATGGAAAGCAGATGTCTGTAAGCTGGAGATCAGCTGTTCTCATATATTTTGCAAAATTCATAATTCTTTGGAAAACTGTTACTCCACTAAATAAGAAGGTGGTGAATGAAACATTGTCAACAGGTGAAACTAACTTTTTAATACAGCAAAGACATTACTGTTAGTAACTTCCATTTACTGGAATTCCATATTTACTGGATATTACTGGGTATTATCTCACTAACATCAAAAGGATAGAATTTATAAATCATAAGATACATACATGCACTGGAGGAAATGGACAGAAAATCAAAATGTTACTGAAAAACATCATCTAGCATTTTCACTGAAAACAAATGAACAGATAGTAGAACAGGAAGGAAGTAGTTTGACTCTTTTCTTATACCAAGGACAGCACATGGATCAGAACAAGAAAAAACATCCCAGTCCCCTATTGCTGAAAAGGAGGTTAACTAAGGAAGGAATTAAAAGTTGATGCTCACAAAAATAATCTTAAGTGTTCATTGGTTCTTAGTCTCCTCTCTCACAAGAGGCAAAGGTGTATGGTTATCTGGTTTGCTGGAAATACATTTCATATGCTCCAATTAAGGTCAAAGCAGAATCAAGCTTACATTTGCATATTTGGATAGTATTAAATCACAAAAATCAAAGTTTTCTGGAGCAATATGTAAAGGCTCAGAAAAGCCTCGTGAGATGTTAATAACCAATATGCTACAAAGTATTAAGTTCTAAAACTCCTTTCACTCCACATACCTGAATGAAATGTGACATCAGAGTATGAGGAGTATTTCCATGTCTCCCAGTCAAAATCTTTGCTAAGGATTTCATCAGGAATAGAATCTCGAAGGTGCTCCTTCAATGGGTCATCTGTCTCCAAGAGCTGAGAGAGATGACTCCAAACAAAGGAGCCCACTAAAATTCAACAAAGAAAAGCATGTGACAATCAGAGAAAAATTACAGGAGTCCTAAAAAGAGAGACAGGAAATATTTTTAATTTTTTATACCACCATTAATTCTAAGCTATTCCCCTGACCAAAACAGAATCCATTCATTTTCAGCATGATTAAAATCAGTCTGACGCACCTACTGCAACAGCACTGTACATAAAAAAAGGCACATACAATTAAACCTGATTCAGAATTAGTATTCCTGCGTGATACTGTGGAGTCCCAGTTTGGCCACATATGTGATGTGTCGTGGAGGACAAATATTTCCCACATGTTCTGGAGTCTGGTTCCTAAATAGAGGCATTTTGCCTCCTGAAGATACAAGATACTAGGCTCCAGTGTTAGTTCAACGCACAGACACTGAATACTGATGTAACCGCATTTTTCAAAACACATTTTTTCAAATTTTGTTTTCTGAATGCAGAACCAAAACCTAACAAATGCCCTATGCCTTCAAAAGCACATGCTATTCAAAAGTTTACTATATAAATTATTTAGCTGTCACATCAACAAAATACAAAGGAAAGAAATTAAGAATATGAATGTGTACTGAATTAAATAGTTTAAAACATACAACATTTTGGATGGACTTGTAGAGCTCCTTCATAAGTCAAACAAACTAAATTTTCTGCATGGAGTCACCAGGAGGAGTCACTGAGGGTACACCCTGACAGGATTTTGGAGGTGGATGCAATTTCTTTCTGTCGGAATTCTGAACAGAGAGGAATGAGTGCCCTCCAAACCACAAGCCACATCAGCAGGTGAACACAATGCTGAGCCTAATATCACAATCACTGCAGGATACACTGATCTGGACATAACATCCTGGGAAATGAATACCAGCTCCAAGGCAGAGCTTGCCAGGACCCCAACACAGTGCAGACAGAGCCGGCTTTCATCTGCCTGCGAACAATCTTCCAGATACCCTTCTCATGTTTGCTTCTTCTTCACAGATGTACATGCAAGGGATTAGTCTAGAGGTATCCTTCACTGAACTTAGTGAAACCATTTGAGAATAGAGTAACATTTTTTTCTGCCACTTGCTTCTTTCTCAGCAAAATGCTATTTGCAGTCATCCAATTGTATTTCTAATGCACTTAGCATCAAAGCTTTTCCATATATCCTTCTCAGGAGCCCTCAGTGAATGAAATGCTGCGAGTAGAAAGAACTAATTCTATGAAAAGTCAGTCCTTACTATTGCTAAACTAATGGTATCACAATTTCAATATAAAATGTTACAATCATACAAACAATCTACAAAACATTGAGATTAAATAAAAATTTACATAGATTGGTACAATTACACCTGCAAAGTAAATGTCACTTTGAAGTATCAATTAGGAACATGTAAGACTTCAGTAGTTGCTTGGCTGACCTTGACTGGAGGTTTCTTTCAGCAAAGTTTTTTGTACTTGTTTAAATAACTCTTCATTTGGACATTTCATTGCTATATAATAAGCAGCAATTCTTATTTCCACATCTTCACTGGATGCTTGATACAGCTGAACTAATATAGCAGTCTGAGAGAAAAACACAAAAAAAATAAAGACAATTACAACCCACTGCCCTGGAACACCTCGTTCACTTTCAGGTCCTGGTGGGTTTTTTGTTCTCAAAGAGCTATTGCTACACTTACAGCTGTTGCCTTATACCTGACAAAGTCACCTTGTGTAACATGGATACAAATGTATGTACATATTGTCTATACTACTTTATCCGCAAATTTCCTGAACAAACTGTCATTATGACCTTGAATCCTATACAGACAAATCTATACCGGATTCTGCAACACAGAGCCACCCCTGCCAGCATAACTGTTAAGAATGGTTTTATTCCACCACATGGGAGACCTGTCTGTCATATCTCTCATGTGCTAGAGCCAATACAGAGACAACAATGGCCATGACTTTGTTCACAGGCTATTAAGACCATTACTTTTGGTCTAAATCAAAGAGCAGGCCAGCAACAAATTTATTCTGCTCAATATTTCCCCAACCAAGACAACCTTTTTTGTGAACTAAGGAACTAAGAAACCAGTGACTGATACTACTAATATTTTTATTACCTTTTAACAGCCCCAGTCCACCCAGTTCAGCAGTTCATTTGCTAGACAATGATGATGGCGTACATGACAACATACAGACTTGATATGTTGAACACGTCTAATGAGCAACACCAAGTTTCATAGCTGTGGAACAAGTGAATCACACTAATCCATGCTGAAATTAAATTTTTAAAAGCCATAGAGAGGTGCTTCTCCAAGTGCAAGTCCATGTGGAGCTTCTTGTTCTTCTGGAGCAGGACTGTCAGATTTGCCCAGACCAGCACTCCTAGCTTTGCCATTCTAAGTATCAAGGTATTAGAGATAAACAAGTCTTGGACTTTCTTCCATTAAACACTTAACAAAATGTTCTAATTATGGTAGAGTATTGCAAATCACAACAAGCTTCTCACATTAGTACTTTATGTTTCAGAGAATGAAACAGTGAAACAAACTATGGGAAATCCAAGTCCTGTGGGTTCTCAGCCATAACTCTTGCAGACAGAAGGCACCCAAATGAATTGTCTAATTAAGAAGTCACAAACACTGGATGTGTTAGCTCAAGTGCAGCAAAGCTCATTATACGTTTGCTCATCTAGGTGGTTCTACCATCTTCTCCAACAGCAGAGGGGCTCTGCTGGAGCATGTCTACACTTGTTTCTTATCCATTTGTGTGTTTTGTAATTATTCCAACAAGTCCTAAATCTGTGGCAGTGCCAGGAAGCTATCAGACAGTAAATCACTCACCCCAGCAGAGCAGGGAATGCGCCGGAAGGCCTGGACAGCAGCGAGGCGGATCTCCACGGGATGGCTCTTCAGGGCAGCGCACGAGCTCAAAGCAGGAGCCAGTGAAGCTGCCGCCAGTCCCGCATTTCCAATGGCTTTCAACACCAGCTGCATCTGTAAATGCAAAGCAAGATAGAAGAGAAAGCTCTACATTTAATTTCATGGCACTAGCATTTTCTGTGCAAAAATCTGTTTAAAATTATTTACTGGTGATTTGGGGAGTTTACTGCAGCCTCTGTTGTACCACCTATACCCTGGGTTTACTGGGACGACAAGACAAATATGGACCACAGTTCTATTGTAATGCCATGTGGCACTTGTAATTAGAACCTGCCTGGGGGAATAAAAAAACATTTTTTAAAAGACTATATTGCAACAGAAAAGCAAAAGTCACAAATTTTATGTACTGGAAAGGTTTTTCAAGTACTTTGATATTTTGAACCTTTTGTTCACAGATATTTTGACATTTTAGTGATTCAACAGAGTTTTGGACACACTAACTAAATTAAAATAATAATTTGTCAATAGATATGTGTTCCTCATATTGCTCAATGGTATGAAGTTTGTTTCATCAGGAAATCTAAGGCTTTTTTTTATTTCCACACACAAGAACACCCATACTGATAGGTTCCACTTGTCAGATTACAAAATTTTGTCAGTTCATTCTAGCAAGAAATATTCATTTACTAAGCTTGCATTCATGGCTGTCTGGAAATCTAATGAATACCATTTTCATCAAACAAGTTCTAGATCATAAAGTGAACAGAAAAGTAATTCCCTATATCATGTGCCTCTGTAAAACCAATACCTTGCTGAGATGTTCTGAATCTTGCACGGTACAGTTTCCTCCCAAAAATTTCCCAAGTGTACTCATCACACCCTGCACAGCAGGTACAACACCACAGGAGCTGTGAGCTGAACAAAACCTATGTATGAGAGCAGTTACTCCCAAGAAGCAGCTCTGGCTTGCTTTAGGTGACTTCAGCAAAGGCTGTAAACAACCACAAAAAGAATGAGGTGTTTCAGAAAAGTCATGAGAATGACTATTGTGACATACAGCAGATTATAAGTGTATCAAAATATTTCCATACTCAAATTCAACCTCAAAAAAATTACTTGGACAGAGCTTTGTATAAATCTGTGAAAAAGACTGTTACTGTAAAACACAAAAATTATGAGCCACTTAGATTCATTACAAATTAAAAAAGAACAAACAACAACCACTCACAGCAAGAGATTCAATCATGCCTGAGGTGGGATTAGGAATGAATGTAAATGACCAGAAGAAATATTCTACTTTGTCTTCCTCCACTTCTCCGGAAGTTATGAGGTCTTTCATTAGGACAACACATGCCTCTGTGGCACAAGATGGGAGAGCATCTATTAATGGCTGCCTGTAACACAAGAAAAAGTACAGGAAACCTAAAATGACCAAAATACTTCAGAATCACATAACAAGTACATTGAGGCTAGGCCTCTTTCGAAGTGAATAAATGTCCAGTGGCTTAGCAAATTCCAGATTCCACAGAAATCTTCTTATCTTCTGGTACAGTGGCCTTATAGAAATATGTCTCAGACAGGATCTGATGGAAGTGCATCAGAGTTTCAAGAACAGTACCTAATCAGATTTTCAAGAAAATATTCAGCTGATTTCTCTGAGAATTAAGCTACATCATATCCCAGGTTTGACTTCTAAAGACTGAGGTACCTTAAAGCACTGACTTTTTATTAAGGTAGTTTCATTTCACCTTTCATTTCACCTGCAACACCAGTAACAAATTAAAATATTAAATCTGAATTGACTAGCTTTTTCTTCCTGAGCTTTTTTAGACCTTATTTAAGGGGAAAGCTTACACCAGCATGACAGACAATATGCATTTCAGCTCTTAAGAGTCCTTCTGTAAATATTCTGTACCTGCCTCCTATACTGATGTAAGGCCAGTTTTGCATTAACTAGAAAGGAATTAAACTAGATAGGGCAAAAGCATCAGAAAGTAGTCTGCATGGGATTATCTTCCACTCTTAAATGTAATAACCATGTCCTGAGTAAAATTAGTCTAAAAGGTAATATAAAAGAGGCAGAGTAGTTAATTACTGTCTAATACTGAAGAATATTAGCATGACTATTTATCAAAGGATGAGAATAAACCTAACCCAAAACAAAATTTGCCCCTTTTAAATCAAGTAAAGATATTTTTGCAAACATAAACCTTGGTATTAGATTAATTTTAAACAGGATGATGACATTTTGTACTGAAACCAAGTACAATAATTATTTCATTATTTTCAATTTTATGAAGGGAGAAAAATTTACTGTTTTTAATAATACTGAATTAGTATTTGTGATAGTCTCAAACCATTGGTTAGAACTATTCCTGACTGCAGAGGAGTAGGGTCTTGATCTTCAAAGCCACTGTTCTACAACTGACATCAACCATCCCGAGATCGAGCTGCTACTGAAAGATGCAGTTCCACCACATCCATAATTCCAGCCTAACATCTGTCTCCTCTGCCCCACGACTGCTAAAGGCATTGAAGGTACAGATCCAGGTAAGCTTTTACATAACAAATGGCAACATAAGCTTAAAAGCAGCAGAATTGATTTTCATCCAAGCCATGACTCAGGTTTGCCATTCACATTGCTTCAGAGACAGGAAATCTGGCTGTGGGAATAGGTAAGTCTATTTTGTACATAACATTCATTCAGTGAGGAGAGAATGTCATCCCATTACAAAAACAAGATCTGCAATACAAATTATTCCTTTAAAATGCTTCAAATTTAAATCCAACATTCGGCCACAGATTTAAAACATTTAAATATTTGCAAAACATTTCTTTTCTGTATATTTTTGAATGTAATTACTAAAGGAGACTTACCAATTGTCTCTGCACTTAAATGATGATCTTTGCCATAGCGCTCTTAAGGCCTCAAGAGAAAGGTGTCGAAGCTCAAACACAAGAGTCATGAAAAGGTCTGCAGTCTGTAAGTGCACAATCACAACTGTGATATTCCTGCTGTGCAGAAACCAGCTTCAGAGAACAGAGCACAAGAGGTTATGCTGGCATTGCCATTGATTTACAGTGTAACCTGAGACTGAAATCTCCTTTCTTCCCTGTGTCCTTACATCCCTTCCTCATTTGTTTTTCTCTCCAGACTGCAAACAAATGGAGAAGGGCTTTTCCTTTGGATGTCAGTCAGTCCCTCAGACAACAGCTCTCAGTGACCACCACACACACCACTGGCATACAAATGAATAATAAACCAAAAGGCAACAGTATGGTTACAATCCAGAAGAGAAAGTCATAATCTTCTCTGAGTTTGTATGGCAAGGTCCTGATTTATGACCAGAACAGCTGACATTGCTTTGACACAAATGAAACAAAGGTCAAGTTAACTGTATAATAATCTTTGGTTTATGTGAAAGATCATTTAACTGAGGTTTGGGCAACACTTAGAAGTTTCACTTGAGAACCCTTGGGCTGTGAGAAATTATTCCATCTTACCGGGGAAAAGCCCAGACAGAATTGCCCTTACCTCTGCAGGCAGCACAGGACTAGCTGGAAACATTGAGGCAGAAAAGCTGTTCTCTCTCACTAAGAGGAATTGCTTCATCATACAGCAGCTATTTTACCTGGCATTTTAAATGCTAAATAGCGTGTGGATGTATTCCTCTGAGACCTGATCCAAAGTTCAAGAAAGAAGATAGGTCTCATTACTTGAAAAATTAGCAGAATGTTCAATACAGCATCCTGTATGTTCCTGTTAACTGAACTTTATAATGTGTAAGTTTTAAACACAATCCATGTCAGATTCATTTTGATGCTTTATTCACCTCAGATGTGAAAGGCTTAGACATAGGACTAAATTTATGGTTTCAAAGAAAACATTTTTCTTTACATAAAAATCATACAAACAAAGTCTAATTTCACTAAGTCACATTTCCAAAGGTTTGGGGACAGACCTAATTTGACCTTCTGATCTTCCTTCCAGGAGCTACTCCCAAAAACAATGAAAACATGGAATAATCCAGTGCCAGCATTCAATTTTCATTTAAGACTGCCAAGCCATTTTCAGTAACAAGAAGCTGTCTTTCAGTAAGAAGTCTGAGTAATTTCATACTGTTTTGTTTGAGTCTGAGGGAGTAATTTGTCAGACCCAAGACATAGTTTATGTTTTTATTCTTTTGGGATTTATATTATTCTTAGAAATAATATATAATTTCTAATCAAATTAAAACCTGTTCTCATATGTGAAACCCCACCTATGTATTAATTATGTTAACATTTATAATTCCATACCTAAAATTCATATCGATCCACATGCACTCCCTTCTATTCCATTCCATCCCCTCATTACCACTAAGATCTATTTTAAAAAGAATTTCCAAGCCTGGGCACTATGGAGCTAGTGAAAGAGATTGCATTTTATGGACTATAAAATATTCAGAGAACTGTGTTTTATGTAATTTTTTAAAAGGATTTCTAAAGCATGGGCCCTATGTGCACTTTTCCACAGGCAAATCTACTGGGGGTCAGGAGATCCTCGCAGATCTCATGACAAGGAGCTGCATGTGCAGCTGCTGCTGAGCCCAAGTGGCCCAATAGCTGGAGCTGCAGCATAGGCCAGACTGATGTACTTTCAGGTGATACAATTTGAGACAGTAAACTGACTTCATTCTGCTTCACACCTGCTGACTAGGTCTCATCTAATAACTCCATGCAAAATTTTGCAGAGAAGCAGCTATTTTTACTTTCTGACAGTAAATCTTTAGAATGAACCATCTGACTAGGTGGGCTGTTTTCATTTTTAAGGTTGGCTGCACAGAAATTGAGCTGTCATTGCAAATTCCTCTCTTTGTAGTACCATAATAACAAACTACGTTCAAATCTGACTCCCATTCCTGCCTCTGAATGAAACATAAGAAAGCCTGGCTTTCATTCTACATAGAAGCTTGATTTTTCTTCTACCTGCAGACCTGCCATATGTAAAAAAAAAAAGAAAAAGAAACCAGGTAAAAGTAAGCAATTAGAATGCCCTACAAGGAAAAAGAACCCTAAAAACCAAAACCAACCAAAAATTAAAGATCATGCCCTGAGAGTAAAATTTTTTGGCCAGACTGGGGTCCAGGAGCCAGGCAAAGCAAATCTGATATACTCTTGCCCACCTTGCTCACTGCATACATAGCCACATTCACCAGAGCTACTGACCAGGTACCAAAACCCAGCCACTGGAAATGTAGCCCTAGCAGAAGTGGTGTGACAGGCTTCTCTCCAGCTTCTCTCAAGAGAGGGTCCCTTCTCCCCATCCCTTTTTCCATTCTTTGTCAGCAGGCAGCTTGTTCACTTAATGGTCCATTAGCTAATCTACATCCACATTGAAATTCAATCTTGTCTCATAATAGCATTAAAAAATTAAACAACTTTGCTTCCTTGGAAATGACACCATCTCCACCTCCATTTTCTCATCCCTTCACTGTTTTCCCTAGAGTTGGAGATTTTCCCTTCCATTTATTCTTGGTTTTGTGTCCTGAAAGAAATGCATAATCTCACCTCATTCAGAGTCAAACAATAAAGGGACAAACACGCTCTACATGCATAACAGTGCAGCTGTCTCCCAAGCAACACTGTGGGCATTCCCATAACTTCTTTCTTGGTCCAAAGGACATTTCATTGGTTGAAATGAGGGATGATAAAGATTCTCATTGAAATGTCTGGTCACACAGAAAGAACACCCTGAAACAGTGAAAATGGTTGACAACCAATCAAACCCTGTGGGACAGGGAAATGATGAATAATTCACCTCTCTTTTAGGCAGTGGCACAGACAGCAGCTACTTGTGCTAATCTCAGTGATCTAAAAAACAAATTTCCCACACATGAAGCCAGTAGGCCTCTCTGAAGGCAGAAGTGACATCCCACTGTTACTGGGAAAATTATCTAGCATTCTTTCAAAGACACTGAATTAAGAGTGCTCCATAGAAGGTAGGATTTAGACAAAGTTTCTCAGGTCTGCTGCCATAATTTCTTTCTGCAACATTTTCCAGGCAGTATGTGACTCTCTAGTCTGTGCCTAAATGCCATTTCATACTGCTGTACTCTGACAATCACATGGAATTAAGCATTATCCTTCTCCAAGAGGCTGCTTTTATTCTATATTAGCACCAACCATTACTATACGTCTCTCTTAGCCCTCCACAGCCCCAGTCTTCATAGCATGCAGCTAAAATAGATGGCAGACCTGCTTGTAACTCAGACACAGACGCCTATCCCAAATATTACAGCATCCACAAAGGCCACCTGCTGCTTTCTCTTCAGCCCCATGCCCAGGCTTTTGTCAGGCTTTGGTACCATGATCACCATTTAACAGACTGGGAGTAAGGTCTGGGGCTGGAATTTATCACAGCTGATTGAGAGGGTGCTGGCTTCAGCAGCTGTGACTTATCTGGCTCCACCCTGTGCCTTGCCCTGAAGTCTCACACACAAAACATGAACACCTACTTGTGCTCATGAATCACAGGTGACACCGAGAGAAAGGTGAACACACCCAGGATATCACTGCAGAGCTGCAATCCAGCGCTGCACTTTTCTCCAGTTTCTCTCCTCCATCCCTCAATATCTGTGTCCAGCCCAGGGGAAAAACAGGAAGAGCTTCTGTTCTTTGATATGGGACTTAATCTAAACAAAGGAAGGTGAGTGCCTTCCATGCTGGGACTGAAGATCTCTGTTAACATCACTTGTACCTATGTGCATTTACAGGAGAGATCTCAGCCACTCTGCACAGGAAATAACCTTGCTCCAAAGTACAAGCAATCTGACAAGACCCTTAGAGGACAGGGAATGTATCAGCAACGAGCTGACTAAACTCATCAGTGGCAAATTCATGGAGGCACCAATGCCCTGTTTAGTGTCTTTCCCATTAGATCATACTTGTTTTCTAGTAATATCCTGACCAAAAATTAATTAAAGACTGTTTTCTTCTGTTTTCACATTTACATTTTTTTTTCCTTTATTTTTCCCTGTAGGAACTTCACTACTAGCAAGAACCACTCTATTTGAAGGATAATGGGATATGAAGTGTCCTCTATTTGCCCTCAGTTTATCTCAGGTGAACAGTGATTAAACACCATCTTCTGTTGATCCTTTTGTATTGCACACAACAGGTGTTCTTTATAACCTAACAGGTGTTCTTGATAACCGCTGAATTTCAGAGATAGGGATCTTAATTCCAAACACAGAGACAATTACTGACTGATTCAGCTGCTGCCAGTATCAAAAAAATACAAGACCCAAGTGAGCTAAGGAGACAGGCAGACACTCATCTAGAATGATGGTCATCATAAAAAATATTTAAGCCAATGCCTGTTTCACATGACTAGAAGATTCCACCCTATCTTAGCAGCATTCACCACTGAAAATGGTCTAGGGGACAGAGATTGGACCCTCTGGACCCAAGCAGCATCCCCAGAAAACACGATGGTTATTAGAGTTCATCAGAAGCAGAAGAAACCAGCCAAGACCTTCGTGTGCAAACTGTTTTGAGGGGAAGAGGCAATATAAGGATGGCAGAACTCCAATAAACATGGAGACAACAGTACCAGGGGTAGTATTACACACTAAAGCTGTAAAATATGTGTTTTACAATAAAGTATCAAAACTGCCAGTGACAACCCAAACCAGATACTTTATATGCTTTTGGTTTTTTCACAGCAAAACAAAAATTTGGGACATTTGCTTTCAGATTAATTTAGAATATAGTTCAAAATTGCTTTTGCCGAGTATTCAGGGGGCTACAGGATATTTTAATCCCTCAGTGTGATTTACTGCTTATATAAGAAAATGACATTTCAAAGCATTTTCTCTTTTTTAATTCCACATTTTAAAATGTTCAAAACAATGGAAGGCTTCAGTATTTCAAAATTTCTGCTCTCCTGGTCACCTTTTATCTGTGCAGGGGAATTCTCAGCCCATGAAGAGCCTCCCAAGAAAGCAAAGGCTGTAGAGTTTACCTCATAACTTGCACTGTGTGCTAAGCAAAGCTTCCACACCAGTTCAGTCACTTCTGCTCCAGTGACCTCCCTCTTGGTTACTTCCCTTTCATAGAGAATGTCGGTCACATACAGATCATCAGAGTCCCCTGGAATAAGGAACACAAAAGAAAAATCACATCTCTAGTGATTGCTGGCATTTTGCTATCATTAACTCTATATGCAAGGGGAAAGTTTCTCTCTGAGCCTTTATTTCTCCCTGTATGAATATTAATATGAGTGCAGTCAGCTTGAATTTCAGAACACAACAGAATAAAGACAAGTGTGACCCAAAAGAAAGAATCAGAGAAACAAGACAAATACACACATGAAAAAAGCCCTGTTTTTCATCCATCCATCTCTTAGTATGGCCCTGCTACTTTACATTCATCACCTATTCCAATGTCATCTAAACACTACTCCCACACTTCAACCACCAAAAAAGTGAAAAGGAGATCTAGGTGCAAATTAAAATAAATGGCTTGGCTCTGAACCTCTTCCTGAGGAACAATCCTATCATCTTATGTTGGTATAATTACAAACAAAATACCCTGGAAATTTGGGGATTCCTTTAAAAAAAGAACTGAACAACTATTTAGAAATAGACAAAAAACATGTTCCTCAACATTTAGAGTTTAACTTTGAAATCATTCCTCAGGCAAGCCACCTGTTGACTTCAGTAAACTCATCTTCCTAAGAAGAAACATAGAGAGCAAAGAAGGAGCAAATATTAAAACAGTTCTCAGACATGGCATGTCCTTAGTTCCATTAGGACTTGCAATTATTTAGGCTCCATTTATATAAAAACTAGGAATTGTCCACAGATCTGGGAAGGCTGATGCTGGACATACAAGGGCATGAAGTATGTAAAGCAGACAAAGGGAAGGTAGCCATTACAGACTGTCATTTTTGGAAACCTAGCCAGTTTTGGAGATCCACAGAGTTTTGTTATGGCAGGCCCAAGCCCCCAGAGAAGGGACAGCTCAGCCCAGCCTATAAAAACACCCACTTTAAAGCAGTTTAATACATTAAAGGTGAAAATCATGGGTGCAAAGAGTTCTCACAGGCAAGACAAAGTCACAATATTTTTCTAGGAAATAAATTTACTTTGCTTTAGCAGAAGCATAGTTACATTTATTGCAGAGTGTCTCTGTTTCCACTTGCAAGAGTTTGAGTGCAGACCGTGTCTGTGTCTCGGCCCCACTGCCCTGCTGAGGGAACAGCGTCATGCGGTCGGACTCGGTACATTTGGCCTCCTCCAGGACCCCATCCCTAATGCTCTGGACACATTCCAGCTGGGAGGACAGAACCTGCTGTTCAGACTGAGAAAAACAGGTACTTCAGGAAGATTCTTGATGACCTGCATCAGCTTACCCAATACTTCCTCTCCCAACTTCACAGAGGATTCCAGTTCTGGGATTGTGGGAAGTCTCTTGTCTACCCCTCTGACAGTGCCCAGCCTGTGGAGGTTAATGTGATCCTTATTGTAGCCTACTTTTTCATCACTGAAAAACAACTGCTATTAACTGTCAGCATCAAATGGTGTCAATTCATTTCAGTTCACAAAGCCTCAAAGTTAATCAGATATTTTTTAGCAAAAATATTGACTGTATTTTCTATCAAGAGTGGAAAGCTGCAAGTCTGGCATTTAGAAAAGTTTCTAGCTTTCCAAACTTTTCTACAAATAATAACTTTCTTTTTTTAATGCATTTTTTCTTACTCACTCCCTTCCACAGTTTATTTTCAGTTTACCTCTGTAACATATTTTAAAGAGAGTTTAATCCAGGTGCCTAACAACCCCTTGCATTTATACTGTAACATTCATCAACCACAATGCAAATTTGCATTAAAACAAATTCTGTGAATAACAGACATTGCAGGGAGAATAATATTCACCATTTCTTTGCTAAGAACTCAAGTTAGGGCAGACACTCTCTTCAAATAAGCTCAAAAAGCAAGAGTCAGAGTAACTCCCCAAAACTTACTGACACATGAGGAAGAACAACAAATTGCAGAGAAGTCAAACCAGAAGAGCGATGGGAGCAGAGGTTCAGGTCCCTTGACTTTACAAGAATGGGACCCTTTCGCTGATACCTGGTTGGGCATATTCCCAGGACATCCACCTAGTAACAAACATACACTGTTGAGTCACACATGCACACATAAAATACAAGGAGATAGTGTAGGTTATTGCAATTTGTTTTAATAATTACTTTTTTTGTAATAACAATAGATCTAAATTCTCCCTTGAAGAAGACCAGTTTTGCCCCAAAAGCCATGAAAAGGCAAATAATTTTAAAGACCTTGGTCAAGTTTATAGTAGCCAGGCTCTGTTGGTTTGTTTAATTTCACTGTGTTATTCTGAATCAGATCATTACAGACATATGCTATTCCATTTAAAATTTTGTGGGCATGCAGGGAAGCATTAATTCAGAAGAGCATTAATAGGCAGAGTAACTAACCCCTACTGCAGAACCTCTCTTTAAGCACTGACACGCAGGAGTAGGCTGAGATAATTTTAGAACATTCACTACAAGAAAAAATCAAATGACTGCCACAGTCTGCTGAACCAAGTGGCAAAACCCTTTCTTTATTTACAAGTGGAGTAGACTTAACACATACAAGACCTAAGAGTCACCTAAGAGCATGACTGACAGTCTCACCTCCTCAACAACAGCACCAGCAGAGAATTCTGGCACTGTCTGCAGGACACTGAGAATGCCTCGCTTGATGTTCAGTGCCCAGGTCTGTTCACTCCTCACAGGACAGAGCTTCAGAACTTTCCCATCATGGAAGGAAAAATGAAGAGGATGCTGTTCTAGTATTTCCCTGCAACAAAAGAGTTTATCATTTCCTGCTTCAAAGAGTGCAGGTGAATTTATGACATTAGATTCAGATTTTCCCCAGCAGAACTATTCTTCCACAATAGATCTGTCTCACTCTGTATCTCTATTATTTATAGCAAGCCTCTATTCTTCACAAATTCAGCCTAACCCAATGAGTCCTTAAAAAACCCTGTAAAACCCTAAAAAAACAAATCTTCTCAAGATAATCACAGCATCCTCAGTGTAACTGTAATACTTAATAAATGCAGTCCTGGCAAATTATTTACATGTAAATGTACTTAATGGCAGTGATTCTTGTTTAATTAAGAGAGAAATTCTGTTATAGAATTCAGAGTGCCTTTAGCTTTGGTAGGCATGTCTGAACTGCAAAATAACTGCACCATGCCTCTTCAGATGTGATGAACACAAGAACAATTGCTTCCCAATTAACCTATATCTTCCTGCTCTGCTAGGTGTGAATACTCAGGCTCTATCCCAAACTTATTCCTCAATCTCTGCTGTTAGTACACTTCCTAATGTCTTTTGTTATCCCAGATTGAGAGTACAGTGTTTTCTGCCTTTCCAAGGGATCACTTTTTAACATTGATTTTCACTCCTAATGTAATATACTTTAATAATATATTTTCCCTCTAAATGGGGAAAAACCAACTATCCAAAGGAAGAATTTTATTGTAGCCCAGTGGTCAGCTCCCATACAGGGAGCTATACCTGTATGGGAGCTATTAACTGGGGCACTAACTATTCATCTAGTCAATCAGTCACAAAGTAAGAGATAAAACTTTAATAAACCAACATCTGGATAAAGTCCTTCCAGAAGAGACTGGGCATATAAGATAAGGGTTTCTGAAGTCCTAGGCAACTGAGCCTGTTTTTGCTATCTGTGGAAATTACATGCATGTTCAAAGAACAAGCTAGACTACTGTATATTCACAATAGGCTGAGGCAAATGCTAATAAGGCTCACTTGTCTGAATAATTATTTTGAATAGCCAAGCTTCACTGAATGCTTTCTATGCTACCTCTCTTTTTTGGGTTCTCTGCAAAGAACAATACACAACTGCTCTTACTGCCACAAAAATCTTGAAAATAACTTCACAGAAGATGTGCCTATACACTCATTTGAACTCTGATACCACTGCCCATAGAGACAACACAAAGTTCTTCCTGATGAATATAAAAAGCAATGCATTTATCCCAAGCTTGCTCTTTTTGACCCTTTGAATTGAGTCAATTACCTCAGTTCTCAGTGTTGTTTAAAGGCTGAGAATCCAAGTGGAGGGACAAAGAGGAAGCTTAATCAGACAACAGAACTGCTTTTTTTTTTATGACACAAGAGGCATCAGCTCTCTGGGAAAATGCCAGACTTCCACAGTTTGAGGAGATCTTTTTGTATAGCCATCTACACTGGAAACTATACCTTGGCAAGTCAATGAGAAACACACTGACATATGTTATGAATGAGCTACTAAACCCAGAAACAGAAAAGGAAGAAAATATCATTGGACAAATAAATTATAAATACCCTGGAAGAAAAAACACAACATTTTGCCTTATGAGAATCTTCTAAACCAAGAACTTCTGAAATGTACTGCAACACTCTAGAGTCTCTAGACGTAATATGTGCAGCTCTGACAGCTGTGATCCACACATGCTGCTAGAGGCCTGGTGATTTGTACTCGGAATAATTTGAACTGTCTACTGTCCAAATGGTTTTACATACAAAGGGATGAAAGTTACATTGAAGAAAAACCTGTTTGGACCAAATGTCTCTCATTCTCTCATTTTTGCTTATGGTGCTCATATTTGGATCCTCATCTTAAAAAAAAAACCCAACAAAACAAAAAAAAACCACAAATCACCAATAACAAAAAAAAAAAAAAAAAAAAAAACCAAAACAAAACCAAAACAAAGAAAACCCCTAAAACTAAGCATAGTATGAAGCATAGTGAGCAGTGTCCAGTCAAGTTGCTGCTAAGCCACATAGTTTCAAAAAACCTCAGATTAGAAAGTTTTCTACCTTAGACTGTCCATTTCCATCAGAGACTCCTCTCTGGATGCAAAACTTTTCTTAATCTGTACATCTTGCACCTAGGAGCAAAGATTACAGGCAATATATTTCATTGTCAAGAGGAACTTGTGGATTTATCACATCAGGATATCCACACAGAACATCACAGACTATGAACAAAAGGCTCAGTGTTGCAACAGAACTGCATTAGCCCTATCTTCAGGTGGCATATCTGAGGCAATTTCCAGAAATTTCTTCTATGAAAAAGTTTCACTCACTATTAAACACATTTTATACAGCAACATTATATCCCTTTCACTGTCAAATCACTAACCAGTTAATTTTTATCCATGTGCTAGGACAAGGATAACTGTGCTCTTCTTTGTTGGCCTCATGTGTGTGCATTTAGTAGACGCATGTCAACCCCCCAGCAAAACCAGTGAATTATCCCCTCTGTTAACCTGAATGAAAGCCCAGCAGCTAAGAAGCTGATTTTTCCTGCTGCCCCAGTAGTTCTAAAGCACTGTAGCTCTCCACCTGGCCTACCACAGGGCTAACCCTAGGAGAAGCTCTGCAGTTTGAAACTGCCCTGTTGCCCTGATCTGAGAGACAGATCTCCTGTTGTGATGAATGGAGTGGTACAAGACTGTATTTTACACGGGCCTAGGAGTGGCACCAATCCAGCACATCATACAAATTTCTCAAGTTATCTTTAAAATGCTTGCTATTTTAAAACTACTACTACAGATATAAAAGTGCTTTCAAGTAAACCAAGTTCCTTTTAAAGACTGGCTTTATCTCCAGTTCTGCACTTCATGTAGCAAAACAGTGAAACTGTTGTGTCACTTAGAAAAAAAACCGATGAATCTGCCTTTTAAAATTGACAAATACCTACTTTCAAACTCTAGTGCATCAAAACAATACTGTAACTCTAATTATGAGATCCAGAATTGAGCTGGCTTTTAATTACAAGAAAAACAAATGTTTGAAATGTAGCAATAATCCCAAAGAAAAATAAGATTCCACATCAGCTCACCTCAATAACTCAAAAAATTATGACAATACCTACTTTCAAAACCATCTGGCAATTCCCCAATACTTCAACCATCACTGTGCTCTCCAGAGCGATGCCACTGCTTTTGTAACTATTTCCCTGCAGGAATGTGCTGGTGACTGTTGAATACCTGTAGCTGTATCTAGCTCTTCTGGGGAAGTAAGATGAGCTGTGTCCTAGGAAATAAACAAAAAAAAAGGGGGTGTTTTTTTAGCCTATTAAACTTCCCCTTCTATTTTTTTCTCTTTTAATCTTTCAGCCACAGAAATCAGCTAAGTAAAGGGATGGATATTCAGATTGTTCCTTTCCCACTTGGACTTTCAAGAGAAAGAATTGGGTTTCTGAAAGCATCCTGTATGCCTGCCATAGCTCCTGTAGGAAGGGTGAAAAGACTTCCCCTCTCCCAAGCACGTAACTGCACAATTTCCTTCAAGACAAGAAGTTCATTTCCAAGGGCAGAACAGAAATGTAATGCATTTACAGCACGATTTGGACAACTTTCAAAGAGCAGAAAAGCAGGACCTTCACCACAGCAAGATGAAATAGATATCTGCTCTTCATGCTCATGGCTGGGCTTAGTCCCACACTGGTTTACTCCTTTGCTCAGCTCTAATGCTTAGGAGTTTTTCAGAGTTCACAGAATGCAATCTTCAGACAGGCATGGGCTTGGTAAACCTTGGTGGAACTTCTCTGCTACTTCCATGAATGCTGATCACTCAGACATAAGTATCATTCTTCTCAGAACACAATATCCCTGTGGAAGTTTTCAAATTCCTCTTTCCTTATCTTGTTTTACTCACCTGCACATTCTGCAAAACACGAAGGTCCATAACTTAACTTCTCTGAGGATCCTGCAATGACAAGTAACAGAACAGAAAAGCACTGCAAATTTGTGTGCAGCTCAGCACAGACCTGCTGTTTCTGAATTTCAGTGAAATTACTGAAATCAAAGCATGGTCCTCAAAACAAATAAATAAATCCATGACAGTTCTTCTATCAAGTATAGAAACTGACACAATCTCACTATTTCTGTTGCATTCCCCAGAATGCTAAAGGAAGATGCACTATTTAATGCATCCTCTCCAGGGAGGATGCTCTCCCACCTGCCCAGTACCACCCAAAGAGCTCAGTAAAGCAAAATGCTACACTACACCAAAAATCCAGACAAAGCTGCTACAAGAATTACTATAAACCTAAAAGTTGAAACATAATTCTCTGAAGTTTTGCCAGTGAGAACATTTCTTAGTAGAAGTATTCTGCATTGAGAGAGATCAATCTTAGCAGAGGAAAAATTTCTTCTACTTACTATCTGAAGCTCCAGCTACAGCAGCACAGAGTAAAATGATGGGAAGTAACCCTGTGGCCATCGAAATCACCTCCTCAGATCAGAAGTTAACAAAAACACATCAGTTCTGCTCTCAAACGCACCTCTGAGCAGGCACTGAAAGAAAATTTCCTTCACAAAGCAGGAGCTCACTATTTCAACTCCCCTCTTCCTGCCAGAGGAGGGGCTCTGGCAGGGCAGCCTGCAGAGGGGAGGGGGAGGTTGTAGTAAGGGGGAGAGACAGACACAGGCGTAACCACTGATCCCATCCCCAACAGCATTTCAGCCTTTCTGCAAAAGAAGAGAAAGATAAATTAATCTGTTAGAAATCCCACAAAACTGCAGGGAAAAAATATTAGGTATATGGCATCATAACAGAGCAAATGCTCAGAAGAATCTCATGCAGTGAGTTTAAACTAAATTAACAAATGTAAAAGCCACCCTAGCAATCACTCCTTGATGATTAATCAACCAAAAAGCACACAGGATGAAAGTCAAAGCTTTGGGAGTAAAGGGAAGGGAAGGTGTTTCCATTGGGAGCAAGCAAGTTTGTGGGAGGCAGCTCATCCCACCAAACAAAGTCCCAAACCTCAAATGGGTGAAATTGTGTGTGAATAACACACAAAACCACTGAACCACCGTCCTTCTGGTAGCAGTCAGGTTTGTACAACACATTGGACACAGGCCTTCCAGGCAGACCCCTCGTCCTGGCCCGGGGCTCTTCCACACTCCCCATGCACTCTGAGCCCAGGTACCGATGGTCACTCACAGCACGAGCCACGGCCACAGCTCAGCTGTGCCTGTGTGCCAGCACCTCCCAAGGGAAGCCGTGTGGGCAGGTAAACGTTTGTTTCCTCCTGCTGCAAGCCCTCTGGTCTAGGTGAGCTACTGCTCACTTCAAACAAGAGTTGCAAGTAGAAATTTCAATAACAATCCCAGTCACTGGTACTACTCTCCCCCGCCAGGTTTGTACTACAAAAAAAGAGGCTACAGCCTCTTTTCTGCACTTACTTCCTCCATCATACAACACTTGCTCATGAAATGCTTACAAATGTTAAAGGGAAAGCAACTTCTCAAGCGTGCTTTGCAAACATCAATGACTAAAGAAGGTGAGAGAGCATGACTCCAGTCTAAAGATTTAATAAAGTACTCCATGATGTAATCTGGTCCCCTCTATCAAAATTCCTGACCTACCAAATGCCAAACTCAGAGTCAGTCTAGGTTTGAAACTGAATTAAAAAAAAAAAACACAAACAAACAAACAAAAACATAACACTGAAAACTGAAAAACTACATATTTCACACAGCAGCTCAAATTTCCTAGAACCAACCCAAAGCAGTAACTAAAAAAGCCTTCTTCTGCCTTCACAGTGATTTTTGAGAATATTCTTATTCTGAAGCTGCTTCAGAGATTTCTTTGTGGAAAATTACTTGCTGACTTTGCCATTTTTACTCTGCTAAGCTACTCAGTCTGGTACTCATTCTAATTTTTCATTTAAGAGTACAGCTCATGTGAGCATAGTATGCACTCCATGTAAGCAGTTATCTAGCTCTTGGTCTACTATCAGCAATAAGCAGGAAAGTTAATAGCTGGGCAGGAACATAAAAACATGATTAATTAACCAGAAAATTGCTATATTGTGACAATTCTTTTCTTGAATCACTACTATTGCCCAGTTTCCACACCAGTCTGACTTTTAACTGTTTATATAATAAGATTGTTCAACATATTTCACATAGCTATTGGAAAAAAAACCTTTAAAGCATAAAATTTGCATCAAAGTCAGTAGGAACATCAACACTGAAATTAGAGAGAATTTCTGCTTTATTATGACACTGGTTTAAGTGCAGAAAGTAACTTAGGCTTTCTAAAATAATGTAATCTGCATTTTAATCTCAAGTTTTCATTTTATAGCTTCCCTTTTCTTAGGGAAGAAACAAAACTAATTAAAAAAGAAGAAAAATATGGTAGGACTAAGAGAACACTCAAGAATTTACAAATCTGAGCTTGCTTGAATCTTGACAATTTCATAGGCTCAAGAACAAAGAAATTTATGAATAAAACTCTAAGGCTTTTTTTGATAAAAATATTTCAAACACCTCTTTTCAGCAGAGCAGAGATTTGAGGCAGTTTTTATTAAAAATCTAAATACAGAATTAAATATGTGAATAGCAGCTAGGTCCTAAATGCTCATTGAAGTAAATTCTTTAAGATAAAATATCACATAAGTGTCCTGTGCACTTGACTCAGGTGACATCCCTCATGTAGTGATTGGCAAGTGCAGGATGGAGCCCAAGTCTCAACATCTTGTAAGCATTTTGTCCTACCTCACACCAGGTGGACTTTTTCTAAAAAATCAAAACACCACCCCCAAAACAGGCAGAAAAAGAACCTACAGAAGAGAAATTTCCAACACATTGCTGTCCTAGATTATCTTTTAAAAATGGAAGAAAATCTGACACACGTGCTGCAAACACACTGGTTTAATGACACACAAGAGACCCACGCTGGCTGTAAGTCTCAGAAAGTATTCATCCATTTTAATGGACACTGTACTCAAGTTTGGAAAATGAATTTAATAAAAAGTACCATCTGTCACACAACACGGTAAGCCTGTCCATGGACACCTGAGAGCTGTTCACCATTATTGCCAAGAAAGCCTGAGCTTTTACAAACTGGCAAAGTCTGCTTTGTATAGGCCCCACCAATAATATTAAATTAATATTATCGTAACTCTGACGTGTAGCACTAACAGCCGAAGGTAGGAGGGAAGTGCCCTTGGCCAGGGTCCCACACCCACCTGTGTGCTCGCCGCACCTCCGCCTCCTCCCTGCGCCCGCAGCCCTCCCGTGTTCGGGAGCTCCGCCTGCCACGGCCCCGAGTCGAGCCCGCGGAGCCCTCACAGCGCCGGGCACCGCCGGGAGCCCCTCACAGCGCCGGGCACCGCCGGGAGCCTTTCACAGCGCCGGGCACCGCCGGGAGCCCCTCACAGCGCTGGGCATCTCCCGGAGTCCCCCTCACAGCGCCGGGCACCGCCGGGAGCCCCTCACAGCGCCGGGCACCGCCGGGAGCCCCTCACTGCACCGAGCATGTCCCGGAGCCCCCTTCACAGCGCCGGGCATCTCCCGGAGTCCCCCTCACAGCGCCGGGCACCGCCGGGAGCCCCTCACAGCGCCGGGCATCTCCCGGAGTCCCCCTCACTGCACCGAACATGTCCCGGAGCCTCCTTCACAGCGCCGGGCACCGCCGGGAGCCCCTCATAGCGCCGGGCATGTCCCGGAGTCCCCCTCACAGCACCGAGCATGTCCCGGAGTTCCCCTCACAGCGCCGGGCACCAGCCGGGACAGCGGCACGAACGCCCCCCGCCTCTGGGGAAAACGCCGCGAAAGCGATGCGAGGCACCAGCGCTTTCAGGGCGTTTTCCCAGCCGAAGTTAAGCGATAGAGGGGACACCTGTCCGCCCCAGCGCCCTGGCAGCGGCCGCTCCCCGGCGGACTGTCCCCAACTCGGCCGCCGAGGAACCCGGGCACAGCCGGGGCGAGGGCGGGCAGAGCGAAAGGGTCAGCGATGGCTGTGGGGAAACGGGGAGATGGGGCCGCACCTCCAGTCCGGTGTCCAGTTCTGGGCCTCCCGCAACAAGGACACTGAGCTGCTGCACCAGAGACGTGCAGTGGAGCTCCTCATCAAGACTGATGAGCAACAGCTGAGGGAGCTGCGGGGGCCTCAGCCTGGAGCAAAGGAGTCTCAGGAGGGACCTTTCCCTCTGAGCTGCCTAAAGGAGTGGTCAGGCATTGGAACAGGCTGTGCAGGGAAGTGCTGGAATAACTCTTCCTGGATGAATTCAGAAAATACGTCCATGTGGTGCTTAGGGACATGGCTGAAAGGCGGAGTTGGCAGCGTGGAATCAAGTGATCTCAGAGGTCTTTTCCAACCTTAGCAATTCTATGATCCTGTTATCCTAGAGTAAAATAAAATCTTCTAGTTAGCAAGACACAGAGCACTCAGAGTAGCACCAGGAGAAGGTACTTCAGAGGCTGTGTGGAGCAAGAGATGGAAATTGCTTTGGGTTTGTCTTTCTCCCCCTAATGCTTTTGTGAACCCCTTGCTGTCACATTCAGATGCAGTGTGGGTTTAATTAGAGCATCCATCATACACCTTGTTAATGCCATGGTCCTCTGGAGCTCACTGAAGCTGCTTTTTGGGGGTAATTTTTTGTTACAAAGACAAAGACAAAACTGTAGTATGAAGCAAAACAGCCTACCACAAAAGGACTTTAAAAAAGCCACCCACTCACTCTTGGTTTATTCTCAGCTTGGGCACAGCTACTTTCAGCACCTCCAGACCTGGTTTCACATGCACCTCTTAGTGTCCTGGTATGCTCACTGGCAAATTTATTTTTATACTGGATTCACACCCAACATATCATACATGAGAGTATTCCTCTCACAAAAAATAAATTAAAAGTCATCCCAAAAAAAAAAATAAGTTCATATCACATTGCAGGATCTTATGAAGCAAATAGGAACACAGACTTTAATTTGCTATAAAATGCAATCACCTGAACTACAAAAACTACACCTTTGTCACAGGACTTGCACTTAGTTTTTACTCTGAGGATGACATTATTGTATACTCCATTACTGACCTCCTGGTGCTCAGTTATGAATAATAATTAACTAGGTTTGATTTTTTTTTTTTAATTAACTAGAATTTCTTCAAAAAACCCTTGTGGTGAGACAGCCAGAAGTGCTTTCACAAACACTGCAATAAATAGCAGCTTCTTGAAACCACTCAACTCACTTAACAACTCCCTCTTGTAGGGCTATCAGCTGCCTTTTACTTGTTTTAACAACTTTTATTTTGAATCCTCTTTGCATGACAAACCAAGTTTTATTTCTTTCTGGCTCAAGCCTCATCAGAATTTGAACATTGTGCAAGTTCTAGCTAATAAAAAGAGAAGCCTAATGAAAATAACACTGTCAAAGTGTAACAGAAAGCAAAGTCATCCTGGAAAGCTCATGAAGGTGGGTGTAGGGAAGGTTTTTCCTGCATCTGTAATGTGAGGCTGGAGGATTTCAGATGGCCTGTGCTACTTCCTCATGTGAAAAAAACTTGAGTCCACAAAGCCAACATTGCTCCTTCTGTATCTTACCTTACCAAGGAAAAACTATTCATACAACACTCCCTACCAAAATAACCCTAAAGTTGCTTAATTAAAAAAAAAATTAATGCATTAAAACAAACTTGTTTGAGGTACTAACCTTGCCTTCCTGTGCTTTCTGAACCTCAAAAAAACCCAACCAAACAAAAATATAGAAAGAATATTTAAAGAAATATAGAAAATATTATAAGTAGGGTATTGTCACATGATTAACAGGGATTCTTTCCCACTGAATACAGTGATATTTGGTATATATTCCTGAACACGGAGCCATATATGTGTGTGTTTATTTAGTTGCATTGCAAGTGAAAGTTTTACCCAAAAGTTTTAATTGAAAAAATATTTCTAGGACCCAGGTTGCAGGAAAACAACACATTTTCAATGTGGGTCTGTGTGGGACAATTGGTCCCACAAGACGCTGCTATTTATCAGAGACTTGGCCCAGGTGAGACTCTGAAAACTTTCTCCCTGTAATTACTTTTCTTCTTTTAACATTTCAGTCATCCATGTGTTTGGAAACATTCCAAATATTATAATTTTCCAATTACAAGCACTAGATAGGAAAGACAAAGTTTTTATTTTAAACAGAGTCAGTTTTAAAAACAAACAGTAACTTCAACATAATCAAACACAAAGCGCTTTCACACAAAGCAAGTTATATCCTGCATTTGTTTGTCCAAGGTAGGTTTAACAAAGCAGGTTACTTTGGCACAGTCTGTAGATTATTCCATACACAAGAGAACAAACGGAGACTTTGCGTTTAAGGAAACACAACTATAGAAGGAGCAGCAGAAAGCCTTGCAGAAGGCTGAATTAGATGGATGAGCTGCCAACATTGTGTGTCCTATTCTCAACCCACACAAGGAACTTAAAGAGAATCAATGGACTGTCCACATAAATCAAAACAAATTTTTTCCTGTGTTTTGCATTCTGGTGCCACCACCTCAGATTTTCCAGCCATCACTTTGAGAGAAAAGGGGAGCTAAGGTAATAACAATTGGAAGACTTATCAAATTAATATATGGCAGTATTATCCAGACCAGACCAACAAGGTACTAAGAGAATGAAAAATCCTTCCCACCATGCAAGCAAATCCCAAGTTTGGAAACACTGCGAGCTTCATTGCTTCTTTTTGTCTCGCTCTACAATAAACTGACAAGAAGCACATTTTCTGTGACACCCAGTAAGGCAAAGGACTTGCTCGTGTAACCAGAACAGAAAATTCAATGCAGCATCACCCAAGCCCTTCAAGAACACAGGAGAGCACTATGGTGGTGCACCAGTAGACAAAACTACCAGCTTTTTATCTCCATCATCCTCTTGCCAGTGAGTAGCTGCTGATATACATTCTTACAACATGAGGAGACCAGAAAGCTTTTCCAAATACACAAGGAAGCTCTTAAATCACTTGCAGACTGGCTCACAAGCAGCATCAGTTTACAAAACCTAATTAAGACAAAGCCTGCAGATTGTACATGATCTACAAAATAACTGGATTTCAAACATAAAGTATTGAAAGACTTTTGAAAAACTAACTTATACCAAATATATACAGAAGGCACATTTGGCAAGAACAGTAAATGCAATATTTTTTATTTGTATTTATTTTAGCTTTTTACTTTTACAGATATTAATACAGTGTTACCAACACAGTCTTGTTTTAACACCTGTCTTCCTTTTCTGGACAGGCATCATTTAGGTTGAACATTACCAGGAAGATTTTTCCAGAAAGGGTGATCCGATGTTGGAATGGGCTGCCCAGGGAGATGGTGTCACTCTCCCTGGAGGTGTTTAAGAAAAGATCGGGTGTGATATTCAGCACCATGGTCTAGTTAATAAGGTGGCATCTACGACACAGGCTGGACATGATGATCTCAAATGCGTTTTCTAACCCAGATGACTTTGTGGTTCGGATTCTGTGAGATGCATCAAAATGCTGTTTGATCCAATTGCTTATGGTAATTGATCCATTTCTTACGGCACAGAAATGACTTTAACCTTCAGAGCCTCATTTCCCTAATTTTTTGTGATTATCGTATTAAATAAGCATAACCAGCTTAAGTTTCTAAAAGCAGAACTCATCTTTCATTGAATTTAGAAAAATCAGAGAAACTCCTTAACACACATTTTACCTTCTTAATAAAGAAACAATAATTAATGAGCAGATCACCAACTAAAAGCCGGGGTGTTTTATTTATGTGTTTCAGGTGGAATTCGAGCCTTAAGATAAGGCTGAAGTTTGTTTATGATCCATCAGCTGACTTACGTAAATGTACAAGGAAGTTTTCTAACCAAGCCTCTCTGGGCATTTCCACTGGCGTGAAGAAAACACTTCACAGACTTTCAATCAGCAGTAAGAAAGCCTCCAGCCTAACAAAAAACACTGAACAAATATCTTCTATATGAACGTCTTTACTTCAGGTTAGAGACATGATTAGACTTGAAACTGGCAAGAAAACTCAGATACTAGATTCATTCACCATTTCTGCACAACCACCTGAACTGTCCCTTTGGAAAAGCTACCTCCAAGAAGGAAGAAGCCTTCAGGTTTGGTTCTCTTCAAACTACAAAAGTTTTTAAATTAATTCTAGTGCTCATGAAGAGATGACAACAAAAGATTTCTGTCTCTGAGGCAACTCCCTGCAAGCTTGTAAACAGTGCTGCTGCCAAAGCATGAGCCTAAATAGTTCTCCATACATGTCCTCCTCTTGTTCTGTGCTGAGACTTTACAGTCTCAATGCAAGCATAATATGTAACATGCCTGAGACAAGATTAACTGAAGAGTATTACCAACCTGTTCTGTATTAAGCAAAAAGGAAAACACTCCATTGCTCTCCACTGGTGCTGGACTGAGTGGCCCATACAGATTAGGTATGCTTTTCACAGACCTAAGTGAGACTCCTCTCAAGCAAATGTGTATCCAAACCATCTAACAATAAACATTACTTTTTATTGGTTTCCAGTGATAGAATGCGCAGAAAAAATGGGAAGTCTCCATGAAGCTTCAGAGAGGACTTGTAGAGGTGCTGAACAACTCCATCAATATTTAAACACTGCCTATAAACGTTTGTAAGAGCCAACAAGAGCGTTGCATTTCGGACAGGTGTGATCCACATCCTTTAGGGCATCAATGCAGAAGGGAATTAAGCAGCAGCCTGCTATACACCTGAAAAGGCAAAAAAAAGAAAAACACTGCTTTACCACTTTTTATACACACAAGAAGGTAAAATGTATTTTGTTCAAAAGCCATCAGTAAAACCGGTGCCATAAGCTTTAGGAAGAACACACATGGCTATGGAGTCCAATCGCAATGTTCCAGAACTGCTTTAAGGTCCAGTAGGACACAGATCCAATGTAGGCTAATTGAACCACAAGACTCAGGTCCACATAAAGAAAGCAAAGCTGAGAGCTCTATTACATGTTAGACCAAAAAAAAGTCAAGGTAAAAGTGCAAATTGGAGTTTACTTACCCCAGCAGGCAGAGGCCACCACATGACAGCCAGGTCAAAGCTCCTGAGTCGTACGAGAGACGTGTCACTATCATCTGGTTACAGGAAGGGCAGCACATCTGAACTGGGCGGTCATAAAACACTACTGGCTGCTGCACATACACCGTCTGAACAGTAACTGAGCAGAGAAATGGCTGTTTACTTCATGAGGAACAGGAAAAGAGTAGTAATCAACTTCCTCTAAACCAGGTATAACTTAAATATTCAGGGCTCAGAACAATGAAATACACAGAGAGAAGTAACCATGGCATTTCCCAATGCAGAAATACACTGTCTTAAAAATAAAGCTGCACTAAAAACTGCAGAAAGCCAAATTATATTACTGATATCACATCACACTGAGGGATTTACAATAATTGATTCATCTTATTCTCTTCAAAAGTATTTTTGCCAGGCATTGAACACCTGTGAACCATGATTTTTCATCTTCTAACAGTCACTTTGACAGCACCTTAACATGAGGTACAGAAGAGTTTTGGAGGCTTACCGGGGTTATTTGCTGGTGGAGTTTGTCCCATGTTTGGGGGAAGGTTCATTCCCTTCCCATCTGGCTTCTGTCCAGGGCCAGGGACGGGATAGGGATGAGGATAGTTCACATTGATTCCTACGGCTTCCTCATAAGAAGGTGGTGCAGATGGGACAGGATTGCCACTTGGAGCAGACATTATATCTAAAACATAAAAGAGAGAAAATTGTAACAAAAGGTATTATTTATTAATGGCAATTGACAAATAATTAGGCTCAATTTAACAGCAAGGCGATAACTATATTAAAAGGGACTTTAACCAGCATAAAATTAACTGGCTGGTATTTGTTTCTGATCATATTATCTTGTTAATCTTGATTTCACTGTTGTTGTTGCCTACTTCCCAATTCCTTTTCACTGGGAATTTTTTACACTTTTCCCCAATACCAATTCTTCCTTTGTAAGTTAAAAATACTAAAGCAGTGTTAGTATACTAAACAATCTGACAGTCTTGTAATTCTCCAAGAACACTATTTCTAATCCCTCTTGTTCACCTGAAAAACGGAACACTATGATAGGCCACATGGTAGTTGCTAACCAACATGAGCCTGGTTTGTGGTGAAACTTATTTAAATGAAAATATTTTTAAAATACTATTTAATTCTGTTGTAACTTGAAATAAGTAATTATATTGAAGGAAAAAGAAACCCAAACAATTAAGCATGTCCAACTAAACTCCAAGATTTTACAACTATCAAATATATCTAATATATCTACCCTTGCCATTTTTGCTTCTTAGCAATGTTTTAACAAGTTTGTATGGCAAATTTTCCTCCACCAATTGTTATTTTGTTGCAGAGAACAGGAATGCTGACCACCGCCAAGACACTACTGTGGTTTCAATGCAGACTTCCTCTCCTCCTCCCCACCTACCCACTTCCTACAGTCTGCCCACCATTTTCTTTGTGGAACAAGATCTCATGGAGTCAGTGCTGACCAAGCATCTCCCTTTCCCCCTTCCTCCTAAGGACTATCAGACAGCTCTCCAAGAGCCACACTCCATTCTGTTGCTGCACACACGATCCCTCTGTACACATGCAAGTATCTTCACTCAGTACTATCTGGAAAAGGCAACCTATATTTGGAATATTAATTCTATGGTGTCACAAAAGTTATATAGGAGCTCCAATTACCCACAGCCCTACTATGAATAAAAGAAGGGAAATTGCACTGATGCAATTTGCAGGTACAAAAGACAACATGCAAAGAGAAAGAATTTCAGATGTGTCTGTTTAGGACTGGGGTCACTCCATCCACACAAAGCTTGGGTGAGACCCAGCACAGAAGTGCAGTGCACACAATGACACAAGCCTTTCCACTCTCCCAGAGCATGGAAAAGTTCCTGGAATAATGCTGATTACCTTCCTCACACAATACAGCTTTCATCAGGATTTCAGTCAAGTCTATAAACACTTCCACAAAGAACTTGTCACAGGCTTGTTCACTCTTCCAAGTTACACAGGACTACTCAGCTGCACTGTAGGCATGGGGATACACCAGGAAACACCTATGTTTATATACTTCAGGAGTCCCACGGTCTTCTCAGCAGATTTAGCAGAAATGTGGAAAGGTGTATTACAAAAGGAATTGTGTACTCAATCAAGAGTGGGTTTTATAGTAGCCCTGTGGCCAGGACAAACACAGGAGCTGGTACAGAAGAACAGACGTGGCTACAGGTGCTGTCAGCCTGGGACAAACATTGCTTTTTCCCACCTTCCTCATACTCACACTGTAACTTTGACAGAATGAAAAGGGAACAAGACAGCAGTCAAAGATGTTGAAACTCAGTAAGATTTTGTAGCAACAAGTATTTCACAGCTATACCTTTAAAAAACACGGATCTGTTTTCTTTAGAAAAGAGAAGTTTTCTCCTTGTGACTAAACTACAGAGCTGAATCACGATCTGCTGTCCTCACTTGGTACACTGGTGTTGGCTGGGGGTGTATAAGAAGCCAGGAGGGGACACTGCCAGAACAGCAGTTCAACTGTTCTCATTTGCTTCACTTGTTACTTCCCTGTGTTACTCTCTTTTCTCTGTTACTCTCCTTTCCATTACAACTATTAAATTATTATTTTTCTTAATTATTTTATTTCAATTATGAAACAGTTCTTATCTCAACCCATGAGTTTTCTTACACCCGTCCAGTTTCTTCAGGGTTGCATTGAGTGAGCAGTTGTGTGGTACTCAGTTGCCAGGTGGGGTTAAACACACAACTACTTCAGCTGCTCAGCTCTGCTTCACTGACAAGCAAGCTCTAAGAAACGGAAAGACACTCGTTCAGAGATTTCAAAATGATATAACTTCCAGCATGAACACTTCAAGTCTTGATATTTACTTTATATTGCATGTTCATTTCTTACCACCAAATGGTTTTGAACAACCATTTCAAAGTGATCACTGTGCTTTTTCTGCACTTTTGCTTTTTTTTCTTTTTTTGTAGACAAACATGAACAAGTCTTAGGTTCTCACAGCACTTTGTAGCATCTCTTTTCTCTTTTTAAAATTTCAAAACTGTAGCACAAATAACATGTACAAAGTACTACAGTGAATGGTAAAAAATGTATGAACTCCTTCAAGTTATCTATCAAAACAAAAATTCCTAATAAACATCAAGATGACATCGGGACTACAAAAAAAGCCTCTTCAAAGTACTGAGTACTGCAGATGTAACCACAACTTCAGCTTTTAATTTCATTTTTTCTCATGTCCCTTCTGCTTTAAATGCCAACTCTGAAGAGCTATTTGAGCCATCACTTCATACGGCCAGTGCAAATGCGCAAGTGTGTTTCACACTCCACATCTTGAAAATTAGGCTGGGGACAAGGGAAAAAGAAGGTAATAGCCCACCTCTCTGCTTGGTATGTAAAAAAATAACCAACCAAAAACCCACCCAGTAAAGAACGGCTTACAATTACAACTATCCTAACCTAGTCTGGCCAAACAAATGTGTTGCTGCCCTTCCCTTAATCTCTTGCAAAATCTGACACAACTTAATCCTTAAATTAAACAATTCCTACACAGTCCTCTTCACTAGAAATCCCAAACAGCCTTCCAACACCACGGGTGGTTTAGAGGGCTCCCTGCACATCAGAGTCTAAGACAGATACCGGTCAGCAACACTGAGAATGAAATACAGGTTGAAGGCTATTAACAACCCAGCAGGATATACAGGTTTATCAGAGCACTCGGATTTTTGCAGTGAAAAGCCCTAACAGAGCACCTTCTTGGACCACCAACTTCGTCTGAACTCTGGACAACTTCCTAGTTTACCAACTTGCTGAGAAATACTATCTCAAAGTTGTTTAAATTTTCCAGGCATTTGTGAGAGAATAAAATCCATTTATCACAACAAAAAAGACTCTGACATATTATTATTTCAGGAAGAACCAATGGCATTGTGGTCACATTGAATTCTATACTGGCATAGTACAAATAAAACCGGCACGGTGTGTTCCGGCGGCATAAACCATTTCAGAGGTTAGAGTGCTACTTTTATCAAGTAATCAATAGTTTTGGAATAATCCTGTGAGTGGCTTAATCCTGTGAATAACCCGCTCCTCGGGGCAGGGCAGGGCCGGTCCGAGAGGAGCTGCTGCCGCGCGGATCCCGAGAGCATTCCCAAAAGAAAGGGGCCACCTTCCGCCTGCCACACTCGGGAAAGCGAAACTCCGGCCTCGCTCGGCCTCCGCCCGCATCCCCGAGGGCGGGAGTCGCCCACGGCCTCTCCCGGACCGTCCCGGGACCGGGACCGGGACCGGGACCGGGACCGGGACCGGGACCGGGACCGGGACCGCGCCGCTCGGGACACCGCTGGCCCGCGAAGCCCCAGCCTGCCCTCGGTGCCCCGGGGGCTCCTGCGGGGCGGGACCAGCCCCAGAGCCGCGGCTTCTCCCCCTCCCCGCAGCCGGGCCGGAGCACTGGGAGCGGCCCGGAGGGCAGCGCTGGGGCCCAGGAGCGGCCCCGGCGGAGGAGCAAAGCCCCCCCCGCCGCCCCGTTCTGCCCTGCCCGCGGCACCGCCAGGCTCCGGGCGGCGCGGCACAGCCCTTACCGTGCCGAGCCGTGCTCGCCAGCCCTCCTCGCCTCCGCTCGCCCGGGTGCAGCCACCGTCAGCAGGGCTTGTCCCGTCTCGTCCCGTCCCCACCCGCGTTTCCTCCTCCCCTTCCCCTTAGAGCCGCGAGCAGGCGCCGCGGGCGTTGCTCGGGCGGGCGCTCCGCTGGCCCGGGCCGGGCCCTGCCCCGGGGACTTCCCCCGGGCCATCGGCTCCGGGAAAGGGAAGGGAAGGGAAGGGAAGGGAAGGGAAGGGAAGGGAAGGGAAGGGAAGGGAAGGGAAGGGAAGGGAAGGGAAGGGAAGGGAAGGGAAGGGAAGGGAAGGGAAGGGAAGGGAAGGGAAGGGAAGGGAAGGGAAGGGAAGGGAAGGGAAGGGAAGGGAAGGGAAGGGAAGGGAAGGGAAGGGAAGGGAAGGGAAGGGAAGGGAAGGGAAGGGAAGGGAAGGGAAGGGAAGGGAAGGGAAGGGAAGGGAAGGGAAGGGAAGGGAAGGGGGGAGCCTGTGGAAGTACAGGCACTCCTGGCGCATTTCGCAGTCACGGCGATCGGCAAATTCGCCAAGAGCTCGCTCAGATTAAACCAGTAATCTTTAACTGCTCCATCAGCAGCACAGCCAAGCACCATGTTCTGTAACACTGCAAGGAAATCACTTCTCTAATTCTGCAGTGCCCTTTACGTTACCAGATCAGCTATTTCAGACAATATACAAGAACACAAAATTATCAACAAAACTTTCAAGTTCAAGATTCAATGATTTTAGGTAGTGCCTTTACAAGCAATTGAATTGGATTCAGTCTTTGGAAAACACAAGAGTATGTGAGTCCTTCTTCTATCCAGCTCCAAGATAACACAAAAGTAAATTATGGCCAGATCCCTAACAGGCTTCAAAAGGGACTGCTTCACACACTGGTTTGTGTGAATCTACCTTAGACTGAAGGAACTTGATAACCCCTGCAGGTTATCAGCAGGGACAGTTCGTAAATCCTTTTGGCTGAAAGCATCTAAAATCCCTCAAAGTCCTAGTTTTGTATTTAAATATTTTCTTGAACCTTGCCCTAAAGAATGCACATAGAGCTTCAATTCAAATCCAACCTGGAGCAAGGAATCAGGTTTTATAGGATGAAAGAAGTTTACCCAAAGTGATAATAAACCAAACATGAAGCTCCTGCAGTCACAGTTACCTACTGAATCACCTGCAAGTATGGGTGCTTGGGGATGTCATCAGATGTTGAGATTACTGGGGGCATGAATACTCCAGTCTCCCTGATTTAGGGAGTGTAGAGTGTGATTCATCAGCACTGAGATTAGAACTAGACTTAGAGGTGAATAAATTTACACCATTATAAAAAAATTATATAATATATATTTTTCTCAGGAGCAGAACCTGAGTAATTTGGGTTTTGGTGGCCTGGATTAACTAAAGTTGGAATAATCGTTCTCTTACTAAACCCCCTTCCTCAGGTGGCTATGAGCAGTTTAGGAGCCACAGAAGAGAGAAGCCATGACTGAACATGTCTTCCAGGGTGAAATAAGCCATGACCTTCAACTGAGAGCCTTCTTACTCCAGCTGCCATGCTCTCTCATGTGTTGTGTTTTGCATTTAGTCTAGGCTGGCCCACGCTCCTCCTTGGGGACCCCAGTAACATTTCTCCTTTCTGCCCTACTACTGTTTCCACCAAATGTCCAAGTAGGCAGTTGGCATCCATTTCCTGGGACGTGACTGTATTTCCTCTCACTATGCATCCTCCTTCTCACCCTGCTCACCATTTGCTAATTTTGCCTTTCCAGTCCTTTTGCTGGATGGCACTGGGTGAAAGCAGCATCAGCTTAGCCAGTCTGTGGCTAACCAGGTCACCACAGCACTTGTGAGCATGTGGAAAATTACTCAGAAGTCACAATGGAAAGTTGTATAGTGGTCAGTGGAACAAATGGGCCCAGCACAGGCAATGGGCTCTGTGGCCACCCAAAGTAACAAACTGCAGCACTTTTCTGAGGATTATGTATGTCCTTGCTAATAAATACTTGTACCACCTTGAGCCAAGTGTGCGCCTTAGGCAGAGTTATCAGGTCCATCAAGCACATAAAAAGTAAAGCCCTGCTTCTTAATACTACATTGGTGTTAAGGAGTTTTATTCCTGATTCTCAGTAACAAGCTTGTGGAAAATTGGCAGGTTTGCTGTGGAGAATAGATAAGACTGGTTGGGCAAGGATGAGTTGAGGCACTTGCTTATATTACACCTGACTTGAGTGAGGCTTAAGCACTTTATGGTGTCCGGGCTCAAGTGTAGAGCTCCCAGTATAGTGCCTCAGCAAAGTAGAGACTGTGCTCCCACATCATATGGAGATAGGGCCTCAGCCCCCTTATCCACACACAGCAAGCTGTATTAGAAGTAGACATCTGGTCCTGTGAGGAGATGTGTGGCCAGCAGGCCAAGGAAGGGAATTCTGTCTCTCTGCTCCACTCACAAAACTCCACCTGCAGGACTGCATTCAGGTCTGTGGCCCCCAGTGTAACAAGGGCATGGAGCTGCTGCAGCAAGTCCAGAGGTGGCCATGAAGATGTGCCAAGGGCTGCAGCACTTCTGCTGTGGAGACAAGCTGGGAGAGCTGGAGATGTTCAGCCTGGAGAAGGCTTCAGAGTGACCTTACTGTACCTTTCAGTACTTGTAGGGGGCCTATAAGAAGATTGGAGGCAAACTTTAACAGGGCCTATTGCAACAGGAAAAGATATGATCATTTTAAAGTGAAGAAGGGGGGTTGATTTAGATTAGATTAGATATAAAAAAGGAGGCTTTTATAACGTGGGTGGTAAACTATTGTCACAGTTTGCCAAGAGATGTGGTGGATGCCCCTAGAAACATTCAAGGCTGGGTTGCGCAGGGCTCTGAGCAACCTGGTCTACTGAAAGGTGTCTCTGCTCATTGTAGGGGCCTTGGACTAAATGATATTTAAAGATCCCTTCCAACCCACACTGTTCTGTGATTCTTTGATGATGATGTGCAGTAGTAAAATGTTGATGGGAGTAATGATAGTCAAGCAAAGGTCAGATGGCCTTTACTGCTGCCTCATCTGAGTGGAGGAGGAAGCAATACTAAAGTATCATGTTTCTGTTCTTCCTTTGATTCAATCCTAACTCAGCCTGACCAACAGTAACCGAAACCCTCATTATCCCTCATTTACCTAGGAAACAGACACCAGCATGCAACTGAGAAAGTGCCTTTGTCCCCCTTACCTAAGATGAAAGTAACAGGTAACCAATTGTATTTGATAACAGTCTCACCTCCATTTATCTGAAAATACAAAATTGATATTTGGAATCCTCCATGTAGAGGGTGAGAATATTCCCCATAGCTCCCCATTTCATAAACAAGTGGATGGTTTTGCTCCTCTCTCCTCCCCAAAGGAGAGATCCCTCTTTAGTAAAGTTCATGTCTCTGTGTCAGACCATACTTGGGTGAAACTAAGCTTAATTAACTGTGAAGTGTAATGAAATACTGAATTTTTAATTTAGCTTGAAGCTAACTTATCTTAATTAACTATTGGCTGGTGCTAATGCAGTAACAGCATTTTTCAACAGCAATTCCAAATCTGTATTTCTGTTGCTTCAGTAAGTAGCACTATTTGTGAATCTGTGATTGTGGATGTTCTTATTAAACACAACCAGACTAGAGTGCCAAATTGATAATAACCAGAAATTAAGGCCAGCTGCATTCAGCCCCTCTGATCTCTAACACAAGTGGGGTTATATTGTGCCAAATTTCATAGTCTAATGGAATAGAGCTGCAGCCCAACAAACTACCTGGGTTAGGCCCCAGGAAGCCCGTGCAGCTTCCCCAAAGCTGCGTTGGCACCCACAGAAATTCCCTCCCTGCAGCAGACCGGGTGACTGGGGTGGGACATGGCCAGTGCCAGCTCAAGGTGTATGTGAGGAAATGTGGCTAGAAACTGATACAGGTTTTTATCTCCCCTCCCCCTGCTTCCCCATGAGCTGTGTACCTGAATATTATAAACATAACTTGTTTAAAAAAAAATCATAAGAAAAAAGGGCCCCATGGCAGTTTCAGAAGCCTGACACACAAATGCAGCAGGATGGAATCACGAGAGCTCTGCTCCATCCCCAGTCTGTGGCACAGTGTGATCAGCAGCCTCACCTGCTCTATTCACTGTTCAGCTTCTCTTTGCTGTGTTGAGCCATCACCAGGGCTGCTAACAGCACCATGGAAATGTACAAAGAACATGTACATTTTGTCATATTGTTTTGTCATCACACTGATTGCACACACACTATTGCAGAACACCAGCAGATGTCAGTTTAGCCCCAAAAATAATTGCATGCTGGATTTACTAGCTTTTGCTTTTACAGCAGTAGGTTTCTGTAAAAGAAGCTAAATGATGTTCAGAAGTTGATGTACATTTAAAAGCCTTTTAGCCATATCGTACATGCTGTAATATGTTCTCAATAACGTGTAAAAAAAGTAAACCTTCATCTCACCTTAAATTTCTCCTGCCTAAAAATCACAGGACTTGCACACATACAAATAAATATATTTTTATAAATGTATATAATTTTGCATATACTGATTTGTTGAAGCTAGATAAAAATTTCTATGACTTTTGATCATTTCAGTAATACTAGATACTTACAGAGTTGTACCAGAATGCAGTTTCAAAGCAATGATCAATGTACAAAGACAGATATAAAGAGAAGCAAGGTAGATACATTAAGCCAAATAATCTGATAGCATAATTGTTTTTTCTTAACTGCTGAAATGCTAAGCAAACAGAACAAAAACTCCAACACAATTTCAACAGTTAGTACAATGATACAAGTGTTGAAATTCCCGTGAGAAACCTCAAAGATGACAACAGGATCCCACACTTCAGTGTAATTTATCATGTTAAACAGAAGTAGTATATATCTAGTCTAAAACTGGAAATGATTCCCCAGAAAAGCAATTGATTAACAGAATTGTGAAATTAAATATTAGTACTTTGCTGTCCTTCTAGTACTGTTTCCTTCTTAATTACCAACTCTCGTAATGTTATTTGATCATCATAACTGATAACAGCTGCCAGACTGCAAAACACAGTACAGCAAAATATTTAAGCATGCAAATCATATTATCTTCCCTAGAGAGTGAGACAGAAGTGTGGTGTCAAAAGAGGTAATGATAGATTTCTTTTTCTCAGAACACTTGGCACTTCATGTAAAGGATTATGAGAAGAACAACCACTCACTGCCAGTAATGGTTCTCCTAGTATGGACACTAGAAAGAAATGGTTATGATAGAAAATTTTACCTTTAAAAACAGCAGGTCTGTCTTGATAAAGTCATCAATTATTTGATGGATTATCTATTAATGCCATGACAAAACAGAGAGGAAAATTATGATTCTCCAAACATTTACCCTTCAAATTCATCTTCCTACTCCTTAGACAGGGTACAGGAAGGATATGATTTTAAAAATAAAGCTGCCTGATTATTTTTCCTGTAGTCAGAACTGAAACATGATTTCCACTGCTCTGATGTCACTGCTGAATGAAATGGTACAAAAATCCTTTCTTCATGCCCTTCCTCCAGAATAATGCCTGACCTGCTCTTTGGCCAAGCTGTGGTATAATATTGGCATAAATCAGCCTTGCCAGCTCTTGTATCTGACACTGAAATCACTGATCTAAATCTTACAGCGAAGCTTCCTGCTACTTTGCTTGAGGCAGCAGCCAGAAATGTTTTCATGAAGTGCTTTGATCCAACTCTGTGGATCTAAAGTGAGTAAGGAATGACACAGTATTCTCTTGTGCTTAATTCTAATATTCACACAGCTGTCATCTGGACACCAGGATTATTGTGATTTCGTTGGGATATAGGCAAGAAATACAGAAATATGTATAAAGATTGAGACCATATTACTAAAAATTCATAGTTATCCAATAAGACTTTCCTTCAGGCCTCAAATACCTCCTTCTCTTAAAGTCTGTTTCTAGCATCACTCACACATTATGTCCAAAGCTATATTCCAATAAGCATTTATTTTCTTATGCTTCTCTCACTTTATGAGTTATCAATATTGAATTATGTATTAGTCTATCATTTCTAGGGTTTTTTTAACTTAGGTTACATGATTTAAGGATATTTTTGACATCATGTTTAGCATTTCAGCTCCCCACCTCTGGCAGGACTGCCTTCATTGAAGCCACTTCAGTGAATCTCTCAAGTCTCAGGTCCAAAGGGGTCAGTTCCTGTTTCAGAAACTCAGACATTATATGCCATATCTTGTCACTTGATACTAGTTGTCTGTAGGAAGCAGCAAGCCAGGAAGAATATCATCTGGGCACAAATGTCATAGCTACAGAGCTAAAACAGCAACAGCAATGTGAATATTAACAACCATTTACCAAACAGATGACTAATCATGGTGAAATGCAATCTCATCAGCCATTGCTACACAGTAAGAAAACACTTCCCCAGATCTGTGTGCAGCCTCGAGTGGCTTGTTACACTGGATGCCAAATGTTTAGGACACTCCTTGTTTGAAATGAAACCTTTTATCTTTTCAGACCGATCCTTTATGATAAACAAAGCAATCAGTAAACAATTGTACATGCTTACAAAGACTGGTAATAAAGATAAGTGAACTAGAAAGCCTCAGGTAGGCTGGTGAGAGCTGGCTGATCTGCTGGGTGCAGAGATTCTGCAAGTCTTGATTGCATGCACAGCTCCTCTTGAATTTGCCCTGCAGCAAAATCATATGGTCTGTGACACAATCACAACAGAATCTATGGTTTAAAAAGAAACTGCTTTTCTGCAAATTTATGGCTTGGTTTAGTCCAGCTTATAAATAAGTGTCCAGCACTGGTCAGCAAACACAGTTCCTTATGATTATCACATTGTGCATGGCCTCATTAATTGTCATTAGAGCCAGCTATTTTAGAACCTTCAAACAGTTGCAACACTTGGGTTTTGTCCCAGATGATTGTTGAGTAAGTCATCAGTTCTCTGAGCAGCTTATGTTACCGTCATTTGTGTATCTGACCCAGCTGCTTTGCCACTTCCTTGACAGCTTTCAGCACTCCAGAGTTGCCCCACAAATCTCTCAGAAGGAGCTGCCACCTCTGTGCACTAATTGTGTTCCACCTGGGTGCTGGGAGGGCTCGGTAATGGGCCCCTTTCCAGGATCTCTGCAGGAGCAATTCAAGGCATCTGCCCCAAAACCAGGAATGGCTCTGACCACCTGTAAGGCGGACACAGATACCTACACAATGAAACTTATTGTTTCTTTAATCAAATGGGAGTAACAATAGTGACAATCCATCCACTAACTTTTATTAATTAAATAAAATTTGAATTACGGTCTTTTTTGTTTTTAGCAAAAAATTGAGTCCAAATTGGATTTTAAGTCAGACCAACAGCTGAAGCTGTTTCTTGTTAGAATTGTACTTTCAATGTAACAGCAAAAACATCACCTTTGTAACAATTTTTTTAACTTTAACATACTTGTTTTTGAGCACATTTACCATAAATTTTAAAAAAACAGGTAGTGGGCTGTCTCTAAAGGACTTTCACAAAAGTTCTTTAGAGTATTATGCTTCCTGATCTCATTCAGCAGGCATAATATTTTGACAAATACTGAGGGGATTAGAACCTTCCCCATAAGATTAATCCTTATTGCATTTGGAAGGGATTTTTCACTCACTAAAGAATGACATAAGAGTTGTCATTTGCATTCTACCAAGAAGGAATCAAGCTAATGTAGGTCAATAAAGAATATAGATATCTTAATTTCAAATAATATCAGTACAAGTTGTTTATGTCTGTAATAAGAGAAATCTTTTTGCTTTCAAATTTGAAGCAAGGGAATTTCTAAAATTATTTTCTCCTTATTGTTGGCTTGTAGCACTTATGCAGCTTTGACAGATTTCTCAGAATAACTTCTGACTGGTTCCCAGATGAACATTTTGGGTTATTTATTTATACTTACTTAAATAGAAAACTGCAGAGAATTTTATGTTTGATAGTTTTAATAAGTGGAGCAGAGGAAATCAAGCATCCTCAAAATTAAAGGAACCAAGCAAACTCAAGTAACTTCAGTTGAAAAATAAGTCCCGAGAAGAAAGATTGTTTGCATCGAGCTACAAATATCACATACACAAAATATTGTGGTCTTTAAATATTTGTCTCAAGGATTCAGACACAGTATGACTTGTCCACAAGATGGCAGGCACTGTATCCAGAAGGTTCTGACACAGAAATGTGCTTTGTAACATCTGTGGGGCAAAAATCTTCATGTTAATTATCCTTCTTAATTTCTTCATCCTGATAGGCAAGCACAGAAGAAAATGTGTTGGTAATTACTTTTTGGTTTGCTTATATAATCAAAAAAAAATCTGCTTGCCTCAGAGATTAGCAGACTTCAGATGGAAAACAGAAAATGTCTGTCATCTAGAGGAACTAGTTTTTGAGATTTCAGGTGGCTGGAACCAAGTTAAGTCATACACAAGAGGCAAAGGCATTTCAGGGAGAAATATTAGAACCTTACCAAACATCTGGTTTTTACCAGCCTACTGCCTAGGAGAAGCAGGCAAGATTGGAAAGAGCTGAGGGTTTAAAGGACTGACCAAACCTGAAGAACTCAGAGTGAAGGCAACAGTGCTTCATAGGAAGATAAAATTAATAACAGTCCAGAAGAATTTATCCGTAAGTACCTGATAACTGAAAGGCATCAAATGCTCAGAGCCCTCTGTTCAGATTAAAAATAAAATCCACCAATACTCATTTTTCCCCCTTCAGACTGACCTTGTTGTCACTACAAACTGGAATTAGCCTAAACCAAGACAACTGGGCAGGCTTTCCTACCCATCTGCTTTCAAGCAGTGTGAAGGAAGCTGCCTGTTGGTGGCCCTTTAGAAAACTGAAAGGTGTTTGGTCTGTGTCCTCTAGGCAAACTTCCAAGGGAGTGAAAATTTCCTGCTACCATGGGCAGCTACATTAGAAGCCTCAGAGGCCAGCAAGGGGTTTGAGGTGTTACTCAGGAGATATTTCCAGCAATGTGTACATGAAGCAGCTGAAACCCATGGAATTAGAAGTGCAGCAAACACAACAGGAGCAATAAGTACAACGCTGCTCCCACAAAACAAGGTCCCTTTCTAATGCCAGCATCATACTTCTGTTTCCTCTTGATCATTCCACAGAAAAGAGCAGAGAATCTCCTGTGTGCTGCAGGGCAAGGGTTGTTCTGTGTCTGTGCTGCTTCCTCCACCTGCCACAGCTGACGTTTTAAGCAGAAATCAGCTGGGTGATCAGACTGGTGAGAATGAAAGAAGAAACTTTCAACTAATGTCAACAAGGGCATCTCTCAGCTCAGCACAGAGACACTCAGAAGTTACAATGGACCAGTGAACAGGCAATGCTCTGAACTGTGAACTGGCTAGTAGTGAGTGTGAGGTGGAAATGACACTTAGAAGAAATTTATTTTAAGGTTAACAGCTCTACATAACTTGTGAAAGTGCTCAGAAGTGCAGTAAGAGAAACAGATATGCACTAGAGGCATTTTCTTTGTCACATTTAAATGAAAGAGACTGTGGAAACTTTGAGCTAAATTTCATTTCACACAAGGTAAAGCAGACTCCGTGAGAGTGAAGAAATACAATTGCATACAATAACTCCCTCAACTCCTACTTTGCACTCTTGTGCTTTATTACAGCTAGGAAGTGCTCCTAAGCATGCACCAGGTCTGCTAACAGGCTTGGGGAAAACACCTGAACCCCCTAAGTCCTTTAGAATAAGAAGGCTGGGTGAGGGGACAGCTGATGGGTTAAACATTGGTAGTCTGAGTACCCAAGTTTAGTTTCCTTTACTGAATTGCTCTATAACAAAGTAATTCCAATTCCACTGCACAGAGCTGCCACTGACAAAATGAGATTAATTGCTGTTACTCAGAGCTCACAAAGGTGACCTCCAGCAAATAACATGGAAAAGTCACATCCACAGTTGCAAGATGAGGTGAATCAATTAGAACAGAACACAGAATTTCTTGTGTTGCAGATGATTATTATGGGATTGTGTTTTGAGCAAATTTAATGGACAGTCCATTATTTATTAGTGTTTGAGGACAAAACAGAGGGGGGGAAAAAGTCAATTTTAAAATCATCCAGGTGCAGAGGTAGAAGTTATACAAACTATTAACGAAAAATAATAAAACCCAAAAAACTCATCCTGCCCCAAATCCTTCCAAACATCTCTATCAGACATACATAAAAAATATAATCTGCATGAATTCTTCCAGATCTAAAGTAGGAGCTACATGTCTGTGTAATGTCCCCTCTCCATTTCAATCCCTGAGAGATTTACACAGTATGTAATGAAAATGCCCATCAGAAAAAACTTTTACTCAGGCACACAATATTCTCCATGTATTCCATCTTATTTGAAGTTACACTGCTCCATGAAGTTACTGGAGACTGTTGGCAGTAGTATCAGTGTGCTGATATCCTGAGAACTTGAAAAATTAGATGAAACTAAATTTTGTCCAAAAGAAAAAAAATTGCCAATGTTTTGAACCTTAAAATTATTGTGGAAGTACCGTATAACAGTGGTAGATGAAAGAGAAATCATCCGTTAAAATGAAGATGAAAAAAGATGTTCATGAAAAAAAAAATGCAAGTTTTACTCAAAGAGATACAAGAAGGGGTTAAGAAACGTAGGGGTGAAAAATACTTAAGTTTGGTTCTGCAGATTTTGTAATTTTGGAAAGGATTTGTGTATCACACATGGACGGATGTTTACCAATACCATGCCACAGTGAACAAAGTGGATGAAGCCCATGTATCAAAAGCAGTGGAAGTAACATTTCATCACAGATCTTAATATAAGCAAGCTTTACCCTCCAGTGGTGAGTCCTCAAACAAATGACTGCAGGAGACACATTTTGAGTCATGAGAACACAGTATTCTATGGAACTTTGGTTGTCCTGCCACAAAGAACAGATGCATAAAAACACCTTGGATTCTTAAAGGATGTAATATGAAAACTTTCCTTCATAGCCACCTTGCCAGTATCACTAACAACTCTGCTTCTCACCTGCATCTCCAATGTGAATATGCCACTCACCAGCAGCCCAAGCTGTAGCCAAAGCCTGGAGTCTGTCCAGCCAGTCCCAGGACAAGCACTCGGAGCTCTCCCAGAGCTGCAGGCCTGGGCAGCTCTTCAGAGGGGATGACATAATGGCTTGCAGCTGAAAGGATCCCTTTGAAACAAGCTGCTTTCTCAGAGCTGTATGCAACCTATTTACTCTGCTTCAGCTCATCTGGAAGAGATAATACAAACGTTCCCACTCTCCCATGAATTGCTTGAGTTATTGAAGTCCTGGATGCGGCAAAAAAATTGGACTGTGTAATTTTAAGTGTTAGGATTGCATATATTAAAATATGTGCTTTTAATCACAGAAAGAAGTAGGTAGAGAATTTAGGAGTTGAAAGCAGATATCTTTATTAATTTTCTTTCTAGGGCATGTAATTCCCCATCAAACATGCCTAGATAATGCCTTGCAGCCAGCAGCACCACAACATACTGAGCTTTGCTGAGCTTACATGTAAGAGGAGAACTGGGTAGTTTGTATCTAGGACATAATTACTTAGCAATGTTTTAAATAACATTTAAACCCTTCCATAATGTGAAAACTAGGCTTAATGTATTAAAAACCTCTTTAATCTTCAAAATTCCAGAGAGTCACAATCACTTTGAAATTTAACAAAACATTGGCAAATATCTGTCCTCTGAATACCTTATAGTAGGTATGCTAAATTTCAGACCCTGCATTGCTTTCTTCCCACAGGAGACAGCATTGGATTGAATGAGCTGTGCTAGCAAATCCCAGGGCAGAAATCTCCAGGGTCTCAAGGAGTGTGGATAAGTCAGCCCTACAGCAGGGCTATCGGATCCTGTCCTTTGTCCCTACCTCACTGAAAGCAACACACCATGAGGAATCTCTGCTGCCATCAGTAGTGACAAAAATATATACTGGATATGCATTAGACTAGAAAATCAACATCTGCTACTAGGTTTGCTTGGTATTAGGAAAACTTGACAAAATTTTTAAAAAGAACTTCAAAGCCCTGAAGAATTGTCTCTTTTCATACCCATAGCATTCAGCTGATACTGTCAAATACAAAAACCAGAAAGAGCACTACAGAGACATCTTGTATAGCTCACTGTTATGTTTTATACAACCAGGCTGCTTGTATACAGGTTAATACCTTACCCTTTCCAGATGTTTAGTCATAAAATGAACATTTTCATATGCATTTGCTGAACACAGGAGTTAGAGAATAATAATACTCCACGAAATAGCCCAACAAAACATTTGAAAGCAGAAAGGAAGAGCTACACTTCCAAACCCAGTACCCAAGCCTAAATAGCTCAAACAACCTCTTCTAATAACCTATCCACTCTACTAAATGCTTGATGACCATAAGGAATTACTGGCATGGCTTTTTTAGTGATGCCCTAACAAAAACAGATGACGGTACTACAGCTTGCACCGTAGATTAAGGAAATCAATTTAAGGCTTACAGATTTTTTTTTTTTAATGATCAGGGTATTTGTATAAAACCACGTCATAGTTATGGCCTGCAAACATTTTTGATTCTGGCCAGAATAGCATGGTATATGATGAAATCACAAGGCTGCATACTGGCTGGGTGTACTTTTTAGACTAGAGAAATTACTTAAGTTTTTCATAAAAGGGTTGAAGCTTTTCTGGTGTCAGTCCCCATTCACACAACCGCTGCCACTGCACAGATAAGAGTTCTGCTGTAAGAACATGCACTTGTATAAAGCACTAGTACTTACTTATCTACAAATAGAACCCATGGTAATGGCAGGGCTCTGCTTCCCCTTCTCAGTCAGTTCAAGTACCTGTTCAGTCAGAACTCACTGTTATTCCCCTTCCACAGCAATTAGTGCTGACAGTACAGAACTTGCTGCAGTGCTCACACTGCACCAACACTTGGACCTCAGGCAACGATCCAGCATTCAGGGAAAACGGTAGAGATTCTTTATCTGACATAAACCTTAAACACTGGCCTATTTGTTGGAGCCTCTATCTTTGCTACAGCTACTTTTATGCTTTAATAGCTGCAGAAGCCATAACAAATCAGGTAATTGGCTACAACTGGTTTAGACCCCTATTCATCACAACTAATTTCAAGCATCTAAGGCATCTGAACTGTTAATACAGTCACTCAAACTACACAGAACAGGTGCCCAGAGACAGCATCCTTCAGCAAATGCTCAGCTTTGTAATTTGTTATTTCCTTTAACGAACTCTGTTCTTTTGTATTTTGTTTAATAAAGGAGGGAAGCCACGCTTTTCTACAACAGTTCCATTATTTTCAATTACAGCTTACTGCAGTAATGACTGGCAGATTTGAAAAGCACTTGAAGTCTGTGCTCCAGCAAAACACAGGTGGAAAATGCCCTGGAGAGAGCACGCCCAGCCTTAAGCTCAGAGCACAGTCTGCTTCAGGGAAAAAACAGAGTGTGTTTGCAAAGAAACAAAGGAAGACAGATGACACTGCCAGTTTCATTCCTGCCAGACTGTAGAGATGACTGAACCACGAGTCTTGTGTTCTAACTTGGCACTTCTTTAGCATCCTATGAGAAGAACAATGTAATTTAAAAACAAGTGATGTTGAATGTGCTGTGCGGGGTGAGACTGCATGCTGGTGTACTTTCAGTTCTGAGGCCTCACTCACACAGGAAAGCTACAGTGTCTAAACTGCAGTTTAATTTAAAACAAAATTAATCATATCCAATCTAGTTAAATCAGTGGAAATCACTTCAAGGATACTAATTTAATTTCTATAGATTGTCTCATTGCAGCTCAGCTACTGCAGATACTCATGGTTAAACATTAAAAGCTGCTTCAGACTCTTAAAAAAATTCAGTATGATTTGAGTAATTTCAAAATTCTATTTATTCTAAGCTATAGATGTCTATATACCTTCTAGTACTCTAAATGCTCAAAAATTACAAGCTGAACGAATGTAAACAGCTTATTCCTTGTAATAACTAAAATAATAATTGGTGGTTTTTCATTAAAAGATCTTCCAGTTTTTCTGACAACACTGGCTTAAACATATCTAGTGAACCTGTGTCTCTTGACTCACAGACATTCAGTATTTCAATTTACTGTGAAAGTGGAACTTGGCACCTGTAAGTATGGATGACAGAGACTCATGTGCAGCATAATTGCAGAAGAATACCTGTTAAAATAGAAGGTATCGCAGAAATGGACACAGTTAACAGGAAATTAAAATCTATATATAGATGACATAGCTGTATCTGCAACTTGAACAGTGGGGATAAAGCTCCTCTCTCTCGCTTTCTCTCTCAATAATATAACCTCAACTTGCTAGTTTTCACCATGTTTCTGTTTTTTACTTGATTCTGATTTTGTTTCTTCGTATTAATTTCAAACTCAGTGAACTGGCTACAACCGAGGCTAAAAGGGGTAGTGAGTACCTTCTTTCTAGTACCAGTGCCTTTGCAATGGTCACAGCAGATTGTGTCAGGATTCTTTTCTCTCCTCATTCTTTCATTTTGGGAATGAAGAGAAAGATTCTGCCTGATTGCATGAATGTGCAGTGACAGCTCCCCTAGTGCTGACAGTATTACATATGCAGATTTCCATCTGCAAGGCTTTAAAGACTAAAGGAATTCCAAAAAGACCTTCCCTCCCTTGTGTCATTACCCTTGCAGGACTCATGCAAGGCAGTAGCTGCCTGCCCCCACCACAGGCAGGAATTGTTGGGGAATGAGGGCCAGACTTTCCTGGAAATCCGAGTGGACTGGGGAAGGGAACAAATATTTGTGCCATAAGAATCTTGTGCCACTAACAATACCTCACCCAACTGCAGTCTTCTTAACTTTTATCAGGAAAAAGTACTAAAAAGCATTTTCAGAAGCCAACAAAGCATTTTCCCCAACTGTAACTGCAGTATATATATAGTTATATATACAGAGAATGTGTGCTTTTAGAAAAATGGCAAAAAAGAAGTACAGCAGCAAGTCTGACTAAAGGAGTGGGAGTACCTGGTAGGGATGAGATCACACAAATGTGTAAAAGAGGCCTAAAACCATAACATGGAATAATTCAAAATCAAAGTAATTCAACATACTAGACAGGATTATCAATTGGGAAATGAGCAAATTGTGCCTTTTTCCAGAATGTGCACAGGATTTTGACAAGAGGATTGTTCACATTCCTTAAGGCTCAAAGAATTTCACCCCACAATTGGCAGGAAGTGTGGCATCCTCTATGTGATGTCCTGGAGACACTCTCTGGGAATTGAAGGAAAATTCATATGTCATTTGTCCTTAAGGGAAATGAGTTAAGTGAGTTCCCATTCAGCAACTCTTGCATCATATCTGTAGCACTTAATTTCCTTAAGCCTTTTGGATACTCTGGCAGAAAGAGGACAGCACAGTAATGTTGGAGATCTAGAAGAAATGAGATAACTTTCAAAAACACTTCAATGAGAGGTTTAAGCTCTTCTATTTCATATCCAAAAAGCATATTAAAATAGATGGTGGGGGAGGGAAGAGACTACTAATGGACTTGGTTTGCTCCCTATCTGACAATTGATATTTTCTGTTGAGCCATAATGAGATCTGATGTTAAATTACAAGCTTCATTCATGCTGCCAAGATTCTAATGAGCTGCATTCCCAACTTTCTGAATGAGGAACAAGATTTCTTTCCCATAGAAAATGCTGGGGACTGGAGAGGCACCAGACACATAGCAGCAATGGCAGAAGGACTTCATGGACTGCAGCACTGCCAAGAGAATTGGGAAAGCAGTGGAAAATGGGCATTGTTCCCCTCACAGAAGAGGCTGTTATAATGCCAGAAGTCTCACAAGTGAGGATTGGACATCCCTGCATCACACACACAGTGCTCCATTCATTCCTCTGGAAGGAATCAACTACCCTCACCCAATCACAAAACAAAAATTGGATTCCCTACCAGAAAAGCTCAGTGTATGTCGAAATCTACACCACTGCACTGTGATAACAAGCCTTGAAGTATCAAAAGGCACATACATTTTATTCTGCTGATGGATTGCAGAAACATTTCACTTCCTACATGAAATGCTAAACAGGACTTTGCTTCCACCCACACACATACATTCATAAAGACTAGTATGTTGTGCTACCTAAACTCCACAGAAAACTGGCCAAATGCTATAGGAAAAGTGAGGATGTGCCAATTTATGGTAAAATCTTTTCTCTGTAGAGTTCTTCTTCAAGTGTATAGAATATGGCTATAGGAAGAAGACTTGAGGAATAATATCTCTAGAAATTACAAATGAAGGTGGTCTCCTCTTACTGGGTTACATAGACTGTGATGTTCCCCTGTTCATGAGCTGTGCTTTCATTCCCTATTCCATAAAACTGAGCATGGTGGGTTTAGATCTGTGGGGATTCTTACATAAGATCTTCATTCCAAGTGTGTTGTGAGTTCTCTGGAGAAGCCTAATGTGCAAACTGAACAAATAAAAGCAATGACTGCACTAGACATTAGCTAAGATATTCTGTCTCCCTCTGTCACACCTTGGCTGGGTAGCTCTGAATGTAAAAACAGCTTAAAAAAAAAACAGGCAAGGAATTTATGGAACAGTACTGTACATGACCTCACAATTTCTTACAGCTTTCAAAGAGGGATTGTTCCCTAATTCTGCTGGGCAGAAAGATACTGGAAATAAACTATGGACATTTTGTAATATCACTGCAGAGAATGGAAGGGAGGCAGCAATACCTATTGCTATATCTATATAAGAAAGCAAGAGATGCCCACCAGTAAGAATGAATTGATATCTTCATTTTTTTCCTAATGTTCTGTAAGTCATTTCCAACACAGCCCACTGACTAGCAACAATAGATCCACTAGGAATTATTTTAAAGATGGACATGTCTGGTTCAAAAAACATTTCTTTACCACAGCATTTATGCAAAGAAACAGTTTAACTCATATCAGCATTAAATGTAGGCTCTGGTAGTATTGAAACCCCTGCTGGAAAATTCTGCATTGTGCAGTTCAGTTGCTAATCAGATCTTTAGTTTAATAAAATTGTTTCCATTTAAGGTTAATCACATTTGCAATTTGCTGCCGCTAGAGTTTCTAATTGCTGTTAGTAAGGGCTTTCATGACACTGGGGAACTGCACATTCAGTTCTTGATCTGATCCAATTTTGTGCTCCATCATACAATGGATTCTCAAATAATTATTTTAAAATAATTCTGTAACTATTCAGCTGGAGTTCTATGTCACAGGCTATAGGGAGACTGTATGCCCTTTAAATACAGATGTAAGACCAAGAACTCTATTTAGCTGCAAAAACATTTATGGAAAGTGAATTTCAAAGCAATTGCAGCATGCTGAAAATCTGTGTGCAATCATTTAAATCACTGAAGTATCACCACAAGATGCTCAATTAAGCATTAGTGCCTAAATGTAGAGATAGTGATTGCAAAATTGGAGAAATAGCTTGCAGCTATTTCAAAATTGCAGAAATTTTGAATATATATAAAATCATAAAAGTAAATAAATAAACATCGGTTCTGTGCAAAAAAAGTCACTATGCTGGGAATAGTTTTCTTAAATCATTGCATTTGGAGTTCCACAAAACTGAAGCATGAGTTTTTCCCTTACACAAGAACTGTGTGATTAATTGAACAAACACAGCTCTCTTCTGATAAGGGTACTTTTGAATTCAGAAGTATTTCTTACATCTTGTGCTTGAAAATGCATGACAAAAGCAGAAATCAGCCATGGAATGCTGTTGAGGGTTTGCTCAAAATACCAAACTTCTCTATACCTTTCTTAGTAAAGCAGTGATACTTGATGCACTTACAGAAAACAGATGTTGAGTTTTGGATATACAACTAGTCCTGCATCAGCAGTGAAATAATCTTCGACTTTATTTTTCCAATTCAGCCTTCAATAGTGATTTATTCAAAGCACATAATTCCAGAAGACTGATGCTTTGAAACTGGTGAGAATGCAAATATTTCTACAGGACTGCTAGCTTAGCCTATTTACTGCCATCTTGCATACAGATTTTTGAAAAAGTAGAGTTTATTTATGTTAGACTATTAAACTGTGTGATTAAGACACTGAGTCCTGTGACTAATTCAAAATATTTTTGGTTCCTCGTAATTGCAAATGCACAACTTTCTCCCTCTCTCCAAATAGTGGAATTAATTTTGCCCTCAGCTGTATCTATTCCATTTCCATATATTATAACTGCAGTTAGAACTGCAAGGGCCTTGTTTTGCTCCACTGAAATCAATACTAAAACAGCAGTTTAGTTCAATGACAATGTGCACTAAATTAGACCTCAATCTTTGCTACCTATTGGAAAGAGAGGCTGGGAAATGGGGTCCTGCAGCTCCCAGGCCCCCTCCCCGAGGAGCTCCTGCATGACTGCTCAGATCTTCAGCTTGATGCTGTCATGACAAGAATATTAGCAAAGAGGTGGTGTTAGAGACAGCCTGCCTCAGAATTGCCTCAAAATACTTGGAAAAAATTAATGAACTTTCTTCCCCCGCACTTAGCTGTTTGATGTATTTAGAGATCATCTTATCCTTATGTTTGTGGAGTTTTTCTTAATTTCTTGCCAAGCAAGAAGCTTTAGAAGCTTCATACTGAGTACAGGTGAAGTTGACAGAGCTTCCCCTCTTTCCCCTTTAATTTGGTTTTACTCTGACAAAGCACTTTCAGTACCTGTCAGGTGAAAGTCCCCACACATTGAAAACTACCAAAATATATAGAACAGAATGCTAATGCAATCTTAAGGAGATTTACAAAATCTTGTGAGCACAGACCTTATTGCACTACACCAGCTGCTAGTGTCTCAGGATTGCTTCTCTCGAGGACAAGAGCCAAATCTACAGCTACAGCCAGGATCAGAGCTGCCAGCCCAAGATAAGCTTTGTCCTGCCTAAAGGAGGCAGCTACCTATACACGTTATGATCTGTGCAGCAACTCCAGAATGTTGATGCAAATATAGCAAGAAGTGACAAATTCAGGAGGCAGAAGATTTAAAAAGTGCTGAGAACTAACATCAGAACTTGGGTGTGAGACATTGTGATGATATACTGCTCCAGCCATTGGGGCTAGTGCCAGACAGCATAAATAGGCAGGATAGAGAATGAAAAAATAATCTAGTCTCTGGGTCAAAGAGACAATTCTGCTCCTGCCTCAGGCAGTCTGTGAGTGCAGCACTAACACACCAGCCTGGGCTCACAGGCTGCAGCTACACACACTGCCAATTACTGTTTATCTTCAACAATCACATTTTGGCAAATAGTTTTTTTAAGGCTTGTTGTGTACAGAAAATCTCCCTCTAAGAGTGGAACAAGAACATTTAAAAAGATGAAGAAAATCAACTACACTTTAAATTAAAAACTGTTGCAATCAGTTCAAGATAATTAGGAAGAAACTAAGACAATTGTTTTACTCAGCCTCAAATGCAGTTTTCAATATACAAAGGAAGCGTAAGATTTTATTCAAAGGCAAATGCTATTTTTTTTTTTTTTGGCTTTACATTTTTCCCCACAGAGTAGTGGATTAAACCAAACCAGTGAAATATATTCACCAAAGTACAAGATGGCCAAAGTGGCATTGGGTGTATACAGATGCTGCATAACATGCTTGTACTACATGTGAAGATGGAGGAGAAACAGACCCAGAATATGGAAGGATATCCCTTAAGCAGCTGGCATTTACAATGTTATGTGTAATTATCCCATGACAGTGTGTGCACATGCACTTTATCTGAGAAAGATTCAAACAGCAGCAGAGCTATTATTTTAATTACATGTTCAGTGTAGAGTACAAAGTGTCTAATTTAGAGTCATTCATTGTGATTTGGTCTGTTGCATTCCTACAAAGATTTATTCACTAAAACTAAGCAATGCCAAAAGTTAGTTATTTCCATCTGTGAGTGTGGGGGTTATCCTCTTCAAAAGGGGAAGCATACTTTCACACCCTTTGCCCATCTGTGAGATATTCACTATCTGCTCACATCAGCTGAAATTAGCTGCCACTTGGGAGCCATAAAGAACTACCAATTACTTTTTCTCTCTTGCATTAAATGAGCTGTGGTTCTTCATATTAACTGAGAAGTAAATTTATATCAATACATCTATTTCAAGATGGTTCATATTTATACTTTATGCACAATAACCTGGCTATGATGGTTTGGATGCAAAAATATTTCAAATGTCTACCCCTTCTGATACCCTTCAGCACTTCTGATATCTACTCATCATTTATAAAAATTTTGTCAGAAATCTGAAGTTCAAGTTGGCTTCACCCTGATCTTGGACAGTCAGACTGGAGATGAGGCTTTTCAAAATCAATGTGTATTTATCTGTACTCCAGGCATAGTGATTACACCACATCCCAGAACAGCCTCCAAACACTTCATAGTTTGAATGCCACAGGCACTCAAGCAGAGGCTCATCCTGGATATACCTTGGCAAGTTCCAAAGTCCATTGGGGCAGCATTTGCACCTGAAACACCATTACAGGTGGCATGTCCTGAGAAGTTAAGTTTTTAAAAGCAATGCAAATGATGATGGATCTATGCACATAATTTAAAAATTAAGGCCTCATTTAAATGAAAAGATACTTCTAAAATGTTTTTAATGGAAAAAATGTTGAAAATCTACCCAAAGAAGTTAGTTCACTGAAGATATAATACAGTGGATTCAATTTTAAATTCTCTTTCCACATCTCAAAAAATTAGAAACTCATAAATGAAACTTCACCAAGCTGAGCAGGTCTTTTGTGATCTTTAGAAACAATCTGGCAAGTGGTTTAAAGGGCTGCCCTTGGCCATGCCATAAATAGAAAGGAGCAGATGAAGATATTGTCCCTTTAGGCACTGACTGAAAGCAAAGTGCAGAGATGATGTTACTTTCCACAGAAAGCAAACTACACAGTGAGAGTACCAAAAATATATGGCAAACTTTCTCCTTGGTTTAAAAGACTCCAGACTCCTTTGTAGCCTGGCAAAAATAGAATAAATATATTGATTCTGCTGCCTAATCCTCTGGTCCTAAACTTCTGATTCCTGTAAAGCAGGGTCAGGCAAGTTCTCAGCACCTTCTGCAGACTGAACACTTTCTTATCAAGTTCTGTGGAGCAGAAAATGCTAATCCATTCTGCTGGCTGGGATATTTTAGGCAGTGGATGAGGAGTGGAAAGGGAATAAAAATAGCTTTATTATCCCAGTCCTTGAAAGGTGAAAGTGACATACAGCAGGCTTAAAAATGTTCTGTAAATACATTTTTTAAGTATATATTTTTTCTTCCACACCTATATTTTTTTTGCAATTTCTTTTGGGTTTGCTACATATTGTCATAACATTAGAGTTAGTCGGGCAAGTAATGCCCTTCATAGGAAAGCCAATTATTTTATATTGGCCAAGTCAAAATTTTCTAGGAATCTTATGGAACAATCAGACTTTCTCCTGTGTCACATGAACAATGTTAGCAGTAGACTCCATGTTGTTCCTTCTCCCTCCTTTCTGCTACTCTTCCCTCCCCTGCCCTCCATCAAGTTTAAGGGTAGTGATGACTGTCTTCAGTCACAGACTGATTAACAACATTTCAGATCTGCTTTTTCACTGTATTAATGCAGATTGTATTTACAGTTCTGACCTGACCTGAGTGATCAAGAGCTGTAGTCTGCAAATGAATTGTCAGATCCAGTGCAGTATTTTAGAAACTTATATCACAAGACAGTCTTTCTTCCAAATTTATAAACTTAGATATTAAATCTAGAGATAGATGCTCCCTAAAAATACAAATGAATCATTTTTATTTGAAAATATCAGCATGTGTTGAGACTGCAGCATTAAGGTTTAGTTTGGAACTGGTCCAGGCGAAATAAATCTTTACAACTGAAGGATAACATGACAGGAGAGGTAGATCTAAGCATAAGGAACCAAGTAGTTATTTTTCTGTAAAGTACAGAATTTTAGATCTCATACAAGTTCTTTTTGGTCTGGTCTTCTCAGTACTTTTGGAATTAAACATTATATAGACAAGAGAGGAAAAATAAAAATAGTGAATATTTGAGATATTTTGTTCAAAAAGGCAAAGTCATAACCCTGTAAAAGATTGGATTAAAATACATTATTGCAAAAAGAACTAACAGAACTGTGTTTGAAATTTGCATTTTATTTTACTAATTTATCTTTGATTTGAATCATCATGTTTTAATTAAAAACCTCTCCATTGCCCAAGCGCATGAAGGTCTATTGGACACAGTATCTATATTGGTAGAGCCAATATAGCTTGACCTACCAGCTGTGTGTAGGGTAGATGGAATACAACCAGAAAGCACATTAGAACAACACAGCTCAATATTTATTGGATTCTAAGTCAAATCCAGTTCCCTTTTTGCACCAAACAGTCTGAAAAACTGAAGTGAAGTTGGCTTAAAAACAAATGTAATTTAGATTATTTACATTTTATGTGGTCATAGTGGTCATTAGGTGCTCATTTAAAGCATGTTACCTCACGATACCTATGAAATCAGCATTTGAGTTTCAAGATATTCTTAATATAAATGAGAAACACCAGCTACATTCTCACTGAAATTACTGTAAAGCAGTAGGAATACACCTTTCACATTTCATGCATCCGCTAGTGTTGGTGGATTGACAAGACAAAACCAGTGAACCTATACTTTGTACTTTTAATCTGAAACTTTAAAAATAAGCACTATTTTATAATCAGTATATTTTAACAAAGTATATATTTTTAGCACATTTCTAATTTCAATGCAAATAAACATACTGGTTTACTAACACCTCACAATAACTCCAGGAAAGGGCAACACTGTGGACCACCTGATTTCAACTAAATTCATGGATGGTCACATAGAGATTGTGTTAGGAGCAAAATCAAAACACCTGTTCTGCCTCAGTGCTAGACAAGAGTCAAGAGCACTGCCTCCAGCAGAAGGGAGGGGGCTTTTCTTGCCATTTGCCACATTTGTAAGAGAGTCAAGTTAAAACATCTCTTGCATACATCAAAAAGGAGGCTTTTTTGCCAGTTATCTATGAATGAGACCTATTTAGGTCACAATTTCTGGAAATATTTAATAAGAGAATAATTTAATTGGATAATGTGCCTATGAGTACCTATCCAAATGAAGAGAAGTAACCTACTTTCACTTTTATTTCAGGCCCCAAGGAAGGATCACACTGTTCTCCAAGATTACAGCAGGAGCAGCAATCTTTTCTATTCTTGTACCTCCTCACCAGTGAGGAAGCTGCAGGTGCACAGGAACTTGGGAGGGATGGCTGATCCCACTGGACCCAAGGGAACTCACAACACACATCCTCAGGAAAGCATCCTCTGAAATACAGGTGTGATATCCACACCTTTGTGGGCCACTCAGGCTTCCACAGTGACCCTGCCTGGGGCTCCCTCTCTCTTGCCAGAAGCAGAGTTCGTGGATGTATCCAAGATGCTCCCTGCTCATTGGCAGCTCTTCAGCAAGGAATTGGTGATGAGACAATACCATAATCCCCAAATGCTTGTGGCCAGGGACTAGGAACACTGTGCTGAAAGATGAGTTCCTTTTAGGTACAATTTTAGGTCACATTCAGTTCTGGAAACAGAGGTACCCAAATCATTGGTCGCTTTGGAAAATCATTTTCCCTGGACTTTTCAAAACCTGACTGCTGCCGCACATAGGGACTGACCTGAGCAATTTGAGCTCAGAATTTCTTAGTGGAGCATATGGAATGTAGAGCTAATGCCAATGCTTTTGTATTCTCTTGTTTGAGAACAGGGAATAACTTCTGACTGGAGACCTCACCATAAAAAATACCATAAGGAATATAGGTTTTCTTTTACAGAAAAAATGCAGTGCTGTTTTGAAGCCCTGTGCATTCACCCTGGGGAATCTCCAGAGCACTTTGTATTGTAAGAAAGATGTCTTGCCATTAATGACTGATGACTGGTGGGTAATCCTGCTGCAGAGTCTCTTTATCTGACAGGGCTGCACACACGGATGACTTGCAGAACAATTACCCTACTGTGGTTGCTAGGTGGCAAATGTAGTAACTAGAAAACATCTGATGCTGACAGCTACTGTAAACTGTTTTGTAGGAACAGCTTTACCACTGCATAAATTCTGCAATAAAGTTTTTAAAACTAAAGCTATTCCAAACAAAAGCACCACAAAGATCACATTTATACTGAATTTTTGACACATACAACTTAACCCACATTTCTCAGGTTAAAAAATTATAAAACCAGAAATTTCTAAAAACTGACTCAACAAAAGAGCCAGGTCACTAGAGAAAAGGCTGTTCTGATCCTTCCACAGTTTGCAGGCACTCATAACTCTGCCCTCCCAGGAGGGATTTGGCACTGCTCAAATAAGGATCGTAGCTGGTGAAACAAGGATGTAAAATTTTACTTGCAAATTAGTCAAGCACCAATACAGACTTCTTGTGCACTGCTCACCATGCAGACTTAGTACCTTGAATTCCTTGGTCTTCAAACTCTCTATTCCCTAAGGATTTGCATATGTTGTTAGCAGTAGTACTCTCCCAAGATGCACACCCTGAACTTTGTGATCCTTGCAGCTTTGTGACCTTCTTCAGGAGATGTGATCCTCACATAGTGACCAGTGCATCCTCTACCACTACAAACTTCCATTTCATACCCTCTTCATCTCTGCTACCCCTGTCTAAACTGGTCACAGAATGCTACCAACAATTAAAATGTAGCAAAAAGCACATACTCTGACATTTAGGATTTGACACATCATAATACAGCTACTGTAGCAGAATCAACCCAAATTATGTCCAGCTGCAGATATTCAGACCTAATACTAATAAAGAGAAGAAAAAAAAAATCTTTACTCTTGACACTTGAAACAATGGAAGTAAATGGAAGAGGGGAAAGTTACAGATAGATTAATGTGCAAGAATCTGAAGTAAGAGTGAAGGTCTTTGAACAACACCATCAGAACAGCTTATGGCTCAGCTTGTAGCATAGTGAGTAATTGCTGGAATTCAGGAAATTAATCTGAAGATCTTAATTGCAACTCAAACAATTATTCATAATCAGACTGCTGTAGTAGTCTTCCCTACTAGTAGATAAAACAGCTCTTTCATGTATTAAATATTGCCTATGTTCTGATTGCTCTGGTGCAATATTCCTTTCCTGGGTTTCATAGGTTGTGTTTACTCCCAGGAAAAAAAGGAGGACTAAACAACATCCAGGCAAAATTTATCAGGAAACTTGCAGAAGAAAATTATGACCAGAGTTATGAAGAGACTAGATGAAGCCGTCTGAGTTGATTTGTCAGTTTGGGTTTAGTTTTTCAGATTATTCCCATCTTCTCTTTTACATCACTCAAACCCCCATTTTGTCTCTAAATCATCCCTACCTTCTCTCCTAGCACCAGGCAGCTATTCCTAAAGTACAGTAGCAAATGTTTAATTCGATTTCTACTCTGGGTAGGTATCAGCCATGTAGTGTTTTCTGGTTTCCCCATGAGCTGACACTTCCAGTCTGAACTATTTACTGTGATTTGTTTTCAGAAGTGCTCCTAAAATTCAAAGCTAAATCAGGCAAATTGGCACAAATGTTGAGATAACAAGGGATTTCTTTTCTCTTTGCTACAGTAGGGAAGGTTCAGACTAGGCTTTATCTGGAGAGATGTTTCACTGCAATGCAATCTGTCACAGTAAATGCAATGCACTGGTGGACACTGATTTATGTCACTGCTCTTACACTGTTTCAGGAAGCACTTGCTGTAAAAAGCAGGACTGTGGTGATAAAGTCTAATAAGACTGTCAAGAAGTTACTAAATGTTTGACTACTCAATCTCAAAACAATCCTACTCCAATCTGAATGTTGTAAACACACACATTTGCACTCTAAACAGATTTTATTTGGGTTTCCCCAGCTAACACATCCAATACATGTCTTGAAGACAGGAAATATGGCTCCAGTAGGGAAGCAGTAAACAAGGAGAGGGCTAAAAATCTGGTAATGTTCAAAGCCACTTTTTGTTTATTTGATCAAATTAACTTAAAATGGTAAATTTGAAAAAGAAAGCTTCAGTTCCAGTGTACACGATGGGGTACTTACTTATCCATATCTCCAAATCAGCCAAGGTCTAACAAGATCCATACATAAACACTAAAGACTTCTTTACAATTGGATTTTTTAATACCTGGAAGAAAGAAGTTACTTAATAAAATTAGTTCATATGACCAACTCTTCCAGAAAGTCACTAAATCATTCCATTTTTCATTAAATGTTTCTTCATAAAATAAAGAAAACTAAAAATCCAACCACACACATAATGGTTACCAATGTCATTTTTAAGACAATTTTTATATTTTGGTCCCTGCTCCTCTGGACTATCTGCAGGCTATGAAGGTTGCTAAGCTTGTGCATATCTAATCTTCCATTTTTGCTGTCTTTCAGTTTCCTACTAAGAAATGAGTCAGAGGATGATTGCAGACTGTTTGACCTAAGAGACTGCTTTGCCAAAGGAAAAGCATATTCTGGGCCACACTACTGATGACAGAAAGAAATAAGAGTATGGTAAGTTCATCCAGAGTAGGAAAAGGCTGCTAGACACAGGAACATAAAATATGTGGAGTTTTATCCATGGATGAGAGAAGGAATGAAAATAAAAACTTTTTGCCTCTGCTTCCAGTCTTGCAACAGGGAACAGCTTTGTTGTATGTCTCATTGTGGCAAAGTTAAATTGAAGGAAATGCTGAACCACTCTACCAATGTGCTTTCCAAATGTATATCAAGGAATCTAGTTTTCAGAATAACAGAGTTACCTATAGTGCCAAGGAAACACTGCTCCTGTAAAGTCAAGTTTGTTACACTGCCAAATCTTTTAACTAGGAAACCATTCCCTCTCCTGCCTCCTTACAGATTGGGCCTGCAGCCTAATTACAGAGCAACATTTGATTTTGCTAAAACATGTCTGTTGTCAAGGTTAAAATAACATGGTTTAAAATGACTGTTGGGTGCTAAGTAATAACCTGGAAGGATGGGGAACTGACTGCATGCAGATCCACAGAGTGAGCCTGAGATGCTGGCACTCTCACCAGATGTCTTTTCTCAGTAGGCTTCATAATTCTGGCAGAAAGCTTTAGATAAAACTGCTGCACAAAGGAAATGCTTTGTACCTTGTTCATCAGTTTTCAGGTATAAAAACAGCCTCTAAAGCATGAGACAAAGATGTTCAACACAGCAAATTCATCTTTTTGCATATTTTGAAGCTGTGAAAGTGAATTAGGAGATAGCTGCAGCAGTGTTGAAGCAAAATAAAGATTATACTTTTCATTGGAAATATGATGTACAGCACTGGTTTCACCTTTTATCATCTATGGAGTTACATATAAAAGCTGTCTTTTCAGGGCAGAATGCAAGGCATCCAAGCAGAAACACCTCTTGTCCCAGCTTAGGTTCTATGCCAAAAAAGGGCTACAAGCCTTCAGAATCCTAAATTAAATCTTATGCTCAGATGGGTTTTAAACATTCCATTTTTCCTGGCCTGGATTCAGAGTCTCTCATCATGAAATACCACTTACAGCACTAATCAGAATTAGAGAGTGCATCATTCAATTATGCTGTCATATAAAACTATCTTTTGAAGGTTTTCTTTTAAATTGGTATGGTGGGTATTCCTAGGACTAATGCAGACATGGATTGATTCTACTATTCAAATATACAGTGGGTCTATTCTCACACTAATCTTAAAAGTGCTTTTATACTTCATGAGTCATAATTACAAATAGCTGAGTACAAAACTCAACAGATGCTTTCTTAAGCAGAAGGCTAAGGAAAGCTGGTAGGGTTCCACAGCACAAGAGCATAAGAAAATATTTGGGGGCATGTACAGCATGCTCTGGTAGAGGAAGCAAATCTTGGTTTAGTATTACCCTGAGGTTTTGCAAAACTTAAAAAAAATTAAACTTTGACCTGTACAAACTCTTCATATACTTTCATTTCTCTTCATGCACAGAGCTGGATTAATAATTTCTTGTGCAATTTTTTCCAGGTGAAATAAGAAAATATAAAACCTGCTCAAGTTGCTGGAGAGGGTCAGCTTGGTCCCATTTTCGGTATATGTGCTCTCCAGTGACCTGTAAGTAAAGGTGCAAGATGTTGTTTACACGTCCTCAAATAGAGACAGCAGCAGTTTGTCCTTTTCAACAATCTCCCTACAGACCTGCAAAACTGTTCTGTGTGGTCTCTTTCCCTGATAAACTTTCTAGAGTGCACAATGATTACTGAACACATTTTACACCAAGGAGTGCTACAGAACAGGAAATGTTACAGATATTATAGGTGTAATATGCATCTGCTGCATATTCGCTGTCTTTCCAAGTGGAAATAGAGGGAGCACATATTTTACTGGCCACCATTTCAGAAGTAATACAACATATGCCCCTAATTAAAGGAATAAATGTTAACAGTAATTGTTCAAACTTTAAGCATAATGAATATACAAAGAATATACTTAGAGGGCACCAGGATATAACTGACAGAAAGAAACTCCAAAAATAAGTACTTTTAAAATAGCCACATTCGGAGACAAGGAGTGTGTGATGTGAATTTGCAAACAATGGAAACAATTTATTTCCAACAAAAAAAAAAAATACAGGCATATCATAATCTAGTCATTTATTTCTCTGACGGTGGTATAGTCCCTGAAAAGAAACAAAAGAATCTCTATAATTAGTAACACTTAAAATCAACACTGCTGGAAACTATGCTTGGGTCAGAGTAGCTCCAGCAGAGAGCCAAATGACTGTCACAGTGGCAACCACAAGTGACCCCAGAATTCTTCTGTGGATAATTCCCAGTGAAATCTATAAGCACATGTAATGGTTTAAACTCTTGAGTGCTTGTGATATGAAAACACCAAAGCAGAAGTGTGTGCTTTAAATGGCACTATAAATTTGGAAAATTGTCAAATCTCTTTATGTAAGTTATGAATATTGAGGAAGAAGTCGTACTGATAAACTTGTAATTCTTCTCCGAGGAAGAGAAAAATATTTCCTGTAGTAGCATGTTGCATGTTTACAGCTGTACATTATTTGTGCACAGCTAAGGAGCAACAGTAAATAAATGAGAGAAAACTCACATTTTTTCATCCTCAGCACAGCTGAAAACCATATTACTCAATAACTTTAACTGAGTATGCTTCAGCAGCTCCTGGTGAAGAATACAGTGGGTTCTTTGCTCCGCATGTGTGGATCTGAGATCATTACACCCTTGCCCCTGCTAAAAGCCTTAAGCATTAACTGGGGATAGGTGAAGGAGGGAAAGTAAGAGGGGCTTTTAAAGCAATTTTGAAAGATGAAAAGCACCGTACTTTCTCCACAACAGACTGGAAATTTCCCATCCAAGCCTGCACAGAGCAAGCAGCACATTTACAAAGATAAGAAACTGATGTGAATGAACCTGCTTTGTTCTTTGTGCCATTTACTAAATACAAGATACAAAATCACTATTAAAACTTTCTCAAAGACAAAAAGTTTTCAAATTATACCAAAGTGATTGTTAGTCTTCATCTCTTAAGGCTGTGCTATTATTGGATGGCTTTTACCAGTCAGCTTTGTCATAATTGCATTCATGAGTTTTGTACAAAAGGGCATGACCCTTCTCAGTGAAATGGATTGGGACTCTTATAGACAGTGGAAACTCCATCCATGGTTACGTAAGTAAAACAGGCATCTCTGGGGAGATTTAAGTATCAAAATGAGATTTAGATATCTTATTACATTACTGGTCCAAAGGCTACCTCTGCATCTGCTCACCTCACAGGTTACAGCCATAGCCAGTACTACTTTGCCAGACTATTCAGACCACTAGCTACCGACAATGAAAGTAAACAGTGTCTGTGCTTACTCTTACACTTCTTTCAAAAAAGATTATGAGCTTTTGAGCTTTAGTAGTGTTTTATCATCTTTTCTATGGTAGTTGATGCATGAAGACAGTAGAAACTAATGCTCCACTACACTTATTAGATCCAAAGCTTAAACTGTTAGTCTTACCATTAAACAATGATTTCTATAAAAATGTTCTTAACTGGCTGTGGTATCTCAGATATTTTATGCCACCATACATTTTTTACTAAAGAAAATACAGGATGGTGTGCTTGGGGCAGTGTGTACCATGAAACAGCTACTCTGCTAATGCTGCAAACTGGCTAGACAGCATTTGAGAACAGCCCAGAGTTACCTGCCATCTTAGGAAGGTCTCCTGACACACCAACAAATGTGAAGGGGGCTGCACAGCTCCCAGGCAAAAGATGACTTGTGTCTGGATGGCCTAGAGAGCAACTAGAGGAGGTGACACATCCATGGGGGTACTGGGACATATTTAGCTTCCCACTGAATGAGAATGGAAAGAGACCACGCACCTTGTTTCATGCTTATGGTGGACACTGCATTTAAGGAAGGAAAATTTAGTTTTACCCCATGGAGAATTTTGCAGTTGTGCTGGTTTTGGTTAGAACTGAGTGGATTTTCTTCTTTCTAGAGTAGCTAGTGTAGGGCTATGTTTTGGATCTTCCTTGAAAGCAGGGTTGATAATTAAAAGTGAATAATAAAATGAAGTCATCTGATTCTTTCCCCCATCATGCTAATGGGAAGCTTGTTTGCTGACTGGGGTTAAGCCACAATATAAACTGTGTTGTAAAACAAGTTTTTCTTTAAGTCGTGGTGACTTCCAAACTTGATCTTCAGTCACAGTCTATTCCCTCTAAACTCATTCTGCCAGACGTCAGATGAACCTCAAACAAGTTGGGATCTGTGTTACCAGTACCTTTACCACATCAGAGTCACAATATTCTTTTTTACTCCAGAAACGACCAACTTCAGACGAAGGGTGACAAGTCCCTGTATTGGGCAATTTCCTAACTACGGCACCATAGCATGAATTACCAAATATAATTACCAAATATAAGCCCTTTCCGCACGTTTGAGGCAGACGCCGTCGGGGAGGCCGGCGCTGTCTGCTCGGTGCCGCGGCAGGAGAGCCGGCCGGGCCCGGCGGGGCCGCCAGCGCCACCAGCACCGCGGCGGCTCCGGCGTGGGCCCCGCTCACGGAGCCCGTCCTGCTGCTTCCCCGTGAAACGAGGGCGCCTCTTGCGGGGTCACGGAGGTGTCTGAGGGCTTTCACCCCGACGGGGATGGCGAGGAGAGCGCTGGGGCTGGGTCAGTGACGTCCGACACCCTCAGTCCCTGGCGGGGGCAGCTGTGCCCTCACGCTCAAGGTGCTGAAGGGCTGAGGCGGCGAGGGAAGGAGCGCGGCCCTTCAGCGGAGCCTTTCAGCCTCCCGCGGGCCGCCGGCGCCGAGACCCGCCAAACAACATCTGGAAGCATGTCCTGTGGAAAGTGGTTGAGGGAGCTGGGTTTGTTCAGTTCCGACCAGGCTCCGGGTGGACCTCATCGCTTTCTACAACTGCCTGAAAGGAGGTTGTAGTGGGCTGGGGGCCGGTCTCTTCTGCCGTGCCCAGAGGGGACCAGAGGAAATGGCTTCAAGCTGAGACGGCGGCTGTTGGGGTAGTCAGGCAATGGAATAGGTTGCCCAGAGCGGTGGTGGCGGCACTGTCCCTGGTGGTGTTTAAGAGGAAGAGGCGTCTGGATGTGCCGCTGGCTGATGTGGTTTAGAGGTGATTGTGATGGTGCTGGGTTGACGGTTCGACTGGGCGGTATTAAAGATCTCTTCCAACCTCAACGAGTCCACGATTCCGTACTTCTATAATTCTCCGAGTCGGTGGTTCTCTCCTGTGATTCCACCCTCACCCCTCGCGGCGCAGGGCGGAGCGCACCGCGCTGTCGCGGAAAGGGAGGGAAGGGCGGCGAGGCCCCGCCCCCAGCTGTTGCTGCCCGGGCCCCGATTGGCGCCGCCCGGCCCCCGCTATAAGGCGGCGGCGCGGGCGGGGAAGGAGCCGCCGCGGCCGCGGTGAGGCTGGTGGGTGCGCTGGGGGGTTGCGGATGGTGATCGCGGGCGATCCGGGGTCGGGGGACGCGCCGCTCGGTTCCTTGCGGGCGGGTTCACCGTGCTGTGAGCCGGGGCGGGGGTCGGTGAGGCGGGCAGGGACCCGCGCTGGGGTCGGGGCCGTCTCAGTTCCCCAGCCCTGGGCCGGGGCCGCCCCTTCTCGCTCTTTGTGTCCGCGTCTGGTCCTGCCGGTTCCGAGCGGTGCCGAGCGCTCCGCAGGCCTCGCGGGGGCCCCGTGGGTGACTCGGGGCTCGCCCATGGCTCGGCCCCGTCTCCCGGCGCTTTGCAGCCGTGCTGCAGTCACAAGGCGATGCCTCACGGATCGTCGGTGGTTGCTCGGGGTGGGCGCCGGGCTCCTCTCGGCTGGAGAGGCTCTCCCAGTGCGGAGTTCGGTACGTGCTGCGGGGTTGCGTCCAAACCGACCTTTACGATGACAATCCGGGAGTTTTCGGTAACGCAAGTTGTTCAGAATGAGTCTTGTTCCTTCCTCTATCTGCAGTGTTCTGTGGCATCTCGTGCTCTTCCTTTTCCTGACACAAGTGTAGGTGTAGACATTACACTTGTCAGTAGATATTGCTTTTGACTAAACCTAGAGAACTTGAAACCACTTGTGAGACTGTTACCTTGATTAGTAGGTAGGTGAAACAGTAAGGGATCTTTCCCTGATAGCTTGTGCCAGACTGGCACAATTTAACTACTGGCTAGTAGTTAAACACGATTATGTCACTGGAAAGCCAAAAGTGAAAGGCACTCAGGATGCAGAGCAGCTAGAGACCAATGTGATCCGTCTCCACAGGGGAAGAGTGAGAAGGAAGACTTGCTAGACAAGATCCAAAACCAGTGCAACTTTCACCTTCGTAATAAGGTGACTCAAAGCCTGCGTAGAGGACTCCTGGCCAGAGCTGCTTGGTGCAGGTACGTGAGTGACTTCTGGCATACTTGCTGTCTAAAGATTTGAGCTGTGTTTTAAAATGGTTTGACTATCAGAAACATCGGGTGCTGTGTAGCTGCTGTTAGACAAAGCCATTAAAAAAAAACCAAAATGACACATTTGGAAAGCTACCTTGAATCTAGATAAAAAAAAAAAACCAACTTGGTTTTATCAGCAAACTTAATATTGGCATCTCAGTAATTTTTCCAATACATCAAGAATTAAGCTATGCTGGGAGGTATATACAACATAGTACTTCTGGTAATGGAATGTCAGAAGTGACTCTTATCATGTCAGGACAGACTCTTCATTAGAGCACCACGTGGATGTGACACTAACAGATAAAAATCTGGAGTCTGACAGATGTTTTGCCAGCCATGCAATTGCCTCTGAAGTCAACATGGTCTTAACACTGTAGGCCTGTTTCCAGTTCTGCATTAACTGGCTGACTTGCCTGACAGCAGTTACAGCATAAACCTCCTCCACTTGCTATGCTGCTGAAAAAGTCTGTCTGCTCTTGGAACTGTTGTCATGTCTGGAAAACATCTTGGACTGCTACTCTCTCATCTCCATCTTGCTGTCTTCTGTAAACTACCAACTTCTGTGTGGTTTAGCTTGGTGCAAAGCTTTAAAAGTGAGTCTTGATTAAGGTACCACTACACCTCATGTGGGAACTAACTCCTGTTCCAACCAATGCTGTTAGGTATCAGCTTTTGTTCTGGAGTGTCTAACAATTGCCAGAATGCTAAGTTCTTGGAATACTGTCCACAGCTAATTAGCCACAGAAAAGCCCTCTTCTTCTATTCCTCATCAAAACTATAATAAGGGCTGGGAAAAGATGATTTGCATTGAAGCATTCTACTAAACAGCTCCCTGTTTCTAAAATAGCCTCTGGCCAAGTTCCAGCTTGTGCAAGGTAACTTGGCATTATCACAAGGAGGTGGTATTAACTGGAGTTAATGAAGAATAAGTGATGCTCTTTTTTTATGTGCAAGTGGAGAAGCCTGAGCCCTATACACACTTGTGTGCCAGTGTAAATGTACAGTACTGATCTTCCCAGTGGGTTCTGCCCTTGACTTCCATTGGCAAGAAGGGTGTTACGGTGTCGAGTATGCAGCATTCATCAAAAGGGATTTTACTAGAGAAACAGGAGAAAGCATTATTCACAATTAGAAGCATGCTGATTTAGAAGCTGTTGTTGGAGGCTTTTTACGTAAACAGTTCTTACTCATTTAAAAAAAAAAAATTATGCTGAAGGTCACCCTGATAATTTTATTCTCATTTCTTTACTATGCCCCATTTAAATTACTTTAGGTGGAATACTATAATACAGTAGCTTCACACCCCCCACCCCCCCCCCCCAAAAAAAAAAAAAAGCTGAAAGACTTAATACTTGAACCTTGAACATTACTGCTTGGTGAGGACTTCAGTATATCTGGGTGAACCATTGAACCATAGTAAACTTGCTTTTGAAGCCTCTCCCTATAGCTTTGGCTTGAATGGTAGCAGTGAACATGCCTGTAGGCATTAAAGTAGTGAACTTAGCAGCATAATGCCTGTAATAATGAAAAACTTGGTTTAGGAACTAATTTCAGTCTTGCACTGCATTTGTCCCATAGCAGCCTTCTGCAGTTCAGACTGCCTTTCTGTTTGTCCTTTAGTTACAACTTCTGAATTGGATAATAAAACTTCACAAATGAATTTCTGAGTAGAAGCTGGTATTAGGCAAAAAAGAAAAGCAAGTTAATTATGGAAAAATGGTTTCTAGCTGATGTTTTCACTGCTTGATTGCTGTAAGAACTAAAATTGGCAATTTGCAGTTCACACCAGTTGTCTGAGTAATCTTGCTAATGAGTTAATATGCTTAGATGCTTGATTTGATAGAAGTGTGGCAGGAAGGGACATAGCTCTACCAGTGCCACCAAATATATGGATGGTGCTGGCAACCTCTTTGAAGGTGAGGAATTTACAGCCTCTGATATCTTCCAGTAGAAGTGATGAATGAAGGCAGTGCTGTTCCTGGTATAATTACAGGGGCTTTTTAGCTCAGGTAGGCTTTAAGGGGAAAGTAGTCCTGAACAATTTGTGGATTCCAATCAGTTGCTGGTGGAAAGAATAGCAAGGTTGGAGCTGTGTGTCCAGAAAACAACACAAACCCAAGGCTTCTCCAGAAGTTCTTACTAATATAGTTACAATATGCAAATATACTGTGCCAAGGGTAGACAAGAACTAACACTGCAGGAGAGCTTTAGCTCTAACTGTACAGTGACTTAAAGCCAGAAAAATAGCAGTATGAGCTAGCAACACTATAGCTTCCAAACTACCTACAGCTACTGTCGTACACTATTAACTAGTTGTTTGTGCCATCTGTACAGATGCTTAATACCTGACTTCATATAGGGTGCTGTCTCTCAAGTTCCTGAGTGGGAAGAGGATATGCCTGAAGGAAGGATGTCTACACTTTATCATTGAAAGGTGAAGTTCTTTGAATTCTAAGTCAAATAGAAAACATTTGGAATTTTAAAGGTAACCTATGGAGTTGGCCAAGAAAGATCTCTAAGAGGGATCTGTAAGTTGTTGTGTTTGACTCAAAATTGTCTAGTCATAAATTAGTCTTGTGCATCCTAAAACAAGATTGCCAGAAAATCCTGGCAATAAAGAGGCTGGTGATGTGAACAGTTTCATACTTACATAGTTGATGCTGTCTACTCAAAGACTGGCAGAGGGATAGCATCTGCAATAGTTTCCACTGTGGAAACCTATTTTCTAGGTGACAGTAACTGCTTAATACAAGGCTATGTGCTAACACAAACTGCTGTAGAGGAACAGTAGGCTGACAAAATAGTGCAGCCTCCAGAAGAAGCCGCAATGTGGCTGTGCAGTGTCTGCATGTGAAGCAAGGTAAACTATCTTTTATGCTGATGCTGTACTGTTTTGGCTGGATCAAACAGTGCTGCTCCTCAGACATGCCCCGAGGAAAATGAACTACATGAAAGTCGCTCTTAATCACCCTCAGCTGATCCCCCTGTGTTGAATAAGCATTGCAGAACTAAGGTGATTATGATAAATCATACACTTCTCTGGCTGCAGTGTGCACACAGCCCTGCTGAGGGTGTGTGGTGTGGTCAGGTTTGGTTCTACTACTTAGGCAAAATTGGGTCTGCAGAACTTGGCTGGCTGTATCAGATACACTACAAGCTATCGATTGTAGTTTACAGGGCTGGAAATGTAACCGGAGTGTCTGCAAGTTATGTGACACTGGATTCTAATGACATGTGCTAAACTCTGTGGTCCTTGCTGAAATGGTGATACACATGGGTCTATTATTCCATGATACATCGAGGAACAAACTTATTCTCTGGCTTGAGCTGTCTTGGTAAAGATCCTGCACTGTAATTGCCTGGACTCATGTTGAAATGCAGGTGAGACTTTTGATGCAGTTGAGCAACACTCACTGTAACCCAGTGGTCCTGGGTCAGGGTGGGTTAAGACTGACTTCTTCTGAGGGGTTTTTGTATGAAGATGCTGTACTTGCAGGTGAGACTGCAGCAGTGATGGTGACAAGGGGCCTTTCCTGGGCAGGTGTATGTAACTCTCAACAGACTGGCAGCCAGAAGATACTCCTGTTAGCCCACTGCCAGCCAGTGGGTACAGGTCCAGAGAAAGGCACATGTGCACTTAGAGCTGGCCTTACAGCCTCTAAGGACTGACCTTTTGTAGCTGAAATGGCAGCACTGAGCCCTAACCTGATTTTTACAGTAGTAGAGAGGTAGGAGATATTCCTGGGTAGGACTGGCTCTGGTCTCTACTATAGTCTTGCACGAGTTTGTGCTTTGTT